CTGCTGCCCCTTGAGCTGTCCCGGAAGCACGCTGGCTGGGGCAGAAGCAAGGGTAGGTCTGGATCTTGAAGTTGGGCGATGGGTATTGAGCGATAGTAGAATCCATTATTGGGCTGGATGTTTAGTATTGTCCATCCAGCGTTACAGAGGCTTGCTTTGTCTTGGTGATTCACACCGAGTGCCAGCCAAGAAAGAAGGTAGCTAGTTAGGACGAAGGCGGACGGAGCGGTATGTTTGTTGTAAGAGGTTCCGTGAATGCTTCTATTGTAGATAGACTATGCACAGCTTTCGTCTCATTTGGCCCGGGGAGGGGGAATATGGGGGTGAGTGGCCAACGTCATCTTCCCAGCTCCATCCAGCTTTTTCTCCACAAGAGTTTTTAGATCAGTAGAGGCTCTGAGGGTTTTCATCCCCCCTCCTGATCATTACACATGGGAAAACCCGACCCCCTCCGCAAGAAAAGCAGCCCTCCTCATCCTCCTGTCCCCCTCCCCTCCCTAACCCCCCGGTCAAGTTTACAAGAGAGACACACACACAAAGAGAAAATAAGGGAGGTTGGTTTGGAGAGAAGGAGGATTAGGATTGTGTCATGCTAGTATGATGGAAGTGTGTGTTTTGTGTTTTACAAAGTATCAGTGAGAAGCTTGTTGAGCTTGGCAATCTTGCCAGAGACGCTGAGGTCAATGGTCCGGTCGCCAATCTCGACAATGAGGCCTCCGACGATATCGGGGTTGACCTAGAAACGAGGCGTGTTAGTCAATGACAATCATTTTTGCCATAGCCCTGACTGAAGGTATCTCGGGGAACAGCTCGGAGTTGGGATGGCGGGTGGTTTTAAACGTACGGTGTTGGTGACCTTGAGCTTCTTGCCCTGGCCGACGTAGGAGGACTTGGCGATGGAGGTCTCGAGGCGGTTAAGGGTCTTGTTGTCGAGTTGCTGGAAATGGTGTTAGTGGCATATTTTGAGCAATGGCCTCGCGTGCCTGTGCGAAATTGCCTCGTTCAGGTTGAACTTTCGAGATCCACCCCTACCCATTCAAGACAGAAGTCTTTCTAGTCTGTCTTGTATCTCTCCAAGGCGCATGGCACATGTCCCAGCTCAAATGTCAAAAGAAAAGAAGAAGAAACATACCGTGGCGCTGGTGACAATGAGCTCAACCTCGCCGCGGGCGGCGCTCATGATCTCGGCGAACTTCTGGGTGATACCGGGGAGGAGGCCGAGGCGGTTGTTCTCGGCGAGGGCGGCGAGGAAGTTCTTGACCGTCTCCTGGGAGCCGGCACCGGCCTGCTTGGTGAGCTCGGCGACGATGGCGGCCTTGTCCTCGGGGGTCAGGGTGGGCGCGGCGAGGACGGTGGTCAGCTTGGGGTCCTTGGCGAAGATGCCCTCGAGGGTGGCCAGGGCCTTGGCCGTGGGGTCCAGCGAGGAGGTCTTGGAGGCGGCGGTGTACTGGAGAGAACGCAGTTAGCCGTCTGGAAACTTGGGCTTTTTCTTCCGGTTATTTTTTTTTCCCTTCAACCTCGTTCCCCCCATTCCGAAAAGCTTCCTCATTCCCATCAATCCTCCGAATCAACAACTTCCTCTTCCACCAATGCACCCAATTGAATACCCTACGTCGTCTGAGGGGGAAAATTATTGTGACGAGAGGAACAGATGCGTACCAGAGCAGTAGCGTAGGTGCCGTCGAGGCCAAAGACGGCAACCGGGGGCTTAACGGCCTCGGTCGCGGCGGCAGCGGCGTAAGTGCGGACGGCCGGGGCGCGGGCGACGAGGCGCGAAGCGGGAGCCGCCGCTCGGAGGGTGCGAACAGCCTGTCTCGAGAACATTTCGGGCGAAGGAAGCGAGAGAGGTTCCGGTTGTGTGGGTGGTGGAGTTCAATTGAAGATGGGAGACGGGCGGAGGGAGGGATGGCTGGGTTCGAACAGACGCAGTAGTGGTAGCTTGCGTCGGTTTTCGAGGTTGAGGTTTGAACTTCGGCAATTTGGGATGTTGATGCCTTGGGACTTAGCTGCTGTATGCTTAGTGACTGTTAAGGCATCAACTTAGGTAAGCGGGTCCAGGGCTCGGGTCGGTGGAAATCGGAGGTGTTCGCTGCTACCTTGCCTAAGGGGGAGAGAGTGTGTGTGTACCTAGGACAGAGCAAGCGCGTAATGCCCTTATAGGGATCACGACACTTCCGGGACAGTCTGTCATTAGGCTGTCTTGAGTCTGATAGTTTTTAAAAATAAACGTTTTTCTACTAGATTCCAATACCTCCAAGTGGCTTATTTAATAATCTATCTCTTATGGCCTCTATTGGCCTAGATGCTCTGTCCTTGACTGGTCATTTAAATAAAAAGAGGAAAGTACGACGAGGTAGGCACACAACGCCTGAATATGAGGATTTTGCTCTGCTGGAAGGCGAGACTGTTGTGTAATTGCCTTTATTTGATAATTGATTTTATACCGACATGCTGGTTTCACTATGTCGAGGCACTGTTCTAGGTTCTGTACACAAAGGCCCAAGCTCAACTTTGTGAGGTCGGGCGGTTTTGGTGTCTTGAGATGAATTCACTTTGGGTCTCGCAGTAAGAACCGAAATCACGCACTCAAGGATGCACAGCGGCCTGGTCATTCTCAATACTCGAATTCTCAACCCAAAGCCGTACTACCCGTTACCCAGTGTGTAGTCTACAGTGATATCACAATAACCGCTGCCATGCTTCGTGTCCACAGGCTCAGCAGTGCCAAAGCCCAACGCGCCAATCATCAGACCTTCCTTATTACCTTGCCAACCAGGCCTGTCATCCATGTTTCCCCAACGCCTAGACAATGCATGCATTCATATTCTCGAAAGGCTAGCCCAGCCTGTCTCAGTCGCTCTCAATCATCTTCTCCGCGAGGTCGTTCAGGGGACCGTAAAAGTCTTTGCCACTAGCCAGCTTGTGCTCGTCGACGAACAGAACGTATTGCTTGAAACTTGTGTTGAGGTGGGGCTCCAGACCAAGCTCTCTGATGACTGCGTAGTGGTGGCAGTAAACGTGGGCATAAACGCGATACATGCGCTTGAAGATCTGTCGCACAGTTGAAGGAAATGATTTGGGGAAGGCAACGCCTAGTACCTCATATTAGCATCCATCTCCAATTCGCGAGAGACCAAGCATTGCGCACCAATTCTGCTCGGCAGGATCTGCTCATCGTCAATGTGTCGCTGCACCCAGGCCATCAAGTGCTCAATGTAGTCCGGTGCGGCCATCTTAGTCGGCCTCTTGTAGTTCTCACTGTCCTGCCACAAGTATTCGAACTCGTCTGTTGCCTTCATCTCAGGACATGACTGAGGCGAGCAGAACTCGGTAATAGCGCCATAGAGGAGGTTGATCTGGTTGTAGAAGTCGACCACTGCATTCGGGGCGCGTAAGTCGTGCTGTCTTCTTTGTTCCATGTACCCCGTCCTTGGAACGAACTCACTATTGACTGCCAACCACTCATTCTCGTCTTCGCCTTCGGGCAGTTTCACGACCTTGCGCAAGCTGCCGCCTCCAAGCGTGGCCTCGGCATACTGTCGCAGCGCAACGCCGTTGTTGGCTCCCTTGACGGTGCGCGCCCGAAATTGGTTCCTAGCCGCCTTCTGGTTACTGTCGTCCTCATAGTCGTCGTCAGCAGCTGTCAACACTGGTTCGGAAATCTGCGGTTCGGGGATCTGGATGACGGTAACGTCCCGATTGACGAGACTACCACTGCGGTTCCGTGGAGGAGGATCGGACACCGCTGGCGGCACTGAGGGCGGCAGCAGTGGTATCCCCGCCAGCAAGCCCGTCCTCACACTTAGGTACTGCAAAAGGGACATCATGGAGGCGGTGGTGGGCGTGGTACTGACACTGTGAGGCCCGCGACCCTGTCCATGGTGGGCGGCGTTTAGTATCGAAATGGGCTCGAAAGGTGGCTGACGTTTTATGTTATCGTCGAAGGCTGCTCATTCCAGCGGTTAGCGGGGCGATGGAACAGTTGAAATTCGAAGGGAAACGCTGAGAGATGCCGTTGACATTGTGACATACCAGATAGTCATACGACTTCGAAAGATGTCGTTTGGATGCTCGTATCCTGTTTGCGCGACCGGGAGAGGTATGTCTGGACGTAAAATGTCAAATCAAGATGATGTTGGATCCACGGTGCGCGCTGTTGGTTGTTTTGGGTGCCATGAGGTAAGGTGCCTGCGTATGCCTGTGAAAGGGTCCCCCCTACTACATTGAAGGGATGAGTGGTGTTTATGCGCTTGCCCAATCGGTGCGGTTGCTGGGCTGCAGGAGCCTGGCTGATGGAGACGCTAGCCACATTTACCCCTGCCAGGTGTGGCTGAAATGGCTCCAAGTGCCTGGGGCTGTTCCGCCTTCCCCAGCCCCAGCCCAGTGACGGACAGCCGAATGACATCGGGTGGGGCTCCTATTTCCCGGAGCCAGAATTACGGCATTTTGGATTCCCGTACGGCAACAAGCAGTTACTATTGGATGTGCTTTAGACCGTACTCCTACTTCAAGTCCGATGGCAAAACATCTCGAAAATATGACCCCGGTCCAGCCGCACCGCCCAAGTGCAGGTATCCTTGTCTACTTCTCCGCAATCAAGACTGAATCCTCCTCGAGGACTTCTGCCGGCCTGGATTTTGAATAGCCTCAATTCCAAAGCGGAGACAATGTTATCCCCGCATTCGTAATTCATCTCCCCTCACCTTTCCCTCCACTCCATGACCAGGAACACCAGGCGTATCAATAGTATGGCAATGGTTCCTTCGGTGCATAACACACCGAAGGTGTGTAGTTCGTGGACAAAACCATGGACACAAGCCTCACACATGACCACAGAGGGGAGACTGGCTCAAGAGTCGTCGTGGCCATTCCGCAGATCTCTTGAACAAATTAATGGCAGCCCCGCGCAATCCGTACTCCGGTTGTTGATTCTAAACCCATCACGTAGCCCCTGATTTCCAGATGCAGTCCTGATTCTCTGTAATTGAAAGGAGTCAGCCATGCGTGCTGTACACATCCTCCCGCTGCTATGCAGCCTCATCGAGGCCAAGATTGACAGACAGAAGGTCGTCCGAGCCTTCAACCCCTGCCGCAATGCCAGCGCCTCTGAGACGCCGCTGCAGGTAGGCAATGGCAACTTTGCCTTTGGCGCCGACGTTACAGGTCTCCAGACCTTCAGCCCCTTTGCGACGATGTCGACATGGGGCTGGCACAATTTCAGCCTGCCCACCACGCCTGGCCAAACTGAGATCGAAGGTCGGTCGAGATGGCAGAGAATTAAAGAACGAGGAGTTGTAAAATATACGCTGACAACGTATGCGCTAGACTACCATGGCACAGAGTGGTGGACGCACGGCCGAATTGTTCAGTACAACATGGCCAATCCGTCAAATAACGACATCGCGGACTGGCTCCGCGAGAATCCTCACCGCATCAATCTAGGCACCATCGGCTTCTCCTTCTCCGATGGTAATATGGCAGTCACAGAAGACGTGCTTAGCAATAAGCAACAGACATTAGACATGTGGACGGGCGTCATCCATTCCCGCTTCACGTACAAAGACCACACCGTAAAAGTCGAAACCTGGGCCGATCCAGCCTCAGATAGCATCGCCGTGTCCGTCGAGTCGGGTCTCCTCTCTTCAGGCGCCTTGTCCATCTTCTTCGACTTCCCCTACCCGACGAACGATAAGTTTGGCGCACCCTTTGTCGGAGCCTTCAACCTGACGGACTTGCACAAGACGTTCCTCTCGACCTCTGGCGGAGGAGGGATCAACCAGGCCAGGATCCATCATGATCTAACCACGACGCAGTACGACTTGGCACTCGAGTGGGATGTTGCGGGTGGTAGCGGCGCTATCAAGAAACCCACTGACGGGAGCCATCGATATGTTCTCTCAACTAGTGGGACGAATACGCTGCGGTTCACAGCCAACTTTGCGCCTTCTACACCCAAGTCTCGGCCCAGATATTACGATGTCGTGGCGGCTTCGCGGGAATGGTGGCCGTCATATTGGTCCAAGGGGGCCTTCATAGACTTGACGGGCACCGCAGATGCAAACGCGACTGAGCTTCAACGTCGAACGATTCAGTCTCAGTATCTCGTAGTAGTAAACTCGGCGTCATATTACCCCCCGCAGGGTAAGTCGACGTAGCAAGCCTCTCCCTTGTAAATACTTTTCACTTGAGAATCATGCTGAAAGGAAAACTAGAATCCGGTCTTGTAAACAATGGATGGTTCGGCAAGTTCCATGTAAGAACCTTCTTCCTGCTCCTCCAAACATGACGACAACCAGCTTATTTGAACCTCCAAGATGGAAATGATCCTCTGGCACACCCTCCAATTCGCCCGCTGGAATAATCACGCCCTCCTCGCCCGCTCCCTCCCGCAAACCTACACCCACCTGCTCCCCTCCTCCCTCACCCGCGCCTCAACGCAGGGCTACGCCGGCGCCCGCTGGGGGAAGATGACGGACCCCTCGACTATCGACGCCCCCGGCGAGATTAACACCCTTCTGATATGGCAGCAGTCGCACCCCATGTACTTCGCCGAGCTCGCGTACCGCCATGCGCCTAACCCGGAAACCCTGGCCGAGTGGGACGACGTCCTCACGGCGACGGCGGACTTCATGGCCTCGTACGCCTTCTTGAACGAGACGACGGGCGTCTACGACCTCGGTCCGCCAATGTACCCCGTCTCGGAGAACACGAACCCCAACGCCACTGTCAACCCGACGTTTGAGCTCGCGTACTGGCGTTTCGGACTCGACGTGGCAATATCGTGGAGAACCCGCCAAAACCATTCCATCCCAGAGTCCTGGACCACCGTCAGAGACAATCTCGCGCCCCTGCCAGTCGTCGACGGCACGTACGCCGTCTACGAAGGCATTCCAAACATGTGGACCAACACGACGGTGCAGGACCACCCGGCCATGGCGGGCATCTTCGGCCTCCTCCCGCCGCCGGCCTCTGGCCCGCCGTTGAACCGCACGGTGCTCGAGGAGACGGCGGCTCGCATATGGGGCCTGTGGGACCTGGACGAGTCCTTTGGGTGGGACTTTCCCATGCTCGCAATGAACAGCCTGCGCCTGGGCGACGTGCGGCGCGCGGTTGAATACCTTCTCCATCCGAAGTTTCAGTTCGACGACGCAGGGTATCCCATTGGTGGGGCGAGGGTGCCGACGCCGTACTTCCCGAGCTCGAGTAGCTTGCTGCTGGCCATGGCCATGATGGCCGGAGGATGGGATGGTGGGGAGGGGCCTCACTTCCCCAGCGGGTGGGATATCGCGGTCGAAGGCTTCGTTCCTGGACTGTAGATGAGAGCGAAACCTGTAAATCGGCGGCCAATGCGCCTTGACTTAACTTGCCTTTGAAGTGCAATACCGGATTTCTCAGGCGGTCTTGCACAACCATTCTCGAGGTGAGACTTAGTCTGGTGATAGATCGCTAGATAGATAAAGAAAATCGAACAAATCGCATAACTGCAAAGCTTTTGGTAGACATTTTTTTGAATGCTCTAAATTCCTCTTCTTCTGCTGGCGTCAGTCGTAATGACCAGACCCTGTATGATGAGCATTTCACAATATTCTGCTCAAGCATCCTACCAGCCATTTCACTATGGCATTAGAAGGACAAAATGGAAAGCCGGTGCGTTAAACCACCCGGCGACCTCAGAGACCAGCCAATTTTTGCTTCAGCAGCTCGGGCTTCGACCTGCTCTTCCAGCTCAAACCCAACCCAGTCCCACTTTCATTCGGCGTACATTCGTGATTCATATGGTATGAATAAAAGCCTATAAGCTGCCCGAGCAGTTGTTGTCCTGGTGGTAAAGGTTCCCACGTAGAAAGTCATCGTGGGTTGGGGGGGGATACGATTAAGAAACGGAGAATCAGAGCAAGATCTCGCCCATATTCTCGCCCTCGAAGCCCAGCGTACTGAGCTTCTTGAGCCGCCCCTTGTCGCGCGCCTTCTCCTTCTCTTTCCTCTCGTTTGCCAGACCCTGGACGAGTTTGAGGTCGCCCAGCTCGTAGCCCACCGGGGGGTCATCGTCCTTGTCGAGATCGATCTCGCCCAAGAGGAGCACGTTCTCGCCGCGCACGAGAAAGATGCCGCGCTTAATATCCGCGAAGAGGCCACCTTCGCGAGGTGGGTTGGCTTCCGGGTCCGGGTGGGCGTAGACGCGCTCGACGGTGTCTTGGAGAACGAGATTGGCTAAGCAAGTAGAAGGGCACAATATCAGCTTTTGACTGCGCTCTTAGCTGATGCGGTCCGGTCTGCCGTGTATACATACCGAATTGGTCCCAGCTACGGAGGACGCCGATCAGTTTGCGCCCATCGCGCAATGCGACCATGAGCTTCTCTGACGGAAGGTTAGCGTTGGTGTCGCGAACAGTACCGCAGCGCTATGCGGCTGAGGCTGCCGTGGTTTTTCCCATACTGTCGGTCATGTCCAGCAGCTGCGCCGCAGTGGTGAACATCTGGGGCGGAAGCTGAGGGGTCTGTTGAGGCGGCGGCGCGCGGCCGCCAAGAACGGGTTGGGCCCCTTGGGGAGGGGCATCGGAGATGTTGAGGTTTTCCATTGTTATCTCGTTGGCATTGGTATATTGTAGTTATTGCATTCGGGCCTGTCCCAGTCCATCGATTTGGGTACGAAAGAGGTTGCGGCGAATGCGATGCGGCAAAGCGAATAGGTGAATTATAATGTGTCGCGGAGGGACATCATCAGGCGAGGATTCGTTTTTGTTTGCAGCTTGCTTCACTCTTGTTGGTACGGACGATTGTACCTAATTCGCTTCTTTTAGGTTAGGAACGCTGGGTGTTTTCGATCAAGCCATCATCATCGTGGGGTCCATCCCTGGTAAGGCTTGGTGTGGCGGTGTTCAAAAAGGTAATACCCGACTTACCTGGAATGCGGCACCGGAAGGCCTGTTTTTGCGTCATCCGAAAAAGAGACAACATACCTACCTTACCAACCTTACCTTACCTTAAGGTACGTCAAGGCGGGATCTGGACGGCCCCCGGCAGAGACCGCAAGCACAGATCGTTTGCTGGTTGGAGGCTGGCGGCTGGGGCACGTGAAAGGCGGGGCATGAGTCAATCCCTGCTGTCAAAATTTCTGATGATCTCAGATGCATGCGGGGCAGTTGCAGTCCCTGATACAGTGGAGGGGAAGCAACCAGTCCGGCTGTCTGTTCTCGACTTCCAGTGTGTGCGCAGACTGGGTAGGTGGGTGAGGTAGGTTCTGTGTCGCGCAAGTGACAGGAGACAAAGGTTTTGTACCGGGAATGGGTCACCCAAATCCCGAGAAGATTGCAGCTTTCTTACTTCAGGCTTTCTGTTATATCTCTCTCACGACACTGCTCTCTGCGGACCATTGCGTTGGTCTATCTATAATCAAATAACCATTTTGTCTCGCGAAAAGCCCCCAACGATTCCCAAGAGCGTTGGTGTACCATCACAGGTAACTATGACTGCCATAAAAAGCCATCCGCATCGCCGAATCTTAATCGCAGTTTTGGTCTCTGATGCATCCCATACCAGTCCTGGGCGGCCCCTTTTTGATTTTCGTCATCTATAGCAAGCAAGCCATCAACGCCCATGTCATAATGCAATTATTTTTCTTTTTTTCTCTTTTCCGTGGCGGGTCAATAAGAAAGTGGTTTCGTCTGTAACGCGAACGGAGTTGACCATTTAGGTGCTTTCCAGGGGCCAATATCTCCTCTGTCGGGAGTCAAGGGGCCTGTGACACTTGCAGGTTCGTAATGGAGATGGATAAATTATCTCGAGGCGCATTCTCGGTTGACGACAGCGGTGACCATGGTAGCATTGCACGCCGTAAAGACGCACGCGTTCGCGTTGGTAGTCAAGGGGAAAGGCCAAGGGACCACGGCGCTCAATGCGCCGAGCGCGTATCATGACTTCTTCATAGTACATCTTGTCAATGCCTCGAGGAGCTCTGGTCGAGCTGCCAATGCATCTTTGGCTTGGGCATATGTCATCCACTGACGCTCCCTCTTGTGGCTTTCGGGCCAAGCGTCCTCTTGTGCCGTGACGGTAGCCTCGTAGAACCTGTACAAGGCCTTGGCTGAGTCTTTGCTAGAGTGCTTCGGTGCTCTTGTCTCGACGATGTCTCCCAAATCATAGTCAATTTCGATGGTAATACCTGCTTCCTCCCAGGCTTCACGCGCCGCAGCTTCGGTGCACTCCTCGTCCGTCTCCCAGCCGCCCTTGGGCAGCACCCAGCCCTTCCGGCGAGTGGACTGGATGAGGAGGACGTAGCGCTTGTCCTTGGTCAGGGGGACGACACCAGCAACTAAGCGCTCGCCTTTGGAGTTGTAACCTGCGATTACCAAGGTGTTAGTGGGTCCCGCGCAGCGAGCAGGCGCACCAGGGTCGGGGGAAGAGGCTCAGAATAGGAGGGGTTTTGCCTCTGCCCCGTTTGCGCACTTACGCTGCTTGCTTCTTCCCGTGCGTGACTCCATCGTCCGCTCCTTGTGAGAGGAAGCCATTTCGGACAGCCTGTCTATCGCGGGGTATGTTGTGGAATGTGTTTGGGGTCGGTTATGGTGGGGGCTGCTCTGATATGCGGTGGCGGTATGTCCGGCAGCTTTTTTCCCTTCGCAAGTTGATTTGCAAGCCCAAAGCTGTCCGGGCGGCGGTGGGTGTCGGGGTTCGATGCGGGTTCAGAAGTTTTTCAACGACATGATCGCGTTGTTCCAGTGGTATGAGCGGTTGGTAGTGGGAAAGGATGCGGGATCACACGACTGCGAGAGAATCTTGACGAGTGAATCGCAGGTTGTTGGCGCGTGTTGAAGCTTCGGACGAGACTCGGGTCTGAGGGCCAGCAGCTAACCAAATTTCTCTGCGAGCTTCTGAGAGATCCGACCAGGGCAGAGCCAAGGCGGTGCGATCGTAGGTGCGCAGAGAGCGAGAGAGAAAGAGAGACCAGTAGAGGGAACGCTCGGATGGATTCACCACCACAATGGAGAAACGAGTGGGACCAGCCTGTGTCGGGCCAGCAGTCGCACGTTTCCGGCCAAAGGGCAAACCTTGACCGAGCCGAGTCACTCGATGGCTTACAGAAAGCGAAGTCGGGCAGACAGGTGTCGGCCGGGCGATGGGGATACGACAGAACAGCAGGAAAGCTCGTCGTCTTGGCTGGTTCGGGGTTTGAGGGTTTTGGGTGACAAAGGTTGCTGCCGTGGACCAGGGAGGAGAAGGAGGAGAATAAGGCGGAAGGACGCGGCGTCAGATATGACTGAGGCACGCACCACCGAGTGACGGAAGGCCCCAGTGAGAGGGTAAAAGATGGGGATTGTATCCTTTGGCTTACGAGCTGACCTGAATGAACACACGGAGCAGAGTTGTTCAACGTGGAAAGTGAAAGAAGTCAAGGCCGGGAAGGGTCAGGGTGGGCTTGAGTTGCTGAGGCGGCGGCAGTAATAGTAGCTGGGAGCTCTGGTGGAGGCCAGAGGGTGGCATGTCTCGTGCCATAAGAGCAAAATTGGGCGGGAACGGGCTCCATGGGAAATTAAAGTTGATTTATATACTTAGCCCTTTGAAGACAGAGCTTGTGCCTCCAACAGCCCACGGTGCCGGGCAGGGGGAGGACTACTAAGGTGGTCAAGCTAGCAGGCTACGCGGGCCAGAAAAAAATGAAGGAAGGCGGGAGGTCAGGGAGGGTATGATGCCAGGCTGGGGACGGATACCTAGGTAGGTTGGTGTGTGTGTTTGTGTGTGTGGAAAGAAAGTGTGGTGTGGCTGCGGCGTGTGGTAAGGATGAACAGAGCAGTCAAGGTGGACAGCAGAAGCAGAGGCGTGACTTGAGCGTGAAAAGCCGACGAGAGTGTGTCGAAAGACAGGGAAACAATAATAAATAAAAATTAACAGGGTGTGGCAAGGACAGGCAGGAGGAGATGGGGATGAGAAGTGACATGCATGGGGAATGCTCCCCGTTGGTCTCTGGGATTCAGTCAGGGCAGGGACGGACCAGCTCAACCTGACATTCGGGGACGGGAAAGACCAGGGAAGGGTAGGCACAGTATTCTGTACCTTCCTCTCTCTTTTTCTGTGTCTCTCTCTGCCTGTCCCTGCGTCCGCCCTCCAATCACGTTCTCCATTTCCAATACTCGGACAGAACTACAAACTCGTACACAGGTAGCCTTTGGGCACATTGTCCAGACAAAATGTCCTCTCCTTCTGGGCCCCTCAAGCAACCTGAAAGGCACTCGTGAGTGCAGTGGAAAAGGCACTATTCTGGGTAAGGTACGGGGACTGTACTACGGTACATCTGGATGTCTGCTGATTGGGTACGTGGGTACATGACTTGCCGTCCGGAATTCAACGACACTGCCGCTAATCTTCCTTAAGCAAGTTAATGGATGGATCCAGGTCCCCGTCTACCAGTCTCGCCATCCACGTCCAGTCCAGACCCAGTGTTCCAGCACTTTCTCTCAGCGGCCGCTTCCAGTCATTCCGACAGTCGTATGGCCCTTCCATTCATGTCAGACTTCTCGGGCCTACGGGGTTCATACCCACTGTTCGTCGACATCGCCGCCGGCGCACTCGAACCCTCAAGCTTAAGCATTGGATGTCAAATGTGCCGCATGCCCTGCGGGCTCGGCATCCAGTGGACTTGCGGCAGGCCATGTTCCCAAAACTGTGTTAGGGGGTGGGGGTGCTGCAGCCGGGACGCGATGCGACTGGAGAGACCGGGCCATCCAGCCCAGCAGCTAGCTCCAGCGACGTTCCCTCTGTCCACCGTATCGACGTAGCACTGCTAGGCTTCCCCCACCGTTAGTTGCCGCAGCCTCTTCAGTTTCCTACCAATGTGCAGAGTAAGTTTGGACCTGCGACTTGTCAGCATCGGGGCCTTTACAAAGTCCATTCGTGTCATCAGGTCTGAAGCCTGGGAATGAGCATGAATGGTGCTTTTTGCCGTGCCTTACCCGGACGACCTATGTGTGCAATCAACAGGAGGGTCTGTCTGCCAAAGTTTGCTTGGCGTCCCCAAGGGTTGCGGCTTGCAAAGAGACAGGAACCTGAAGGATAACCTTGGAATCAACTAACCGAATAATTGTCCATGCTACCAAGACTGTCTTCAACGCCGCCTGGCGCAAACACAACAGTCCGTCTCGGTCCTTCCTCTCTCCTCTGGATCAGTGCTGGCTCGATTCAGCAAGCAGAGCCGGGGACCACCTGCACCTGCATCAGTACAAGTTCTCCGGTGCCCCCATAATCTGTTGTTCCCTTGGGCCCCGGGCCAAGCGATGCGACGAACAAGCATCTCGCTGGCACAGGTGTCCAATGCAAGCCACGCCGTGTCGCTCCAGCTAAAACAAGCAAGTGCAACAGCGCCGGTTTGGCCAGCAGGCGCCTACTGTATATGTCCTCGTGGTCCGGAAATCAGGAGACGCTGCTCGGGAACTTAACTTGCAAGGCCTATTCGCTTTGTGCTGTGTGAACACTATATGCAAGCATAGGTTCCTCTGATTCGACAAGACAAATCGAAGTCTTTGCTGGGCTACCACGCGAGGTCTCCTTAGATGACAGAGAAGCACCATGAACCGAATAGCGGCCCTTGCCAACTCAAGCGCCTCATTTGACATGCGAACAGCTGGCTTAGAGAGACCATTTGACTTCTTTCTGGAGTTAGCGAGGGGTGTCCGGCTCAGGATCGTGTGGGAATCGTCCAGGTTAAGGGCACAACCAAGATGTCAATGCCCAACCTTCAACCGAGACCGACTCATCCGCAAGCTGTTCGGCTACGGGCCATTCTCTCAACTCCGGCGACATCGGCATGGTCACGTTATATTCTAATTAGCCAAGCACTGCTGTCGGGAAGGCCGGCGTCTGCTTGAACGAAACCGAGCTTCCAAAATCGACTGCAGCAAACAGCTATCAACTTGAACGATGAATATTTTGGTGCTTCCAAAGCCTCTTACCACCGACATTATCGTGCCGAACAGTGAACCTTTTTATTGCAACTGTATCGCAGCCTGTTGGTGGCCCAACTGTAGACTCATCGCGGCAGGTTCCAATTGGGTGTTGCGAGTTTCGATGTGCTCTACCAACGTCATCCAGATCCACGTTGCTGATACCCGGAGAACGTTCCTGGCTTACTGAGGATTCGGTGTTACTTGTCTGAAAAGTAGATGATGATAACGACGATAGAACATCAAGACTGGAAAATTATAATCATATGGTACGGCTCACAACTGTATCATTACCGGAATAATATCTGTTGATAATGGACCAAAACTCCTTCGTCTCTGGCTCTCTATAAGCGGTTCCGATGAACCAGTTCAAACATGAGTTCAGGGGAGGGGTGTAGGCTGCAGCCACAAACACCCATTGCAGTTGGTTGGATTTCAGACGTTGGCGGGATGCATCCCACACTGCATCGGAGCTGGAGGCATGTCGACCGACCACTCAAGTGACAAGCGATTCACCAACCAAGTCATGCTTTCCTGTCCCGGATAGTAGGGTTTGGATGTGGGGGTGCAGCTTTAGACCAAGGTCACCGTGTGCGAGTTAAGCAGCCAAGGAAGGTCCAGTGATTCGACAAGACGGGGAGGCTGTAAGAGCATCTGAAGGTCTGTACAGAATCCTCGGCCGTTAGGTCGCTGGCGAGTACGTGCACTTGGACGCAGCTTCCGCTCTTGTATCGAGTTCTAGGGGGAGGTACGGATACAACCGAAGCAACGCGACGAAATACAACGCCTCGAAGCTCACCTGCATCCACCACCGATCGCATCTCGATGCCGCATTGCTACCTGAGGTAGGTCTCGTGTCGGTTGGTCTTGCCTCGTGTTGCTACAGCTGGTACCTTTACTCAACAGCTCCCACCAGCAGGATTTTCAGCTTGAAACCCGGAGGCCGCACCGTGAGCTCAAGCTATCTCATATCATCTTCTCATCCAGGTTCATTTCTCGCGTCATTCTCCGATCCGACAGAGCCGCCGCCGCCTCATCCTGGTACGTTGTATGCGACAGGCCCTCGGGCCAACGAGATTGCAGACCTATCCATCTGCTGTAGGGTAACGGTCCCTGTTTGCATCACACATGCTCTAGATTCTGAGCGCCTGCATATTCGTGCCTCCATCGTCGTTGGGTGACTAACCAGCAAAGACACACAGCAAACAGATAGCGGCGTATAGCTAAACAGATAGCGGCGTATAGCTAAACCGAGCCGGCGCAGTCCAGGCCAATGCCCAAAGTCCGGCTTACATGGGCTTCGATGAGCTAGCTCGAGTCAAAGATGAGAGTGTCTGCGTAAGGTAGACAAGGTACAAACAGACTGGAACGGGCAGGCACATTTACTGGGGCAGTAAGGTGAGGCGAGCGCGTGAGCAGGCAGACAAACGCAACGTCGTCATACCTCATTTTGGGGGGGTTTTCGAGGCCACATATTGGAAATTGACTGGCCACTGCAGACTACAAATACATACCGGTCCATTTTACAGGGAAGCTTCTTACAATTCGAAAGAGCGAGCCTCACGCGCGTCGCATCCACTTCGTATTCCTCCATCTTGTCTCGCAGCACTGGACCAGGCGCTGGACAACAGACGTCACGGCCAACCAGCTAGCAATTACAGCGCTGCAACTAAAGAAAGGAAAAGGCCGTTACTTAGGTCGGGTCTGACGACTAACCCCTCACTCCATTTCAGGCTTCAGAACCCCGCCCGCCCACGCTTCACAGTCACCCACTCACCCACTCAATTGCCACAGCGGGTGTGAGAGTTCCACAAACAAGTGCATTTCCGACTTTATTCCACTGCCACAAGTCGAGTAGCCGAACAGCGCCATCCGTCGAGAAGGGGAAGTAAACGAAGGCGGCGGTTCGATCCTCGACACTCACCTCGTCACAGGATACCTTACATAGCATACCCCCTCCTCCCCGCCGGGCGTTTGTACGCCAAGCAGCCTCGGAATCGATCACTTCGAATATCAGCCGACGTTTCGTGCTTTGCCCAGCGCTAGTCGAGCTGGCTGCTTCCCTGGCGCGTTAGCAGAGCGACCAAGTCGCAGCAGACGGTCATGGAAGGCACAAGTCTGCAGACCCCTGGCGATGCATTGTCCTATATAACTCCAATCGGTGAGTCGGTCGTCCTATTCTCTCCTCCAACCATCTACCCCCGTGCAACTTCTCTCAGCCGCCGTTGGCTCGTGGCATTTTATGGGGTAGCTCCCTTGGCCGTCCTGGAACTGGTTTAGTTGCCTTTTTCCTCGTGCATCTGCGCCGATCAATGTCACTACATCCCATTCCCAGTCACACGTACCTCTGACTGCAATCCTTCAAAGTCGGATCAAGTTGGGGGTCTCTCTGCACGCCATGGATGCGGAATCCCACGCTTACAAGGCCACTTGGCTCCAAAGCTCGGGCTGTTCTCACCATACCTGCATCGAAACTACAAGCGCGCGATTGGTCTTATTAGCCCCCTTTCCCCTCCGCTTCGTATGCCTGATCGTACAAACCCCTTGAAGTTGTTTACACTGTTTGGTTTTCACATCTCGGGAAGAGCCTTCAGGGCAACGAGGCTTTTGAATTACGCATGTCTGGTAGTTGGCGAACAAGACTTCACGCGCTTATGGTTAGCTAATTCATACTCAGGCTATTCTAATTCATCGCGCTGTGGTTATTGTGGCCGCCAAGGCAAGAGTCAGTCAAAACGTGAATGCTATCCCTCGTTCTCTATGTCGTCTCTCGTTAGCCCCACGTGGGCTTGCGGAATGGTGACTTGCAGTCGGCCACTGTGGGAGTCCGTGGTCTGAACAGTGACTAACATGAGCCTCTATTCGACAGGCTTCTCTTACTATGCCAAGTCCACATCTCTTACTCCTGAGTACTACCAAACCCTGCTGGATCACTATTGGAGGCGCTCCGGGACGACCCTCTACCGACCGGACCAACTTCATGCGTGCTGTGTTCATTACACCCTTCGCCTGGACTCTACTCAATTCAAACCCACCCGAGATCAACGACAAACCATCAACCGGTTCAACAAGTATCTGGCGGGCGATGCTTACATCAAGGAGGCAGCTCGTCTCCACCCTCGGTCACGCGAGCAGGCCAAGAAACGGGACTCCGAGTTCGACTTGATCGAGAGGGTCCACGAAGCGGAATACGACTTCCTTCAGGTGCCTCCTGAGCCCGCCCACGTCTTCACCGTCACACTCGAAGATGATGTCTTCACCGAGGAGAAGTACCAAGTGTATGAAAACTACCAGCGAGTAGTCCATGGGGAACAACCAGCCGACATCACTCGACGCGGCTTTCAACGCTTCCTATGCGAGTCTCCGGTCCAGCGCAAGACAATCACAACTGCGGACGGCAAGGAGCAAAAGCTGGGTTCTTTCCATCAGTGCTATCGCTTAGATGGTAAACTGGTAGCCATTGGTGTCCTGGACCTGCTTCCCCACTGCGTCAGTGCCGTTTACTTCCTCTACCACGAGTCCATTCATAAATATGCACCGGGGAAATTAGGTGCCATCCGTGAGATTGCTCTAGCACAGGAAGATGGTTATCGTTACTGGTATCCCGGATTCTACATCCATAGTTGTCCCAAGATGCGGTACAAGATGGACTATACGCCGCAATATATCCTGGATCCTGAGACGCTGGCTTGGGATCTCATGGATAAGAGAGTAACGGACCTTCTCGACAAGAAGCCGTATCTGAGCTTGTCAAAGGAGAAAACTGATGAACCATCTGTCGAAGCGGTCACGGGCGCTTCAGGTCAACTTGCAGCAGGCCAAGGACAGGCTACAGAAGAATCCAAGGACAACGACGATGATGATGACGATGACGAAGACGACGACGATGACACTTTCTTGTTCAACACGGGGATGCCAGGTATCATGTCGCTTGATGAGATCCGCTCACTCGAGGAGATGGACCATATCAAGCTGCGAATAGACGGCTCTGGACTTGTTTTTGAAACCGGCGACCTGGTCGCGTGGGAGAGACAGGATGTTGGAGTGAGCGGGTGTCTCAAGGCAGGGATTGCAGAGCTGGTGGCGGCTTTGGGGCCTGAGCTACTGGAGGATGTCGTGGTAGACTTTTGGAATCCTCATCTGTGAAGGATGGTGCCCAGCTTGATTCCGCTGCTGGTCATGTTTTTCTCTACCTGCAATGCGGCTAAGAACACAGTTAAAAGAGGTGAACGCAGGAGATTAGAGCGTTGACAGTCTGGTCTTGTACGCCGTTTCTATTGTGCCCTAATACTCTTCCAGTCGTGGTGTCCCTCTCGAGATTTCATTCCGTTCTGGCGATCATCAACCACCGCCACATCTGTCCCCCATTCAGTAATGTAAAGTGAGTGACATATGTGGGTTTGTGACACACATCGATGTACACCGTAAACTTTGATCGGTGCTGAATTCGGTATCTGATCCTGGCAGAGCTTTAATACACAAGTCTGGTTATATCTTGCTTAGGCAGCAAGTATATTAGGCTCACACACTCTACTAATGGTAGCTAAGATTTTACTCCATCTTGAGCCATCAGATGGTGTGTCATGCTTGCTGCGAGATAACACACAGGTAGTTGATCAAAGAACGTTCAAGCAAAATGCACAGCATATTCATGTTTGGAAGACCTTCCCAAGAGTGGTTCGATAAAGTATGAGATTTCGAAAAGTCCAGAGCTTGGTTTGCATAGAACTTACATCACCATTCGGTAACATTGGTACATGTCAAACTCAACCCTGGCCACAGATCATGGTACTATCCAGTGCATTCTCATTTCCAATAGAACCAGCAGTCAATTCCATGGAATTTTAATATTAACGAGCTCACGAACGCCGTCGATGCTAAAGTGTGCTGATGAGGCACTAATCTCGCTCAAAAAGGGGCAATGTATATGCTACCTTATCACCCGGAACACATACCGACGAGGCAATCAACAAGGTGATACCAGAAGCCAGTTGGAAGCCGGCCATACATTGGTCCAATTGATTCTCCACTATGAAGAGGTCATCACCATCCGGGGAAGGAGGCGCCCTCACCCGCTCCTTCCCAACGCGCCAACGTCTTCCATCCCATCTCATCCCAACCTCACCCTTCACCGCCCGCATGCCCCCAATCAGGCCATCAGAACGCACCAGAGTGTCTTGTTTATTTACAAACTCTTGGATAGGTAGTCATCGCCAGCACAAGGGGCGGGACTCTTGGCATAGAGGTCCTAGGCGGACTCCCCTGTGTCTGGGCGATATTGCCAAGATCGACCGTTCGATTCCCCTTCCGCGCGCCGAACCGAGCGCAAGAGCACGCCGATCCGAGTGCTGTAACCGAGTTGACTGTCCAGTTAACATCTTATCCGACTATCCCAGCATGTGCACCAGAGATGTAGCTCACCCCATCGGCGGAGGGGTGAGTGAACTCTTTTGTCGATTTAATATCTGATGATTATTTGGTACTAGATTTGTGCAATATATATATATCTACTGCGTATTTAATTGAATGGGTGTATGTAGTTGGTGCTGACTGGTGTCTATCCCCTCCCATGATGAGGTGGCTACTTTTCCAATCATTTAAATGATCATGAGTGGTGTGACTACAATGTGACGGCTATTATTACTTTGATATGTAGGCTGATAGAAGTCTCTTTAGTATCTATCATATATGTATAAGTCGAGATATGTAGTTACCGCTTAATCCTGTAGATGACCGCTTGTTATTACCCGACCTTTAGGAAAACTGCAATATCACGATATGGTGTTGAGGACATGAAGTCGCGAAACCGTTGGCCCGGTAATGTGGATTACTTAAGACAAGTAGCTGCGCCCGGCGTATTTTCGGGAGCCTCAAACGGTCTTATCTTATCGAGGTCCGCAATCGCCCCCACCTGATACATGGGGACCCTAAAGCAATGACGAACTGCCTTCCCCCCTCCGGAGTACTCACAGCGGTGCCCCTAGCCTATCCTCCGTCGCAGCATTGTGTCCCTCGAAACTGAGCCGGTTCAGGCACGAGACCAAACGTCTCTCCTCCTCCGTCACCGATCACCGGTATCGCGCGTCCGCCCAACCGAGCGACCAACCTCCGAAACCTCGTGCACCCAAACATACACACACGGTCATTCATTCACCTTGCCGTTTTGTCGTTGACGTACGCTCTTCGCAACGAAGTCGCCCTCCTCCACCTACAGGTCCCCCAACTTCTCGAGACAAATCACCGTTCCGAATCCTATAGACCCTCCTCATCCTCACATCACTCCAGCCAGAATGGGCGGCAACGCAAGTAAAGTCACCGCCCAGGACAAGTACGTCCTCAGCTCTCAATCCCACCGAATATCGCGCGCGCATGCGACGCCCGTGATGTGCGATGCGCGATGCGCCTCAACCATCCGTCTCACTGCACTCATGATAGATAGAAACCGCACCCGCTAACTTCGACCCCTCCCCCCTCTCCAGGGCAATCCTCGACCTCAAGCTCCAACGCGACAAGCTCCACCAGTACCAGCGCCGCATCACGGTCCTGACGGACAAGGAGACGGCCGTCGCGAAGCAGATGCTCGCAAAGGGCGACAAGCCGCGCGCCCTCCTCGCCCTCCGCCGCAAAAAATACCAAGAGTCTCTCCTGCAAAAGACGGACGCCCAGCTCGAGCAGCTCGAGAAGCTCACGTCGTCGGTTGAGTTCGCCATGATCCAAAAGGACGTCGTGTTCGGCCTGCAGCAGGGCACAAAGGTGCTCAAGGAGATCCACTCCGAGATGGGCGGCATCGAGCACGTTGAGAAGCTCATGGGCGAGACGGCCGACGCTATTGCTTACCAAAAGGTACGTTGGGGTCACAATGCTATCCGGGTGTTTCGGAGCCGCAACAAAGCTTGTGGAAAGCGTGGCAAGACACAATGCATCGCTAACATGTCTTTTTTTACCCACTTTATAGGAGGTCAGCGACATGCTCGGCGGCCGTATATCAGTCCAGGACGAAGAAGAAGTCGAAGACGAGCTCGCCGCCCTCGAGGCCAGCGTCGCCGCCGAAGACGCCATCCGCAACCCGCCCAAGCAACACAAGCTCCCGACAGTGCCCGACACGGAACTACCGGTCCCGCAGGGCGAAGAGGAAGAGCCGGAGGCGCAGCAGCCGCTTCGGACGAGGCAGCCCATGTTGGCTTCCTAACGGGCTCTTTCACTTCTCCTTGCCCTTCTTCTTCGTTTTCCAACACAACTTTCTCACTTTCACGTTCTTGACGATACAGGAGCTTCAAGCATGCGGGGGGAATTTGATTGCATTTTCAAGGAGTTGAGGTTAGGAGCAAGTCTTTTCTGTTCACATCTATAGTTCATTACCTCATCTTTGCGCGCGCGGCAATATGGCACTAGACGGGGGTGGGACGGCTAGAACTATTTGCATTTTTTTGGATTCATTGACTACATCGTTGCATTGTTTCGGAATATGCCGTTACGAGGCCGCTAGAATCAACTCCCAGGAGTTTCAATACACACGAGCTGACGATCACCTCAACGTTACTTCAAAGATTGGTGCATGATTTGAGAGGGAGCCTAATGCTTCAAAGGATCTGGTGCTTTTATATGGAATCGCAGATGTATGTGATATATGGTCTATTAGATCAATCTCCCCAGTAACGTAGTCGACAGAATGCTCATCTACTCGGTTTACTTCTCCTCCCATCAGCCTTCGGACAACGGTTTGATCAAATCTCCAAACCTCGGAATTCACTTCTTCCACTCTATGTCGTATACATACTCGCTCCCAACTAGGCCCCCCTCTACAGCCAGTAAGTATAATGAAAGGCGCGGGTGTCCCCAATTGGGAGCCCCACCCAACGAACTTGTGTAAAACCCATCTTCTTCACCAGCGGTGCACATCATCAATTCATCTTGAGGAATGGATGCTCTATCATACCCTCACCATCGCTACCCCTTTACTCCCTCCCTCTCATTTTGCTAGTACTGCTCACTATTGCTCATTAATACTCCTCAGGATTAAGACGACGCTCAGCAGGCGAGGTTGAGTGAGTTTTGTCCCGTCTCTGGGCTATATGGAACAGACGAAACATCCTCACGAATGTCTCTGTGCTGCCAACTTAGACAACCTATAATATCACTGCCAGTAACCAAAGCAAAGGAAAAGCATGACCACATCAAATACGAACATGTCAAGCAGCAGCAGAAACTGCTGGGGGTGGGGGTGTCAAAATGCACATCGGGATGCTCTCGAGAAGGAATTCAAGAGGCAAAAAAGCATATCAGGTGCTGGCAGCCAATTTTGAAGTTTGTTGCAAGAGCTAAGAGTATGAGTATTTATTACGACTGCGGTTTTCCGCCGCCGCGAGCTATATCAACTTCAACTCACGTCAGCACAAGGCGAGCAACTCCTCAAGATGATTGCCGATAGATATTTTGAGTTGAGGTATCGGGGAATGAACATTCTGGGTTGTAGGGTCAGGTTTGCTTTGTATTCATACAGGAGTGGAGTTACATAAACCACGAACAAGTAGTAGGGTGCTTCCTGTTTAACGATTTGCAACACGATTTCTTCTTGATGTTTTTATTCGCATGGTGCTAAAAAGTTCATAGGGGTCATGCAAATCAGCCCTCCGCTAAGGCTCAGACGAGAGCAGTTTTTGCTCGTCGACTATGGGTATCATATCTAATAACTCCTTCCATGCATCCTCCCCAAGCTGTCACTGATTGACCAACCCTTCCTGTTTCATAACGAAGAAAGACCTCTACTTCAAGTACCCGTCCATCATGAGCCACGAACCCAAAACCCCTGGTTGATGAATGCTGATAATCCTTAAACGCCTCGTACATGCCATCGTCCATGATACTAACCACGCATGTCTGCATAGCCATTCCGAGTATGCACAGTGTTGGAAACCTGTTTCATATCTAGTCGCTGCTTACTCAAGCACGATCACATCATCGTTTGCTCGTGGCCACTGGCGCGATGCGCGGGGTGGCGATGGTCGATGTCTGTCAGATCTGAACGAGTCTTCAAGCCGTTGAGCTGACATGGCGTGTCGGTGAACAGGAACACCGTATGCTCCCTGCACCGAATGATGATGATGATGCTCGTATGGCCTGACGTTGCTCAGTTAGCCGGTAGATTTCGAGCGCATCGTCTAGTACAAGACTTACGCTCCCCGATATGCAGGCGACGGGACTCTTCGCTGAGCAAGACTATCATTTCTGACCGTCTCCACACGTTCATAACTATGCCCCGAATAGGATAGGTCAGCCGGGGGCGGCCTTTCGACGCGCCTCACGTAGATGGCTTGCCCGGGTGGTTCAGCTGGGCGGTATTGCTGTGGCTGTTGCGCAGTCCGGTAGCCGTCAAGATGAGAACGTCCATCAGTAGGAAATGCAGAATGCCTGGGTTCGGCGATAGGGCGCTCTCTAAGCCTGAGAAAGCCCTCCTCTTCCAACCTCCGCTGATCCATGTTGTTTTCCCGCAAGCGAATGAAGCCTTCGTCCATTGAATTAAAACGCTGTGTGTCTGGGCCACCATCACGTATGGGGCGATGGACAGCGAGAATCTCGACATTGGGGCCAAATCTGTCTCGGACGCTCTCACCTGTGCCGAGAACGACTGTACCTGGGTGAACATTGTGATCCTCAATCATGATGGGATTGGCTCTCTCTCCCATGACACTCCCTTGACGTCGTCTCAGGTTGTCCTCGCGGTGGGTGATTCTGTCAGCGTAAACCTGAGGTCGAGGAGGGCCATACTCTCGCATGGGCTGATACGCGACTGGTCGAGCGGAATCCCGTGGCACATTGCGATATGATAATTCAGGTGCTTGAACAATGTCCTGGCCATCACGCAAAGGTCTCGCACGGATGGGATGACTTTGGTGGATCTGGGGTTGATGGTTGTAGCGCTCTTCTCGTACCATAGGGCCAAGGGGAGGGGAGTTCAGACGCGGGTATAGCTCATCGCCTCTGCGGTCCATGAATTCCACCATGCCACGGGAATAGCGTGATGGAGACCTCACGGCGTCGGGGGATCTCGGCTCAATTGATGGGTGCAGGAAGTCTTGCAGCTGGTGGCTCTCTCGAGCCCGGACACCTGCATTGTTGGAGGAGCCGAGGCTGGGAACGCCGCCAGCTTCATTTACCTTGTGTCTCATTGGACCAGAAGAGAAGTACTGAGATCGGGCAAGCTGGGACTGGGTGCCAAATGCATCATCCATGTGCTGCCTGGTCTCATAAGAATTGCCGCCGGGCTGTGCAGGGGGTAGCCTCAACTGCGAGCCCGCACGATCTTTATGCTCAATGGGAACCCTGTTGCCAATGAATTCAACAGGCTGGCCCTGTGGATGCGCTCCGTGACTAACGGAGTTGTCCGCCTGATTCGTTCGATCATCGGGCCCCCGCTGCCGCTGCCTGGCGTTATTCCAGGCAGCATTTGCGGCAGCCTCATAACGGCTAAAGTTACGTTCACGGTGCTTAGCCTGTCTGCGTGCCTTTTTGGCATTCCTTCTGGATGTTCCGGGCGTTGCAAGGAGCATCGGCGATCCTGGATGAGATGGTATCGCTGTCGACAAGCGTTTATCGTGGTTAGCGACGTTCTGGGCCATGGCTGGTGCCGACACTCTGCCAACGTCATGGGACCTGCTGATGAATATCTCTGACGACTCGGAGTCGGGCTCCTCGCCTGAGTCCTCGTCGTCAGAGTCATCTGACAGAACCACTACTTCGCGAAGGATTTCGTCAAGCTGGTTACGGCCATTCTCGTCGTCACCTCGCCACTTGACGAGGAAATCTAGGCAGAGCTGCTCTGTAGCTCGCCTAGCGTTGTGCCAGGTCGTCTCCCTAAGAAGCTCGTCATATCTGGTATGGTTATGTCGAATATGTGCCAGGACGGCAAGCTGCACTCGCCGCGAAAGAGACAAGTCCTGCTGGAGCCCTACAACTAGGTCGCCTTTGAAATATGTCCCCTGTAATGGTTTGTTAGCACCCACCGGATACCCCCACAAACTTCGCGGCACGACAAACCTTCTGAAACGCATGGTCGATAATCTGTTGTCGGTCGGTGTTCGGAATTCTAGGGAATAGTTCTCGCAGCGCGGCGTCCGCCTGTTTATCGATGTCGTTCTGTTTCTCAGGGATTTTCTCGACCTGTGCGTCGCCTTGACCGATGAGTTCCGGCTCGTTGACACTGTCCAGTCCTAGTTCCTCTAGCGCCCTGTCGACAATATACTCGCGAATGTGATGTCCGACACGGTGGATTTGTTGACTCAGGTCCGAGGCATTATTCTTCGCCATGGTCTAGATTTCGTCTGATCAATACCCATCTCCGATGAACTGTTTTCGACACTGTCTTACCACAATGTACACTGAGGCTCCCGTTTCTCTCGAGATGTCCTTGCATCGTTCGGTCAGTTCAGGGTTACCGAGAGGGATATGCCTCATTCCAGGAGGCGGGTTTTTGTTTGTCGTAATCTGGCGTATTGGTGGTTAGTCTGATGGTTGAGGGGTGTCGCGGGATCCTCGCCTCAGCGCGGCGTACCTGGAAGAGTAGAGGCTTCTTCTTGTCTTTATTTTCAATGAACTCGAAGTATGACTGATGTTTGCTGTTGTTGACCACATTGACCGGCTTTGCGGCGACGAGTCCCGGAGGCAGAGGCGCGCTACGGTCAATGGCCTTGCCGACCTTGCCAGCCTTTTTGTGTCGGTCCTTGGCCGTGGTACCCGGGCCAGGGTGCGTTTTCTTCTCTCTCCCCATGTCTGATGATCCTCTTTTGTTATCAGCTTACCATGGTGGTTCGAGAGCTGTCTTACGCTGCCCCCTAAGGAAAAGGATGATATAACGACAGTTAGTGAGAAGGATGGCAATCTTTGTCCCACGCCAAAGCCAACACAGGATGGTGTTCAAGTCAAGTACGTCAAGCCAGAAATGGCGCGTCTGCAAAGTTGCACCTTCTTCCCGAAGGCGTCGGCGTCAGCAAGTGGTACTTGCTGCGCGCGGAGGAGACGTTAAAGCAGTGATCACGCAAGGTAGAAGACAAGAAGGAAAGTTCAAGTTTCCAGGCGACGGAGACTTGAAATCTGCGACTCGTCAAACAGCTGCGGCAGGAGCTTGTTGCAAAGGACGGGCGGGCGGTGCTTGGATGCTAAATGCGTGGGAGCAAAAGGTCACAAGTCACGACGGAAACGCCAGGGCTAGCTGAAGCATAGCCGTCCCGGATGAAGATGCAAGAAGGCCCAAAAGAGGTCGGGTCGCAACTCGGATTCCTGCTACCCTTTTATCGACACGTGATGATAGTGGCGGGGTCGGTAGGCGTGCACAGACCCACAGATCTTAACACCAGGTGCGTGAACACTTAGGTATGCTTAATTGCCTACCTGGTCTAAAGCCATATTCCGAGTTTCAGCGCCCTACGAAGGAATCGTCAAGAGGCTGAGCAGGGAGGTCCAAATGAGTAGACCGAGGTTGTTTCAATCAAAAACTTTAGAGTATGGAGGACGCATCTGGACCCTGTCTCCGACCCTTCTCTTTGCTTGAATGCTTTGATGGTCAAGGCAAGAATCACCATCGCATTCGTGGACGGTATGAGGTCATCAACCGTGACCATTGAATTTTGTTTCATACCGTGAATTGATTGCAGTCGAATCCAAACTACAACTTGATTCCTGTCCTTGTTTTCATTTCGTTGTCCCTGAATGTGTTCGTTGATTGCCATCCTAACCACCGAGCCACACCGCCACCAACTATTATGTATGCGTTTGTTCAACTGCGATGATGACACTTAGCAGGTGTTTATGCGAATCTCAATTTCTTAGTTATCATCCAGAGAGTTGAGATGCTTCTTTGTGAATTCGAAGGCAGAAAAAAAGATCGCGTTGACCACGCATGAGCGACCCATTGAAACTCCGAGGCCGCGATACATGTGTCGCTTGAAGAATTCAATCTTCGGGGGCGGCTCAACTTGTTGCCCTTTCGAGTACAGGAGAGAGTTCCGCTGATAGATGCTCTTTGCTGAGTCAATGGGATCTGTCAATAGTATTAGCATCGATTGCCCACATTCCTTATACTAGAAGCACATACATATCATTGCCCAGGACACTATCCCGCACATGCCCCCAGAGATGACAACCGCCAACTTGTTAGTCGTTGGGTGATCGCCACCAAATGTGGTTCCGAGCTGCTTTCCGCTCTCGTAGACCATAAAGTAGATGGCCGTACCCAACGTATCACGCACTAGAATGGTCAGCTGAGGGTTTTGATGGGGGTGTACGCCTGGGCAGACTTACACAAGTGCAAGTTGAAGCCAGTGTAAAGCCCCAGAGCACCCCTGTGACGAACAATGTTGCGCATGGTTTTGAAAGTGCCCTTGTTCTGGTAACTTGCTGCAACCTGGTGGCCATTGGTGGCTCGGCAGTTTGCTTCCTTGAGCTTTTGCTGATCTGATAACAAGACAGACACCTGCGCGCTGAGCTTGGTCAGCTCAAAGGGGCAGGCGAGAAGCGTGATGCATGAGCCGGCGGTGGCGCCGGCAGCTCCAAAGCAGGCAATGGAGTATAAGTTGGGATAAGTGCCTTTCTTATTGACATGTTGCAGCACGTCGAATCCCAAGGCGTTTTTGACCCAGCCCGAATAATTGTGTTTTGCGCGTTGGTAAATCGAAAAGGACATGGTTCGGACGAGTGTGATACTAGCCATTGGGGCAAGAACACCTAGTGAGGGGCAACAAAGGTTAGTTAACGGGATCATGACTTGAAGCGAGATGAGGGGTCGCGGGTGCAAGGGAGGAGGAGGGAGAGGGACTCCTCACCCCGAAAGAAGCCTCTCAACTTCTCGGTGCGGTACGTGTGCCTCACACAGTCGAGGAAGCCTTCGTATCGGTAGGTCTGCATTCGGGTTTTCACGCTATCGAGGGGAAAGGCGAGGACAGTCGAGAACATGCTCGACGTGCTGGCGGCGATCTCGGTGCGGTAGCGCTTGACCAGCCTCTGCGGGCGCTCTTCCTGAGCTCGAGGCATGATCGCAGTCGGTTGGTGGGCCGGAACATGGTGTCTTGGGTGATATTCGGCTTCTGTCGCTGGCATGCTTCTAGCAGTGGCGATGTGGCAGCGCCTTCAGACGGTGATCTCGTGGGGGGAGATCAAGGTCTTCAGCGCGGTCGTGATACGGCCCTTTGCCAGTTGAGGGGTTGGTCCATCCAGACCGCTGCAGGCGGAGTATGGTTTCGACGACAAACGGCTGATGTGGTCGCGAGGTTCGGAAGATAGAAGGCGAGGAATAGAGACAAACAGAGACGATGGTGGTGATAACGAGTCGAGCGGTCGGAGATGCAGAAAGAGTTGTCTTAAGGCAGTCTGGGGAATCGAGAGCTGAACCCCCGGGAATTGACGCTGTTGTGCCCGCTAACCATGAGAGATTTGCGGGTTGAGTTGAAAGAGAGGTAAAGAGAAGTGCAGAAGCGTAGGCGTGAACTACTTCTACCTTGCCGTGGATTGCGGGGTCGGGAATCTACGGCATAGAAAGATGCACCCGCATCACAGACCCTTGTAGGTATTCGTACCTTAGGGTCGCCTCAGCCAAGTAAGGTAAGGTAAGGTAGGTAGTCAAGGTACGATTACGGCTACAACTACAGCACCCAACCTTGCCTTTGCCTGACCTCATGGCAAGCTCAGCCCAGCACCTGGCCCCCCTCATCCCCTTCTTACCTCAACTCCAGCGACCGGGTAGAGGTTTCGACTCTGCACTGGTTGTATCAGGAGATACCTTCAAAACGACGGGACCATTCCAGAGCTGCAGAGCCAGGGCAGTTCATGGTGCGGAAAGCTGCATCCTTTCCGTCAAGGTGGAAGGCCCCCGGGCCTCCTTCGGCCCCGCCCAGCTACCAGTCGTGCCACTGCTGATTGGTATCTCAAAACGCACCTCGCAGCACGCAGCAGCGGATACCTTAGTCTCTGGGTCCACTGAAACGGGACCAGGGCCCCGTTGGATCTCTAAAGATTCTGCGCTTCTCATTTGTTCATCCCGGTGTTAGCGGCCGCTAATACTAAACAGCCCAGATTGGGCCAGTTGCACCAGCTCAGAATCCACCGTCACAAGCCAGAAACGCCTCTCCCTGGCGGGCTATCTCATTGTCACTGAGTGTTTCCTCACCCGAGCTTTGGGGACATCGTACATGTCCAAACGGACAACTCGGTCGACCACCTTACGATAACGGCGGGTCGGTTTCATGGGGCGAGACATACTTGTTTCCGAATTGGATATTTTTGGCATTCAAAAGCAGACCCATGGAGAACCGCTCTTTATCTCCCCGTACCGGCAAAGGGCCGACCACCACCGCCCTGGCGGCCGATACTCTTGGCTCCGACACGGGGGGTGTACACGGAGGTTCGCCTCAACTCCCCACTCAGCAATTCCCCAAATCCTCCGCAGAATCAGATGGGAGTATCCGTAACGACAACACATTTCTCGGTGCGAAGAGTTACTTCTCGCTCGCTTCTCCACCCTTGGGGCAGACCGCCCGTTATGTGTAACAACGCAATTGTCTCCGAGACGCAGATATCGACTCATATCCCCCATCAACCTTTCGAGTTTCCTCTCTTGAGCAATACTGTCTCAGTACTCATGGCCTCATTCGGGAACAGCCAGCCAGCGTTCCGCAAGAGGCGATGGTAATGAGCTCAGAATCGGCAACAATCACCGTGGAAGCGGGCGCCAGCAGCGCTTTGCCAGCAAATTATCGACCATGCAACCATCAACAAGAGTCATGTTTGGTCGCGCCAGACATTCTGTTCCAACCCCCAACCCCCTTCCCTTGGCCTTACATCATCTCCCCCAAAAAGCGACCTCGATAGCTCTCAACGGGCTACTGCGGCCATTTCGCAGGCGTAGGCTTAATTATGTGCCAGCCAACCACAGGTAAGCCGTTTTATTTGCTGACCCCGCGCCGTCTGCAGATCGCCCGCCTGGAAAAGGGTCGCACCAGCGATCGTCTGCCTCCTCGACGCCAGTTTCCTCCAATAGCTTATCCTCGGATATGAGAATGCTGCATCGTGACGCCCCTGGGGTTTATCGTGCTCCGTTCCGTCTTTCCGCCGTCTTTCCAGACTGACACCACAACAAGCCTTGATACGTGGTGTCTGCGCTGACGATCCCGTCTGGGCGTGCCGAAGGTGGTCAATCAATCGGAGCCGGGGCAGAAACGTCTCTGTGAATGCCTGTGCCACCAGCATCGAGTGAGTCCTGACATAGTCGTATGTCCGTACTGTTTGGGAGCCTCAGGAATGAGTCCAAATTTGCAACCTTTGGTGGAGGCACGTGAAGATATGCGTGAAGTTCCAAGTGTATGCATGTGAGTGACATTTTGACCCAGAGCATAGCGACAATCTCAAGTCCATTATCTCAGTCGAATGCCCATTGACTTGTTCAGCATAGTCACCGTCATGTCATAGTGATTGAAGACTGTAGACTTCATGTTCTTGGCCTCTTGGATGCTAAAGGATCCCACGTCAGCAACCGTGTGCCTCACTACTGAACTGAACGGAAATTCTCCACACTCACACTTCCTTGTTCTGAGCGTCCTGGTCCTTGCGGAAGCTCACTTTCCACGGGTCCAACTTCTGCCTCTCATGCGCCACGCGGATGAGGTTCTTGAGGACTTTGTGCTCGAGGCCGGTCTCCTTGCGCGCCGCGTGAATGAACCACAGCGTCCTCTTGCTCACTTCCGGATCCCACACGGCGCCCTTTTCGCGGAATGCCGCCCTGAGCTGGTCGCGGACGATGAACCTATACGGCGTTGCGAACTGGACCGCCCGGAGGAGCTCGCGGTAGAGGTGCCTATAGGCATGGACAATGGGATTTGGGTTCCCCTTGGCCACTGTCGCCGCCAACTTATCCCAGGACTTGGCCATTGTGGGGGATGCGTTTCGCTGGAATAATTATCTTGAATTCTTGTGCTTCAAGATTTGGAAAACGAAAGACAAGAACAAGTATTTTAGTAGTTTGCTTGATGGCAAGCTAGTGATTACATGTATAAGCGAGAAAACATCTTGGATTGAGCTCCCAAGAAGCTCAGTGACCATTTCAATCCAAGGAGGTGCACGGACCATTTCAAGATTTCCACCCCCAGGCACCCTGATCCGACATCAACCCCAAAAAATTGCATCCCGAACGAACGCCATCGCCGACCTCACATCTCACCACCTCACCCGCCCCAACTATCCCCGGCCATCCACCATGGCGCCCCGACTACCCCCCAGCTGCCTACAGCTCCTCCGATCGACGACGAGGACGACGCTATCAAACACCTGCTCCGCCGCCGCCAATGCCTCGGCCGTCATCGCCCCACGGCTCCAGCTCCTCCCTTTCACCGCGAAGCGCGGCGTAAAGTACGGCTGGTCGACGGCCCCCAAGCGCAGCAAGCCCGCCCGCTTCAACCAGCCGACCGCTGGCCTCCCCGTCCTCACCACCGGTCCCGCCGCCGCCCTCGCCCGCCGCGAGAAGACGACGCCCCTCCGCACCGGCGTCCTCGCCGTCAAGAAGGGCATGACCGCCATCTACTACGGCAAGAAGCGCGTTCCCTGCACCGTCCTCCAGCTCGACCAGGTCCAGGTCGTCGCCAACAAGACCCGCCAGGCCAATGGCTACTGGGCCGTCCAGATCGGCGCCGGCTCCAAGGAGCCGCGCAACGTCGAGCGGCCGATGCTGGGCTACTACGAGGCCAAGGGCATCGCGCCCAAGCGCCACCTCGCCGAGTTCAAGGTCCGCACCAAGGAGGGCCTGCTGCCCGTCGGCGCCCAGCTGTTCCCCGACTGGTTCCAGACGGGCCAGTACGTCGACGTCCGCTCCAACAGCCGCGGCATGGGCTTTGCCGGTGGCATGAAGCGCCACGGCTTTGCGGGTCAGGAGGCGTCCCACGGTAACTCGCTCAACCATCGTACCATTGGTACCACCGGCCCTTCGCAGGGTTCCGGTTCCAGAGTCCTTCCCGGCAAGAAGATGCCCGGACGGATGGGCAACGAGCGCGTCACGGTGCAGAACCTCACGGTGCTCAAGGTGGACAACGAGCTGGGCGTCGTGCTCGTCAAGGGCGCCGTCGCGGGCCCCAAGAACTGCATCGTGAAGCTGCAGGACGCCGTCAAGAGGAAGGCGCCGGCGCTTCCTTACAGACAGGATAAGCTGAAGGAGCTGTTGGAGGCCAACGTGGACGGCGAAGCGAGATTGCAGGATGCCAGAGAGAGGCACTTGGAGCTGAAGAAGGAGAGGAGAGAGACTTCATCACTTGTATAGATATCGCCCGCCCACCCACCCATGCTCCCCTTTTCTCCCGTTGTTGTTTACGAAGTCTGTGTACTATACATGTTGTACATTTATCACACCCTAAGAGAGGCGCATAGCTTAGGGTCATTATCTCGCCCGACCCGAATTTCAACCCAATGACTTACCACCTTATCCCCATTCATACTTTTAATGACAAGTCCCCGCGAGGTCCTTAGTTGACAGTATGTCTTTCAAGTAACCGTGCTGCTGTGCTCAACCATCCATCCCCACCCCAGCAAGCCTGTCTCTGTCTCACTTGATATTCTGCCTGAACCCCCTCGTCTCCGCCGCCGACACTACAGCCTCGAGGTCGTCATCATCCAGATCATCTCCCGGAATGGACCCCTTGAACGGATCCGTGCCGTCGAGCAAATCAATCTTGCTCCCGTCAGGCGTCTCGAGGCTCCACTCGGTCGTCTCAAATAGGCCCTTGTGCGCCGTCCGGAAGCTCGCAAACTTCATGACGGCCTCGTTGCGCGAACCTTTGACGCTGAAGCTAATGTCGATGCGCCCATGGAGCTGGTTCATCTCGCCGGCGATCCAGGGGATCTGATGCTTGAACTGCACCTCGTCGCCGAGGTACTCGCGCGCCTTGGGTGAGGTACGCAGCGCGTAGAGCGTCGAGGCGATGACGGGGGAGGAGGACTTTTGGTAGTTGAAGATTGCGAGGCTGCTGAGGGCGATGGCGGCGGCGAAGAGGGGGAGGGTGCGGGACCAGCGGAAGGTGATTTGGCTGAGGTCTGGCGAACCCGGGGGGATCAGTAAACGATCGTCAAAGGGGAAAGGACAATGAGGAGAGACAGGCGAAAATTTACCTGGGAGTTCTCGGTCAGCGCGCCGCTCCATCAGCGGTCCTGACCCGGGTTTCGGCGCTGCGGTCGCCCATCTCCTCTGAGCCTGCGCTCTGAGCTGCTGCTGCTGACGCTGCCGTGCGGCGGCGCTGCGCAGCGAAGAGGCGAACCTTCTGACGACTGTGTTTGAGAACATGCTGGAAACAGATTACCGTGGTAGCAAAAGCACCCTTTGAGTGAAATTGGGCTACCGCGTCGGTGAGTGTGGTCGTTTGGATTTCGTGAAGCTTAGGTCAAATTCTCGGGATGCTCCGAATCAGACCATGCAAGTTCGGTCGGTCGATCGGGGTGTCTCGGTGAGCGGGCCAAAGCTCTCTACCAAAAAAAAAAAAAAAAAAAAAAAACCCCGGGGACCTGGCGGAGCAGAAGGAAAGAAGCGCCCGCAATTCGAGAAAAAAGCAATCGATAGCTCTGCGGCCAATCATTTTCTCGACTCAAGACCCCTGCTGCACATGTCCAGCTGGCGCGCGTCATAAGGCTGAGTGGTCACGGTGCCCCCTCTGCGAAAGGTAAGGTAAGCTCCTATTTACACCAGTGGGTAGCCACCTGCCTAAGCTTATGTGAATCTGTCTCCAACAACTCCATCGACTCCAAGACCAAGTGCTTGTGCCTTTAACAGAACGACCATCTTCGCGGAACATCAGCGATCCGCTACAGCCCATCGTCTTTTCGACAAATCTAATATCCAAATGGCGGAACTGGGAGGCGCAGCCGCACGTCTGCGGCGCACATTCCACTATCCCACAGACGACGATTCGGCAGACTCACAGCCAGAAGCCATGGATGAAGAGGGTACGTGAGACACCAAAATCTTCTTTCCCAGGTTTATCTTTCGCTCTGTCTTTCCCTCTCTCTCTCTCACTCTCTTCAAGTCCCTCCAAACATCCACTGACAACCCCCCAACAGAGCAAGAAACCCTCATCCAGCGCCTCGCAGAAGATAACGCCACCCGAAACGCCCAATTCAATACCGCCCTCCTCGCCCTCCCCCTCCTCACGACAATACCCTACCTCTTCGCCCTCGTCCGTCTCTCGTCCCCGCTCACATCCCTCCTCTCCCTCACGTCCCTCCTCTCGACGGCCTACCTCATCCACACCCAACCCCCAGGCGTGACCGGAATGCCACCACTAGACGCCTGGTCCCGACCGAAGACCCCGCGCCCCAGCCCCGCCTCTTCGCTCGATTCGTCGACGTCGTCCATGGCCGGTTCTTCATCGCAGTACCAACCCATTCAGACATCGCAAAGGAGGAGGAGGAGGAGCTCGTTCTCGTTCGCAGAAGAGCAAAAGGGGCCGTTGGAGCTGTACTTGCCCTATCTCAACCTCGGACTCTGCGCAGTGCTCGTTTTGGCGGGCTTGGCTACGAAGTCCAATGAGAATCCTACATTTGCCCACATGGGACTGGGTAATCTGCCCGCTATTGTGTACATTGTTGTTTTGATCGCCAAGGTGGTCATGGGCAGCGTAGATCCGGAAAAGGAGTTGGCCGCACTCAAGTATGGCTTCAAGGGCGCATGAGCTAGCTACGTACATGACTTTATGATGCCGCGGGATTCTATGTCTTTGTTTATTTTACTACAAATACCACGGAGCGGAGGGAGTTACTTTACGACTTATGCTGAAATGACCTACGTATTGTTATGGAGCGCGAACAAGAATGTCCGGAGTCGGGCCACGACTTGAGATTGAGAAGAGTGCACGAGTCTACTCATTTTGCTGACACGAAATTGTAACACTCTATCTACACGTCTATGGATTCGTTGAAGCGCAAAACACCGTGACTTTTGAGAACACCGTCCACCCCCTTGGGCAGCCGCGGGAACGGATCGGTCAGAGAATGTGTCGAGGACGGATCCAGCGACTTGTCTGTGACCAGCGCAAGACCCTGTGACTTGATGGCGTCCACCAAGGCAGGAACCATTTCCTGTAAAGAAGTCAGTAAGAATTCCACCGCCACCGATGTAGGCTCGAAAAGGGCGCAAACATACCAAGAGCCGCGAGCAGCAAATCAAGCCCATGAAGTTGTTGCCTTGCGCAACCCGAACCACCTCCTTGATCGATGCAGACCTTCGGCCATGGCTCTGAATGATGTCCGGCGGAGCCATGACATCCTCTCGTCCCAAATCGTTGCACAGGAAGACGGGGAAGTTGGGCTGCTTCCAGTTGAGTGCTGTGCACATGCTTGGGTTATATGAACTGAACACCACAGAACGAACCGACTCAAGCGACTGGGCTCGCTGGGCGCGGGCGTGGTCAAATACAATGGTGAGAAGAGAGTCAACAAATGTGTTCAGATCCAGCGATGGACCCAGACCCAGTGATCTTTCCTCGTCCAGTGACGGGTACAGGATCTGGATGTTGACATGCATGCCATGCGGGAGTAAAGCCAGCGCCTCGTTGAGAGGAATACCGGCTGTCGCAAGAACTCGATGAACATCCGCGATCGCATCCAGAGGCCTCGTCGGCAGTGATGCCAACTCGGCTCTGCTGGGGCTCCTTGATGTGATCGTATTAAACTGCTCCATTGTCAATCTTGAGATTGGTAGGTCGATCCCTCCACACGGTATCGTCCATCTGGGCCACAAGACGGGCACACCATCGCTGGTGTGCTGAACGAAGAGTTGGACAAAGTCGCCTGACAAACTCGAACCCGTCACAAATGTGCTTGGACTGCGGTCGAACTGGCTTGTCGCCTTCCAATATGTCTCGAAATCCGTGATCTCGAGTGGTTTGCCGTTGAAAGGCTTGATGACCTGGGTGTGGAAGCTGATCTGGCCAATAGCGCGTAACCTCGGATCGAAAAGGGGCAGACAGCACTTTCCGGAGCTGCTAAGCAGCGCTTTGAAGGTGTTAGGAAGGGCCACCGTCTTCGCAATAATTTTCGCGCCGTAGGTGGGGAAAACGTCAAAATCCAGAGTGAATGACTCCAGGTTGTCGATTTGAAAGGAAACAATTCGGGTATCTTCTTGGAAAGGTAGCATGATATTCTTCGGGATGAGATCGGAAACCTTGGACGAAATCGTGAGCCGAGCGGCAGGGTACTTTCCGTCGTGGAAGAAAACCAGAGGCTGGTCCCCATTCTCCTCGAAACTGATCTGGATAACGGTCTTGGTGTCCAGGAAGTTGTGTCCGTACCGGCGCAGTGGTATTATCGGCGGCGGCAGCTCAAGCTCGGGGATGGCATCCGGGTCGAGGGCCATCGGGTCGGGCCCGCTGCTGGCCATCATGGGACCCAGTCCGGGCTGCATGATCATGGGGCTCGCCCTTGTCCTCGCGTTGTACGGAGCAAGCAATTGCATACATTCGAGGTGGCCCTCCCATACCGCATAGTACATTGCCGGCAAGTCCTTCTCATCGACGATGTTGGGGTCTGCTCCCACGTCCAACAACCCCTGGAGGCAGGGAACATTGCCTTCGCTCGCAGCATGGACCAATGGCGTCCAACCGTACAATTTGTCGACCTGATCAAGATTTGCTCCGAAGTTCTTGAGCAAAAGCAGGAGTTCTGGCTTTTGGCCGGATCGAGCTACGAGATGCTGGGGATATAGTCCTTCAGCGTCGGGAACAATCTGTGCTCCATGCTGCAGGAGCATCTCCACGATTGCCAACGAACCGTGCTCGCAGGCAAGGTTCAATGGGACATGATCTGCATCAGAAACCGGGTCGATTCGAGCGGACTTTGCCAGTAATCGCTCTACACACTGCAGATGGCCGTGGATAATTGAATGTACCAGTGGCGTGAAGTTGTCGTGGTCTATGAGATCTATCGTTGAGGTATCCGCTGTAGGGCAAGGTCAGCAATTACGTGATTAACCACGTTGCTTCTTCCTCTAACTTACCACTCGTGAGAGCATCAAGCATGTCCAGGCGTCCATGCATGCTGGCATAATGCAGCGGGACCCTGCCATACACATCGGTACGACTGACAGCAACACCTTTCGCCAGGCCGTACTCGAGAACAAACGAATTTCCGTATATGGCAGCTTGGTGTAGGCAATTCCGTTCGTTGATGTCATCCTCCGACTGAATGTCGACCAAATCCGTGTCGAGAAGAGCCTGTAGAGTCTCTTTAGGCGCTTCGTGGATGGCGGCGAGGAAAGTTCTAGTTACTCTCTCCATCAAAGAAATGTCGGAACCCGAGGATGAGCTAGCAGCCGTCCGCATCCGAACCAGCAGATCCCTCAATGCCTCGATGTTCCCCGAGATGACCGTGTCGAGCAGTAGTGTGTCCGCATCACCTTCGTCGGTTCCGAGCAGGTGCTGACTACTCACGATATGATCACTGCGAGGCTCGAAGCTGACATTGTCACCTTCCGCCCAGGCCCCCAAATCTTGGAGACTGGTTGTGGCCTGGTCGGATAGCTCGCTGATGACGGTGGCGTTGAAGAAGGGCTGCACCTCGACTGCTCTGGAAAGGTAGAGTTCTTTGGTTTTCGACTTTGATGTCTTGTCCCACTTTTTGAGGATTTTGGAGAAGGCGGTTCCGTTGATCTCAACAAATTGCTGCAGCTTATTCAAGTCGCTAGCAAACTGTTGGAAGCCCTCCTCGAGTGTTGTGAACTTGGCTGAACGTCTGGATACACCATTGCGAGATTGCAATACCTTCTTCTTGTCGAGAAGGGTCTTCAGTCGCACTTTGAGCTACGAGAAGATCAGTTTTGACCAGGGAAAGTCGTCATAACAGACAAAGGAAACGATTGCATACCTCTGCCTCCTTTTGTAAGTAAAAGGCGTTGACCTTTTCGAGCTCTCGTTCCTGTCCGAGAGTCAGTAAGTGCGGTGGGAACTTCATCGCACTGACCCATGACTGGATACATACCAATTGGAAGAAGAATGTGGCCTTGTTGGCCTGAAGAGCAGCCTGGGAGTCTATAGATATTGCGGAGCGGAGAGGGTCATGTTGTGCGCTCAGCGTGGGCGTAGCCGATAGTTTCTTGATCAGCTAGTAGCGGGTGTCAGTGGCAATGCCGCATGTGATTAGCCATTGGTATGGGGGCCTGCTCCATTCACTTGCCCCTGACGGAACAGTGTCGGGTACCGATATGACTAAATCCTGGAGGGCATTTTTCCTTTTTGTGGTTTGCATACCGGGCGCGCTCCCAGTACGGAAGAGAAGCGAGGAAATGGGGCTACAACGGGGATCGAGGACTGAGGAGAGAGCTGCCGAAACATATGAGACATACCTTCTTGAGAGCCTTGTAGTTGACGAAGCTAGCGGCATACTCTGGAACCTCAAGCTGGCGCTTCTGAATCTGCTTGCCGAACTTCCTGTTGGGATATCAGCCCAGTTCGCCAATAAGGACAGATCAGGGGGGGTAGCGGAGTAGGGGCTAAAACTGACATATTGGCCCGTGGAAATCACCCGATCCAAAGGTGACGGAACACTTGTGAAAGACCGCAGTATGAGAGCTCTCCGTTACTGGCAAGCTGGCAGTGGAAGTCTGCAGATGAGAACGCTGGATGACAGCGGGAGGCTCTGCCGGCGTGGTAATGCGTCGGCGGCAGGCAAGCAAAGTACCTAGCCACTGATACAGGGGTGCGCTGAGTGGCGTCGACGGACAGCAGATGTGTCCGGAGCAGCTATAAGTTGATGAAGAGAACCGCACGTGGGGGGGCTCTCCAGTGGCGTGAGCTGGTCGGATGAGGAGTTGGGGGAATCAAGGCCCTTGTTGATGATCCTCGAAATAGAATCTGCCGCGTAAACAGGACGAAGGGGTAGAGACAAACGAATGTCTTATTTGAGTTGAAGGTTCGAAGCTGCTGATTGAGTTAGGAAATGGTTGTTTGGGCGAAAGCAGGTGATGACCGAGAGAAGTACGTCGTGCAACGAACTGGCCGCTTGGCCGGCAAAGCATTCAAGTTGCTGTGGCTAAGAAAAACTGAGCACACACAGAAGGAGAAGGAACCCAAAACCAGTGCCCGTAACGACTATAATGTGTAGCGAGCGGGAAGGATAGGAGGTGGGGGTATTCTGAAGCTATCCCGGGTTTGCCTCGGTGACAACCAGGCTCTGAAGAAAGAGGGGCAACAACGCTCGCGGCTCTCATGGCATGGGTATGATCGGCGGGTGCTTTGAATAGGTGCCACAAGTAGGTAATACAATCGATGCCAGATGCTGCGTGGGGACAGGGGGGACGGTGAATGGCTGTAGGTACTGGCTCCCAGTGGATGACAGTATACCATGTCAGCGCCAGTGTCGGTTGGTGCATCCGTTCTTGTCTCCAAACTGGAAAGCAAGGCCTGAGCTGGTCCAGGACCAGATCTAGTAACGGGATGGACGGGGGGTGAGGATAGGAAAACGAGGCACGGCTGGGAACCAGGACGTCGTCTCGTCTAGGATGCTGGTTCCGTTTCCTGCCTTGACTTGGGAAGAAGAGGAGATGATTGCGTCGTTGATGATGGTGATGGGTACTGCGCAAGAGAAGCAGCAAAGCTAGGATCAAGAGATGGAGGATAAAGTGATATGATGTGACGCATAGTGAGGAAGCAAGCAAGGGCAATCGTAAACAGACTTGCACCGATTTGGAAGTGATCACGAGCTTGTTTGCCAGAGTACGGTCATGCTTACCGGGTAAGATGGCAGGTTCAAGCGATGATCAGCTTCAATATATTTTCTTTAGTTGAGAATAGTGCTTTCCGAAGTTGCAGTGAGAAGTGGTCGTGGCGTGTGCGGTGGTCTTGGTGTGGTGTGGAAGTGAGGTCGAATAAGGCAAACCGAGGACCGGCGACATGGAAGAGCTGTCTCTCACGCTTCTGCAAGTCTACGTTATCCGCACGTTGAGGTTTGCAGGGCGGCGGCAGTAGGAATGTCGGCGGTCTAGATCTAGATTTCGAGTTTTGGGGTGGTGAGTGAAAGGTGAGATGCGACTCTGGGACTAGAAGAGGTCCAGGTTCGGAGATGTGAACGGAAGCGCTGCCGTGTGTACCTGACCTCCTTCTCTTTCTCTACCTAAGGTAGACCGACAACGTTCAGAATCGATGGGCCAGCAGGGCAGTGGCAGAGGCAGTGGCAGTCAAAGTCGTGAAATGCAAATGGGTGCCAACCGGGGTCTTGGCCAACCATAGTATCGGTCTGTCCAATGGCAGAGCTGAGGGGGGCCAGCAACGGTCCAGCGGGTGGGTCCACTTGCCTACCCTGGGTCTGGAGCCCCTCCCCTGTCCACTTGTGTGGTGCGGGGTACCTTTCTCTTGTCACTCCTGTCACCCTTGCGTACTGAAGACGACGTAGCACCTGCAAGAACTACAAGAAAGAGCTGCAAGAGCTGCGAGAAGCGGAAGGGATCAAGTGTCAAGTGTGGCTCTGACCGTTTGGTGGCCGGTGCCATGCCGTTTCGACGTACTTGGAAAGTCTCCCAACGTCGACGACGATGAGATCCAACGAAACCTCTCGCTACCTACCTCACCTTACCTACCAGGTCTGTCGCATCTTGCGCCTCCACCGTCTTCCGACCTTGTCTGTCTGGGCCAACATCATAGGGAACATTTTCAGCATACACCTACCTACTCGGGGGAGTTCTCGCGCCATCTCGGGAACGAGGAAAATAGTTAGACGATCTGATCCGTCAAATGTACCCGCTTTGTTACTATTCAAACAATGCGTTACGTCCGGTAGTGTATAATATCACAGAAACTGAGCACGTGTGCAGTTGCCCATGACTTCTGCGTGGATCCTGGAAGGGTCGGAACGACAGTATCCCATGATTCCTGTCAGGCAACGCCTTGTCTCGGGTCCTGCTATTCAATAGCCGCAGTCGTCACCAGCAGCACGAATACCTCGATAGGCGACTGCAAAAGTCTGTCGACAACATGTGCCTAACAACATGTACTTAGCCTCAAGGAACACCCGTGGAGTCCCATCCCACCCACATCTGCGCTTGATTCGCTGCCCCCATAGCTAAGTCTTCAGACCGCCAGCCAATGACGGCTCGCATACGAACCACGTTTTTCTCTCGACGTGCCAAGGACGAGGCTGAGAGGTGTAGCAGACCACTGCCAAAAACTCGGGCGTCGAGCCATTGAAAAAAGAAATTGTCCATTTTCATTGTTTCCCTAGTGAAACCTCAGTTTCGTCTACATCTGCGTTGGTCCTCGAGCTAAGGTTTATTTGTAGGCTGGATGGATCCGAGATTTTCTTTTGGACTAAATCCCCTTCGAAACGGGTCAACCTGGCGAAGCCCCCGTACGGCACAATAGGCTTTCAATTTCACCGAGATATCCCGCTGCGCAGTGCTGCTTGAGTAAAGACAAATACGGTTCTGAACGTCCGACTCCATCCATCTGTTACCGGCGGACTTGCCTGGCCTTTTCCAAACTGCTTTGGCAGAGGGTATGGGGTGCCCTCTCAGTTCTAACCGCTTGGAATGCTTCACGCCCAGACTCGCAGTAGCAGTAGCAGTAGCAGCTCCAGCATCCTGCATCAATACGGAACCAGCCGGAGTGGTGGGCAGAAAAACCACACCAAAACTTCCCCGTCCAATCAATGCGGTGCGGGGCATTCAAACCCGCGAGGGACATCCAGCGTGCGACGGCCACTTCTCGCTCTTCGGGCTCGCTTCACAAACCGTCGTGCGAGTCCAACGACCCAAAAAGTGGGTGAGACGATCCCAGTCCGCTGTTCTTGACGGGGTTTTTAACTTGTTGTTGTAAACCCTTTCGAATCAAAATGCTTGTTTTTGTCGGAAAAGGGAACCAATCAGCGAAAGACTATTATGGGGTCTATCAAAGCCCGAGGATGGAATTCCGATCGTCGAGCATGGAAACTGCCGACGTAGCCATGGGCCTTTTTTCTTGGAGCATCTCGCCAGTGAACAGCAGTCGAGGAACGCTAAGCAACTCAACTGGGGCCTCCTGTCGCCGTGGATCGTCCATACCTAGTAATTACGATGCGGCTGTTCGGGGATGGGAAGGCAGCATGGCGGGGCACATCAGCTGCATGCTACAGAACCTTGACGAGTTGGCATCCGCACTTAACTTGGGGACCTGGCAACTGAACATGCGTGAAAAAGCCGCGGCACCCATTTCCAGCCGCTGCTTGCCGCGTCAAGAACAACAAATAAGCTCACGACGTACGAACTCGTCCTCGCAGAATGCGCCGAGATGATCTCATTACGTCAGAGGCCGATCGACCAACAAGGGTCTTGTGGAAGTGGTCCTTGTATGCCTCGGTGTCTACTCACCCGTACATTGCCATTATCACGCCTGTTTCTATGCATGATCCGCGTAACCATCCTATTTATTCATAATCGGCGTTCCAATCCACACCACCGCCAAGTCGGTGAACCGGCCTGGTTCCAAAGCGGCAATAGTAATATTGCGGAATACTTCTCAATTTAGATGTCCTAACTAGAGGTACGTTTCCTAGTGAAATGAAAGGGGAATCACGAAATCCCAAGTTCGCCATGCCTCCCGAGACCCCCCGTTTGCCAGGCTGTCTTGCCTTGTCGCTCAAGCCAAAGGGGGGGTTTTTGGATATCTGAAATGAAAGTCTTGTGTCAACGCAAAAGCCGCCTTCTCCTCAGATCACAGTCACGCCGCCGCTGTTGGTAGCTCAGTTCTTCTTGGTGGCAGCAGCAGCACCCGCTGCCTCGTCGCCCTTGGACTCGACGAGACTATCCGCCATTGCCTCCGCGGCGGCCTTCTTGAGCCTCTCGCTGTCCTCCGAGCTGGCGTCTTTGGTAACCTTGCTGGAGGCAGCCTTCTCCTTCGCTTCCCGCTCGTCTTCACTATCGCCCAAGCTGAAGGGGTCGTTGTCGCTGATGGGGTTCGGGTCAACCGTCGACAGGGGCTGCCACTTGCTGGCCTTGGCCTTTGAGCCTGAGAGGTCTTCAGCAGAGCGCCTGGGCGACGAGCCGTACACGTCGATCTCTTCGGCGCCTTCTCTGAACGCAACCTTGCGACCGTCGTGAGACTTGGGCGACTTGGAGGGTGGGGGAGGCTTGTAGAGGTCAGGGTTCGACAAAGGTCTGTTGTTGTCGCGGAGAGGGGCTGGTTTGCTGTTAGCGCGGACCCATGACAGTGAAAAGGGGGCTCGCCGCCATAGTGTCAGACTCACTTCCGTCAGCGGTGAACTTCATACCCGCAAAGTCGTCGCTTAGCACCTGAGGATCGGCGTCGTATCTCTCGTAATCACCGCTCCGACGGCTCGACTCTCCGGGTCGCCGGGCACCATACTGGCCCTGGCCCTGGCTTTGGCCAGGTCGCTGGTGGCTGGTGTCGTCCTCATCGGCAAACTCCTCGTCAAACCTCTTCTTCATTGTAGTGATCCAGCTGTTGACCTTGCCCTGCGTCTCCACGAATCCCTTGCGTAGTTTCTCCTGAATCACCGGCAACTCGTCGTCGAAGAAGTTGGGCTCGCGGTCCTCCGCGTTCGGCCTGGGCTCGAGGCCAGTCTGCTGCCTTTTCACACGGCCGCCGCCGGTGCCGGGGCTCCGGTTAGAAGTTCTAGCCTCGTAGCTGCCGACGTTGTCAAAATGCTCCGCCAGCTGTCGCGCATACAGCTCGTCCGCCTCGAGCTGGGACAGCTGCGCGCCGCCTTGGGGGCGGGGAGGCTGAGGAGGGGGTTGTTCGTCGGTGGTCTCGTGCTGAGCCGCATCGGGGTCGGTCATTTCTGTGTGTAACCCGTCAGTACAGAGCTTGGGGGAGCAGTGACGGTCAGGCGATACACATACCCAGGAGGGCATTGAAAGCAGGGTCGATCTTTCCGCCACTAGCTCTCAAGACCGCCTTGATGACGGAGATATCGATGCTGGGGAACGCCTCCTTCAAGATGTCCTCAGTCTTCTGAGTCTCGCCGGAGGGCCTCGGGGGCTTTGGTGGGGCCGCTTCGACAGCGGGTGTCGAGGACGCCATGTCGGACGAGGTGGTGTTGTTGGTGGTAGCCTGGGATGTAGGAGCCTCACCGCTGAGAACACCTGTTTCTTGGACGTCGTCGTCGTCAGATAAATCCAATGGTCGGACTGTTGTAGGCGACTCGGGCCCGCTCGAGGAAGTAAGCTTGTTCTAGAGATTGCCAAAAAAGAGATGAGGTGTCAGTCCGACAGGGTACATCCGCATGAAGTTTGGGTTGTTTCGGGACGGGATATGCGCACTGTTTCGATGGGGGCAGACATGGCTACTGTTCGTCGCTCTTTTTATTCCTTCTCCTCGGCAGTGAGAGCTTTCAGCTTGAAGAGCGGTATGGTGTAAGATGAAGTCCCCAGGAAAGAAAAGGAGGAGCAAGCAGCGCTCAAGGATGGGGTAATTTGCTGCTTTCGCGAGATTGTTCGTGCAAGGACGTTGGAATGCGCGCGCCCGGACGGAGGGGTTGAGAGAGCTGGCGAGATGACATTAAAGTGGGTTACGAAGCTGATGACGCCGCGCCTCCTTGGGGAACTTTTAGGCGCCAGTTGAGCTTAAAGCTAAGCCACAATCCTGCCGCCACAATTGGTCTTTAGTCCAGGAATAGTAATTGGAGAGGAACCATATGCGCCCGTCTGGCGACAGCTGGTCACACTTATCTCACCTCAATTTGCAACCTCCAATGTCGACAGCCACTGGCAAACGAGGCCAATTGTGTGTGAGTGAGGCCAAAACACACTTACAAGAGAAACCGCCAGTCAAAATGAGATATAAAAGGTGAAGAGACTTCTGACTTACAAGAAACCTCTCATCTGAATGATAGATGCAAGGTCAGTTACCGGAATTCGAAGGAATAGTCACCATTTTAAATAAACCTTTCACTTGATTCTAACCTACATACAGTATCTAGTCAATAGCCAAGGCTTCTTACAACGATGGCAGACTTTGATCTCAACTCGGCCTTCATCCCGGCCCTGCACAAGCCATCAGCCCTCCTCCCCATTGCAAAGCACCGCGAGGCCCTGCTCTACCTCATCGAGACCAAACAAGTCACCATTGTCGTCGGCCAGACCGGCTCAGGCAAGACCACGCAGATCCCCCAATTCCTCGAAGCCGCAGGATGGTGCTCAGAAGGCAAAGTCATCGGCATCACGCAGCCGCGCCGCGTGGCAGCGACGACGGTCGCGCTCCGCGTCGCCGAAGAGGTCGGCTGTGAGATCGGCCAGGAGGTCGGCTACGCCATCCGATTCGAGGACCTCACCTCGGCGCAGACGCACATTAAGTTCATGACGGACGGCCTGCTCATCAGGGAGGCCCTCGTGGACCCCTTACTCACGCGGTACTCCGTCATTATGGTTGACGAGGCCCACGAGCGCTCCATCAGTACCGATATCCTCCTCGGCCTGCTGAAAAAGATTCTGAAGAAGAGGCCTGAGCTGCGCATCATCATCAGTAGTGCGACACTTCAGGCCGAAGAATTCTTAAAGTTTTTCACAACCTCCCCCGGGGATGAGCAGAAGAAGCAGTTGACCGTTCCGGAGAACAAGGATGGAGAAACTGGCCCCGACGACAACGACGAAAAGGGTGCAATTATCAGCTTGGAGGGCAGAACACATCACGTCGACATCCTCTACCTGGAATCACCAACCGAGGACTATGTGGAAAAAGCAATCTCCACTGTCTTTGACATACACACAATGGAGCCCGAAGGTGACATACTCGTCTTCCTCACAGGCCGGGAAGAGATCGACAAGGCCGTCCAGGCCGTCGCCGACCGCCTGCTGGACCCAAATCAACCTCGGGGCCAGCAATCACTACAAGCGTTACCTCTTTACGCGGGCCTATCAACAGAACAGCAAATGTACGTCTTTGACAAACCTCCCGAGGGCACGCGGAAAGTAGTCTTCGCGACCAACATTGCCGAAGCGTCCATCACCATCGACGGCATCGTCTACGTAGTCGACACGGGCTTCGTGAAGCTGAGGGCCTACAACCCGCGAACGGGCATCGAATCCCTCTCCACGACGGCGATATCCAAAGCCTCAGCGTCTCAGCGCGCCGGCAGAGCGGGACGCACCCGGCCCGGGAAGTGCTTCCGGCTCTATACGGAAGATGCCTACCTCGGCCTCCCCGAGTTCACCGTCCCCGAGATGCAGCGCTCCAACCTTGCGCCCTTTATACTGCAGCTCAAAGCCCTCGGCATCGACAACGTTCTACGCTTCAACTTCCTCAGCCCGCCGCCCTCGGAGCTGATGGCCAAAGCCCTGGAGCTCCTGTACTCCCTAGGCGCCCTCGACGAGTACGCCAAGCTGACGAAGCCGCTGGGCTACAGGATGGCCGAGCTTGCCGTTGAGCCGATGATGGGCAAGACCCTGCTCAGCGCGCCGTCGTTTGGGTGCCTGAGCGAGATCCTCACCATCGCGGCCATGACCAGCGCCGGCGGGAACAACGTCTGGTTCCACCACGACGGCGAGAGGAAGCAGATGGAGATTTCGCGGAGAAAGTTCGCCGCCGAGGAGGGCGACCACCTGACGCTGCTCAACGCCTACCAGGCGTTCGTGACCAAGGGCAGGAAGGAGTCCAAGTTCTGCCGGGACCACAACCTCAACTTCAAGACCATGACGCGGGCCGTCAGTATACGGGCGCAGCTGAAGCGCTACCTCGAAAAGTTTGGCATCGCCGTCGACAACGAGCAGGAATCCGGGCCGGGCCTAGCAAAGTCCCGGCAGCAAGACAATTCCACAAAGGCGGAGCAGATCCGGAGGTGCCTCACGACGGGCTACTTTGCGCACGCGGCGAGGATGCAGCCGGACGGCACGTTCCGCAACGTCTCGGGCGAGACGACGCTCCACGCGCACCCCAGCTCCCTCATGTTCAACCGCAAGGCTGACTGGGTCATTTTTCACGAGGTCATGGAGACGGGCACAAAGATATACATACGGGACATCACAAAGATTGAAAAGACTTGGCTGGTGGAGTACGCGCCGGAGTTCTATCAACTCGCGGGCGGTTCGGCGAGCACGCGAGGCTGAAGCTGAAACGCGGTGTAGGGCACTGGGTGAAGCAGCATGAGAGGGGTAGGGGAAGGGGGCTTGACAAGTTGGCCGTCGTACGAGGCGGAGACGAGACGAGATTAGGCGGCGGGGGGTTCGATGAGGCTGGGCAGTTGGGAGTCTCGAAGGAGCGAATGTTATGCCGTATTCTAACATGGCTTTGAGTTACCTACTACGTATACCATGGCCACATGGTCGCAGAGCCTCACAGACGGTACAGGAGGCAAGAGGCTGTTTCAAACTTCGGAGTTTCCTGAGGGATGAAATCTCAGTGCCTTCGCAGAAGGCGGATACAATGTAGAACAGAGACATTGGTTCACACGGCTCAAGGCTCGACCATGTGTTGCGGCAGATTTGACGATTCCAAAAAAGGGCCGGATCGCTACCGCTGTCTTTCATAGGGCGGGCCTAGTGCAGCTGTCGGGCAGTGTCTACTGCAAGTTCATGGCGGCGTCGCAAGGCTCAAAATTGACCCGCCGGTCAGGAATCCAGAGTGGGTGCTCTGGCTCTCAGTACGGGGCGCTTCTACATACATTAGGTGATACGCACTTTGTACGTACATAGTGGTAGGAAAGGAAATTGTGCCGAGAGACACAGCATTATGAAATACATCCGTGTAGTAGCCGATTTTACGAGTGCTGCAGAATGGAGTGATAGCGGCCGAACACTGTGCAAGGTGATTGGCAACAGCGAAGCTCGAGCATATGAAAGGATGGGGCAGATCAAGATTTCTCGGCCAATGACAAGCTTTGGAGGATCCACCGAGATTAGCTTAATTAATCGACTAGGGGCCCACTAGGCCTTGCCAATTATGATTTGGACTTTTTTGACTGGTTTTGTCAAGCCAGCAATGGGATTGACTTTTCTCGTCATCATCAGCGGCTGGTCTAGCCAGTTCAGAGCCGCCCACCCCTGAGTCCTGGGACGACATAGGGTTGCTGGGAATTTGAAGCCGACAAGTGTTTGAGTAGCTTCATTGTTCTCGCACTCGGATGAGGTGACATTGTCTTATCCGGATGGCACGTGAGACAAGACATACGTCTATGCTTGTTTCTCTGGAAACATGCGTTTATAGACACGCAGGCGGAGCGATTCTGCCTCTCCTCATGTAGAAGAACCCGGCGGGCCCGGCGGGGACATTAGAACGTCGGTGAAATCAGGGACTGTCTTGCAAAAGGGGACGAGTTCTCCCCTCCTTTATACTATGTAGCTTGGCGTCAGCAAGGGCTAGAAACCCGATGGGGGTCATTCTCGCGCGACAGAACCGGACGAGAACCGATTAGCAACGGGCCATGGCAGACACCTGGCTCAACTTCTCAGGGAATGGAACAGCAATGCATCGCGATGACATGCGAGTCGCGACCCGGAATCCCTCGATTATCGGTGGCGGCGGGAAAGGTTCCAGATGCGATGCGCTGAGCCGGACAACTGCCGCACGTCTTTTTTTCACCGGCCCCTTAACCCGGCCCTCCGTTGTCGCTGCATGGAACCCCCGTAAAAGGGGACAGGTGCGACGCGGCGAACGCGTGATGGGAAGCTGGGAGGTCCCGGTCAAGAGGGGAGCCTTTGTTTCCTTGTTTCCTTCTGATTGAACAGAGGTGTTAACCCTGAATGAGGTGAGTGATCGTCGCTACTACGGTACACTAGAGGTGCTACTGGGATTGCCCACCCCCACCTAGAGCCGAAATGACGGCTCGAGATGCCGCGTCGGTGTTGTCGTAACTTGTTGCTGCTGCTTTTTGGTAAGCTTAGCCTGTTGTGCTGTGCGCTTATCTGTTCGTTGTTCTATGCAGAAACGCTGATCAAAGTTAGAAACCGTGCGCGCGATTTAGAACGATTATGTGCGGATACAGTGATAAATACGTAGACTACGAAGCAAATTCCGATGCGGGGCGCGCAAGTAAGGAGGTGCGTAGCACCGTTCAACGACAGCAGCTAAAAGTAGGAGCTGCAAGGCCTATCTCTGCCTCTCATGGGATGATTTGTTCGAGAGGCGTCCTCGTTGAGTGATCCAGCTGGAAGTTGGACCAAAATAGGCAAGCTGCTATGGGTAACCGGCGAGTCAAAGGAAAGAGAGGAGGCATAAACTGTCGTGGATCGCGAACGCGCCAGCGGGGAGCAAGGTGGAGAGCGGGTGGGAGCTCACCGTCCTCGATGAGGTTATCAAAAGGGTTCAACTTGACCCCGGGGGTGCCCGCCTGCCAGGCCGTGACAACCTCACTCCTTGGCCCAGAGGTGTCGCCGGCGTCGTAATCGTCCGGCACCCCCCTTGGTAACATCCGGGCCCGACTTCAAGAGGAGAGACAAAGGACCCGAGCCAGCTTCAGGTAACGGCTCCAATCTCGGTAGAGACCTGGCTGGGTCTGGGCGTGGTTTCGCCCACGAGACAGTCTGGGCTCGAGGAGTGTCGGCGGAGTCTCCCGGTGTTCATTGCATAACAATACGCAAAGTGATTTCATAACAGCAACGATGAACACATACTGGGGGTATCTGAGACCAGTCTGGGTCCAGAAACAGCGGCCGAGGATCTAGAAGCCACTGACGCCACTAGCTCAACGGGAGGATTGGTTAGCGCTGGTGGTGAGCTGCGGTGTGGTTGTTTTCTTGTGCGTGAGCGGGCAGTGAACAAGTCGCAAAACACTTCGTTTTCCCGTTTCTTCCCAATATCTTCCCTCTGTGTTTCTTCTTCTTCTTCTTCTTCTTCTTCTTCTTCTTCCATCGGTCAGAATTGAATGGAACACAGTGTGGAGAAGGAGCCAATGCTTTGGACGAAAGACCGAACAGCAAAGTGCTGGGACGAGCTTGAATAGGGCCTGGCCGTTAGGAGGGGAGAACAGAAATCGATCGTAAGAGCAGTAATCTTCTGCACGGTGTCTGTTGACCGTGCTGATGCTGCTGCTGACTGATATTGCTCACCGTCCCGTCCATCCAATTTGATCCCATCTGATGAACGACCTCCACCCGCCGGAGCTGTCCAAGGTACTCGGAGGGGCGCGTTCCTGCAGTAAATCCCTGCGCTAGACAAGGGGAGCCCCTGTAGGACCATGCGCTTGTATCGATTTTAGTGCAACGCTCTTGGGATGGCACAGGCAGCATTAACCAGTCAGCGGTCGCCCGTACCTGACTTGCGGCTACGCTGTACGGCTACGCTGTACGGCTCAATGAAATGGTTGGATGTGGACAGCGCGGGTAGGAAGCCAATGACGCGAATTGACGATGGCGTGGTATGCGGCGTTGTAGTACATTAGGGTAGGCCGAAACAGAAACAGCGACATTGAGAAAGATGCAATGGCAACGAATGTGGTGAGCAAAAGGTCGTCAGCAGCTAAATATGGACAACCAAAGCAAATAATCGGCATCTTATGCTGGAAAGAAGATAAGAAAGAAAGAGAGAAAGAAAGAAAGAAGAAGAGATCGAATTGTGCCGTGCTGCCCTCTGCTCGGACCAGGGGTAAAAGTCGCGCCAGCCCCGGCTCATTTGAGGAAATTGCTTTTCATTCGCCCGTTTCCACAAAAACCGTTCTTTCCAACCCCGGTCACTTATCCTGGACTCCCAGGTTGACAGGCACCACCCCCCCTTTTCATCATGGGTACGTACCGCCCGCCCACAATCCACTGGTTCCTCCCCCCTTCTGTCCCGAGTCCCCTATGCTACCTACTGAATAGTAACTCCATTTGATCCAATGGTGGCACTCTCTCTCGTGCCTGGCGGTAGGACGGCGTGGGATGCCCACGACGGGCCTAGCTATTGTCATCCCGGCGTCTTACAAGGTCCAGGCTCATGGTCATGGGTCAATGTTCAAGGTTCTCTCTCCATAGTACAAGGAGCAAGGCGCAAAGGAGCAGAGAGAGGAGGCAGTCGTCCAGGTCCAGGTCCGGGTCAAGGCCAGGTGCAAGAGTCGCTGTCTCGTTGGTCGGTTGTTGCTCAATCTCCTCCTCCCCGTTCACTCGTTGGCTCGTTTCGCTTGACCTGCAGCCTGTCGCTGCTGTGGTCTCCTTCGCTCCCACTCTCGGATCTCTTCTCACCTCTCTTTTGCTCGCCCTCACCCCCAAAAGGGACTCACTCTCGTTCCTCTTTCCTTCCGTCCCTTCCCCCCCATCGTCGGTCGTTACTCTGATCTTCCTCGGCCAGTGACATCCGCCGACTTTCCACAATCCAAACCTCTCTGCCTGCCAGCGGGCTCGTCACTCTTTTTTTTGTTTTTGGAACATCGTGGATTGTGTGAATGGATCAACGGACCTAACCGACCTGTCAAACTCGCAAGTCGTTCTTTACTCAACACAACAAACCCAGAATTTCCACCGACTTATATCCTCGGTGGTTGTCACTCTTTTGTATCAGCATCCCGCCCAGGCGTTCGGAACCGTTCACTTCGCACGAGATTCGATTTGAAACTCGAAACCTTCGACCAGCTGCTTTGGTGCCTTGACATTCTACCTGCTGTCCCATACTCTCGAAACCCGTCCCGACTCCCGATACGATCACTAGTCTGGTAATGGTGCATAGTGGTAATTTCAACAAGTGAAGGAAGGAGAACGTCTCGAGGTCAACCGTCGACCTCAACGAGAGAACGCCGGCTATTAGTGGAGAGTTGCTCCAAGGTACCACGGTATCTCATCTTCGAAACCGCCCCAGTTCAGATGGCTTCGTTTAACGCCAACGGCTACGTGATGGCCTCCCGGATTCCTATGCGGGATGTTCAGCCGATCAACAATGAGAGGAGTGCCGCGCCTCTGCGAATCGTCTCTCGTATTATTGGAACCAGAGAAACCTGTACCGGCTCGGCTAGCCAGTGTGAGAAGCCAGTTGACCCTTCTACCCTCACACTGCCCATCACTTTGGGTGTCTCGTAGGTCAAAGGAATTTCTCAAGAAGCAGATGCGGATGGGCTGACGGTTTCTAGGATCCCCATTGTTGGCGCTTTGTTTCTGCTGTTTTACTTCCACCGGAGAAATGTCAAGAGGCAGAGGCAGGAGGACGCAACTGATCCCAACCGTGGCCTAGATTTCGGACTGGGCGAAACCAGCTCCGACATAGGTGGAAAAGGAAAGCGCAAGAGCACCATGTTCCGTGAGAAGGGAATGGGTCTCGACACGAAGCATCGCCAATTGTCCATGGACATGAACTTGGACAGCCCCTACCTCCTCCCCCCCGGTCTTCAGAGCTCACGTGAGTCTCTGCATTCTCTCGCGAGGACCCTCCACAGCGAGGCAGACCCCTACCGACCCGTGGCTGGGTACACCGGCAGCGATGTCGGTTCCATCCGATCGTACAAGCCCGATGGCGCTTCCGTTTACACCAAATCGACGAGCCGACGGGGTTCCGCCATGACTGGCCGCACCACCATGACGCAGAACACGTTGCCTCCTAGGCAAAACTCCCTCCCCAGGCCCCCTCCTGCCACGGCAGACCCCTTTGCCACGCCCAAGTCTAGGTCTGGCTCCCCTGCTCTCGAAATCATGACGACAAACTCGCCCGTCGTCTTGTCACCCACGTCTCCGGTCATTCGAAGCCCCCTCATCGCCGAGCCCATCATTCCCAAGATCGAAACCATGCCGTATCCCGATGACAGAAACGGTGATTCTCTTCCTCAGATTCAAGACGTCCCAGAACCTGCCCCTGTTGCTCTGAAGGGACTTCCAGGCAACCCTCGCCCGCCTGCTAGAAACCCGTCCATTCCCGAAGCTCAAGAGTTGGATAGCACTCCGGCAGCGGCCCCTGTTGGCCTTGGTCTTGACGATATGAGCTCCTCTGCTCACTTGAACCATCAATCACCACCGGCAAGCGGCGCCCTTCCCACCAACCCCCGGGCCCAAAAGGATGCTGCTCCTTCAACACTCCCAGCCAATGTTCCAGAGGAAACGAATGCTTATGACCGCGACGACCAGGACTATTACGACTTTGACTTTGAGGACAGAGGCCGACCCCAGAGACGCTCTGTAGATATGAACGACAACCGTTTATCACGTGCACTTGGTGTTCCGGAACAGGAAGCCAAGAGGCTCTCTGTTGGGTTCCGGCCCCTCCCTCCCGATGAGGTTATGGAGTCCGAGGACCCTGAAGAACGTGCCAATAGGATCAGATCATTCTACAAGGAGTATTTTGACCCTGATAACCCGCACGCTGGCCAGGCTCCGCCTCCCATGCCTCAAGGACCTCGCGGACCTGCCAGAGGACCTGCCAGAGGACCTCCCAGCGGACCTCAGTACTACGAAGACTACGACCCCAGCTACAAAGGTCCTGCCGGCGGCGATGCTTACTTTGACCCTGAGAGCAACTCGTTCGTCATGCCCTACGCTCAGCCCGTCACTCGTCGTGCGATGACGCCACCACCCAACGGCTCTCGTTTCCGAGGCCCGCCTCCTCCCCGGGCCATGCACGGATCCATGGGTGGTCGCATGGCCAGCCCCGGCCCTGGCGGCAGGCGTCCTCCTCCTCGTGCCGGCTCGGTCATGTCCAGCCGGCTCGGACCTTCTCGTCCAGGTTCCGACATGTCAAGCCAGTACACTCCTCGACCTGGCTCTTCGGTTTCCAATATGACTGCCGGAGGTAGACCTAAGCCCAAGGGACCTCCCCCTGCCGATTTGACTACCATGCCCAATCCCTCCAAGCTCAAGGATGACTCCTTCTCCATCCTCAACCCTCTCGACTTCGCCCCCCCCGAGACCTTCTCCTCCCGCGCCCGTGGCCGTTCTCAGAGCCCGGCGGGAGAGAGACGCCCGTATGCAGCGCCCCAAATTCCTATCCACTCCCCATTGGTCAGCAGTTTCGAAGATATGCCTGCCATGCCCAGCCCGTAAGTTACACCCCATCGACATATATACCTCTCTGAGACACTAACGTTTGAACAGTCACTTGTTGCGCAAATCCGGAACCTTCACTGGTCTCGACTTTGCTCCTCCCCGCAAGTTCAAGGATGGTGACAACATGAGCGATGCCGGTAGCATTCGCAGCAACCGCAGCGGTATCTCGGCTGTCCAGCAGGCCGCTCTTCGCAGCGGTGCCGGCAGAGTCAGCCGCTTGCCTGGCGATATGGTGTTCACGCCGACGGCCCTCGACGACCAGCTCAAGCCGCAATGGGGCATGCGTCCTTAATCGACAACGACGTTTTTCTCCTTGTTGATATCATTACTTTGACTTCCGCGTATTGATACGGCAGCGCCACATCCACGGTCACGACTTTTGCGCAAATTCGCAGGCACTGGGATCATCCTTGTACGTGAGTTTGCGCGGACAAACAAAAAGAGGAGCCTTCTACCTACCTTTTACGGGATTAAATTTTGCATAACGGTGTTATTACTTCCTCGCATTTAGTAGCGATATACTGCTAATGTCTTTTTTCGTGTTGACAACCCTTTTTCTGTTTCGCTGCGTGGAGTATTTGGGTCACGACAAATAGTTTTCATTTTTTCCAACCAGCCCCCCCTTCAGCCTCAATTTGGGGGGGGTTTGCATATAGAAAAGGGAAGGGCTCGGAACATTGTTACCGTCCGCCAACCATCAACAACTAGATGATGAACAGAAAGTAAAATAAGAATCGGCTCCCATTCCTAAATTGCAAGTGATGATTGTCTTTGCCTTGTGAGCTCTCGCCACCTGCTGCTCACTTTCGTACACGCTTACCACTATTGGTGATATTGAAGTGTGTAAGCTTGCTTCGTGTACTGCGATAGGCATTCAATACTGTGTCCCATGGCACGCTGTCCGATTATAATGTCCATACCTCCCATGCTTACATCACTGGAGGGCGTCAATGCAATGGCATACCCAGGCTCGAGGCCTCCCTGGGCAGAAGCGGCAGGATGGCAGGCAGCATACCCTCCTCAGCCTGGGGGCAGATCTGACGGCCTCCGGGACGGTGACCCCCATTTCGACATGGACAAGCGGATCATGGGACACGTGCAGATACCTTAGACACAGCCGCCGCCACAGTCCTGTGCAAACAGCAACTTAGAAAGACCATACGTCCGCGGCCCCTCGGTCGGGGGCGCGCTTGGCGAGTTACCCCCCAACTAGTTCAATGAGGAACCTTTGCCTTCAAAGACGATGGATGTTCCGTCAGTAAGCAACCAACCATGCCGCTGCGTACAGCTGTTTTGGGCGAGCCAGTCAAAGGCTTGTCGGCAGCTGTTTCCCACATTCTCGCGACTACAGAAGCCAGCCTTTGGCACATAGGAACACCTGGCAGACTGCACCGCCGTCGGGACCGGGATCGGCTAAGGAGTGCTTCGAGAAGACGGGAATTTTCACGAGCATCCGAAAGAGCTTAACGGTAAAGTTATTTTTACATCGGACAATTGGATGGCTCTTGTGGAGCGGGAAAGGCTCGCGCTTGATCAGGCTTACAGTCAGTGGCGTTTGTTCCAGAGGAGGGGGCTCCCGCACGAGCCAATGGATGGGGTTTGGGTTATAACTTGTATGGTATTTGGGAGGGCACAGCCATGTGTGTGGCGGTTTTGGAGACGAGACCTTAGCTCGGGTAGCGTGGCTCCGTGGTGAAAGTCGATTGAGCGCCGTTAGGCTAATCAAGTGTCAATCTGGAGACGGGAAAATAGAATGGGAGACAAAGAACGATCTCTTGGAAAGTCCAATTGGAGCCTGGAATTCCCCATTGCTGATTCGATGAGCCAAATGGTGTCGGCACGGATCTGGCAAGCAACGTCGAGTGCAGACACCTTCGAGTCTATGCAAGCCATGCGCGCGACTTTGCCTCGTGCGGAATGCACGTTTCCGGCGAAGTGGCGTGGGACAACACAGATCGATGGTTCATACTATCGGTGAGAGAACCCCGACAGTTTGACGGTGCATGCGCCTGACGTGATACGATGCAGAGCAGTGTTGATTGCCTCAAGGCGATCCGACGTACCGGCATCGCCATCATCGAATTTGGTCCGAAGAATAGTTGTGTAGTGACGATTGAGTCTGGGCGGAAGATGATTGGACGAAGTGACATTGAGACCCTTTAGCGAAATGCTTTCCACGGACAGAGGCCATCGAAGTTTGGTCAATGCTCCGTGAGTGTGGAGGGACGTGAGGGGGGAATGACGTTGGTTGCTGCTGATCATTTGCTTGCTTGGAGGAGGACAATCCGAACCGAGGGCGTGTTGAATCTGCTGCTACTACGCCAATCCCTCCTGAGAACTCGACATCCTGGGACAAACCTTGGCAATCAAAAACTTTCACCCGGCTGTTGCTGGCGGATGCTGGGCCGGAGTCGGGAAAGTGGACATCATATGGATGGAGATATGTGTGTCATTGAAGTCATGATAGCAGGCGACCGTGACCACAGAACCCGCCATTATGCCCGATACAGTCAGACTCGGAATGCCTTGTTACTCATACAAAGAGATAAGCGAGTATGAGGATTGTGTTGAGTGAAGACAAGAGACCCTGAGTTGTGGCTTGCGGAAAGGCAGCGATGGAGTTGTTTGATCCGGACTATGGACTATGCAGCTTCGAGGCTTAAGTGACTAACTTCTGGAACGGTCTGGATGACAGGAGACTCTGCTTGTTGTACAACAGCTGACCAAGGCTAACGGAAAGGATGGGATGCAAACCAAAGGTAAACAAGCTTGTGCCAATGGCATGGCGATGGAGAGATGGCCAGCTGTTATTTAGTCAGGCAAGCACCTGTCAGAAAGGGCAGCCCTAAAAGCATCAGCAACGTCATGCCAGCCAATCTTCGGGAACGAAGATCGATCGCTGTTCAGCTCCAGCCGGAAGGCTCAAACTTTCATCCGACGTGGGCTGCCGCGGTGGTCGTCACTCGCCACGGGGTTGTCCGGGTTTTTCTCCATCCGATCGGCTCTCGTTCGAAATTTCGTCCCGTCGTGCTTGAAAAGCTGGCGGCGTGGTGCTTGGTCAAGCGGGCCAAACTCCCACCGATCTAACCAATAGAAGCGCGCAATTGACAATATACCGCTCGCTACCTTTGTAGATCGATGGGATCGCACAAGAGATCCAATGCGGTGCTCGCCGAGGGAAAGGCACCGGCTGAGGATCAGCAGCCTTTATTTTGGGGATACGAGCGGCTCCATAGGTCCCGAGCAGCCTGCAGACGGAGGCAAATGCTCAAGTTGCCGAAGGCGGAAGTTGCTCGTGTAGAAAAGACGTGAGGGAGAGCAAGGCGGACATGAGTTTCAAAATAAACAAGCCGAAAGAAATGTGTGTAGTTGTCAATCATGGTGTGACTGGCAGAGCCAATAGATAACAGAGCCTCGGAGGCACGGGGAGAAATTCGGACGCTGACCAGCTATGGCCTGTGAGGTCTACGTCTTGCCCTATGAATGTCGCCAACATTCCAGACCAGGTGATGGCGTGTGTGTAAGACACGCCAACGAGGACCAAGGCCAGGCTGGCGTAGACTACAACCAACGACGAGTGGGGGACATTTACCAACCTCAACGCCTCGGGATTGCGTTGACTAACCATCGCAGGAAGGCAATGATGCGTTGCTTTCCGTCTTCTTTTTCTCCGGGAGCAAATGATGCCATCTCGAGGGTTGCGGACGGTGGACCTGGCAGCTGGCGTGGTTTACTGGGAAGGTGCATGTTCGCTGGGCAAGGGAAATTAGCTGGTTCTGGAGCCGTCGACCGTCACTCTGGATACGAGAGGGAGCGGACGGACCTTCTGGTGTCCCCGGCAAAACGAAGCGAATTCGCGAACCCCGTTTATGAGGCACATTGCTCCACGGGCCCGAGGGAGAGGGAGAGGAGCGAGGGCATGCCGCACAGCAGTGAGGCACGGCCGGTGCAGGGACTTGTTGAAGGGTGGCCTGCCGGGATACACAGCAGGATTGAATTTTTTTGATCGCGGGCTGTCCGTCGTCTGAAATCTGAAGTCTTTAGGTTTGGGAGAGAGGAGACAGCAGACGAGAGAGCAGATGAAACTTGACCGGCATGCCTGGCTCCGAGTTGCTTGCGTATCTGCCTGGCGTGTCACGTTTGAGGCGTCGTATTTTGCATTCATGTCTCTGGTTGACAAGTGTCGAGGCCGCGACATGGGGAACGCACATGTTGGAGAGAGGTGGTCTTTCCTTCTTTGGCCCCGTTTGGACCAGAGCAAGACTCTCAAGACTCGGCAGGCATTCGACGATATGAAAGGAAGGAGCCAGCATTCCCGGGTAGGAACTTGGAAGTATCTGGTCGAAATGCTCTGTCGGCAAGCCAGGGCAGCTCTAAGAGCTTTAGGCTTTTATTCGTGCCAGGGGTCTCTCGGGACTTTGTGGCCCCTGCGAGCCAGAGAAGGCGGCGGCTCAGCAATTCGCAATCTCAACAGGCATGTCCCTTAGCAGCTGCGAAATGAATGAGACATGACAGATGATGAACGGCAGAAGCCGTCTTGTCGCTCTCGACCACGCGACAGAAGCTGTCAGTCTGTTTGTCAAGACTCGACTCAATCGCTCTGCCTTCGTACGGACTTCCTCGATGCAATTCATTGCATCGTGCCATACTGTGATGCCTTGCAGCTTCGCAAATTCGAGCGAACTGCAGATCGGCCCGTTCTATTAGTTACCTTGCCGGGTGTCCTAGGTACTCGGGTTCCCTCCAGGTCCACTCCAGGTCCGCTGAAAAGGTACCTCATCCGCACATGCACCAGCCAGGGATTTTATATGGGGGAGGAAGCATCCGTACGGATACTGGGCTCGGCTCGGCTGACCTGAGCCTGGTTACAGCATGCCTTAGCTCAGCGCCCTGCCACTGAAGCAACAGCCCTATGTTCCGCTGAGCCACCCACCACCTCAACGGTGGATGGTCAGATCAGTCCACCATCATGTTCCGTTTTTGGCCCTGCTGCACCTCTGGCTTTACACCTGCACTTGCGGCTGGCTTCCAATGCAGTTCCTCGGAGCTAGATAGCTGGACCCGAGACAGACACACGCCAGCAAGGTTGGCGGCGGCGGATAGTGAGTCCTGAGCCATGGACTCGAACCCGATCGAGGTAAGAGAGGTATGGACGACAGGGCGGGAGGCTGTGAGGACGGAGGAGGGCGGTCGGTCCACCTCACCTGGGCAGGCACGAAGGTTCCTGTCAACGCCCATTGCTCAAAACATACATATTCCCGCGCCCTCCTCTGCAGCTCCTCCGGAGCTACCTAGCAAACCCCCCTTTCCCTCTCCCTCCCTTTCGTTGCTCTCCGTCAATATCCTTCCACCACCCCCGTCCCGTCCATCCTCGCTCGTCACCCCTGCCCGGCCCTTCCTCTTTCACTTTCAATTGGCAGCGGCATCAGCATCAGTCCGCATCCTTCCAAGAAATCGCGACTTGCTGGCCTCCTTCCTCCTCTTTTCCCCTCTTCCCCATTTCTCCTGGGTCTTCCCTTTCTCCTCTCGCTCTAACTCTTGCAGTTTCTCTGCCCTGCCCTTTTGCTTTTCCCGCTTTCCTCAGGCCGTCGCCAATCGATCCCACTTGGTCATTGCCGATCGACAATACTCGCGCGGCACTACGGATACTGTTCACCAGGCACCGCCTGTACGAAGCCAAGTAGGCCCTGCCAACCCCCGACCCAACACCGACCCGCGCAGTAGCCAGGAGGCGGTCCGTCTTGGTCGCTCCCTCACAGGCACCACCTGAACCTGACTCAGCCACCCGCGCCAATTATTGACCGTTCGTCTTGTCTGAGCACCCGTCGTTCGATCGCCGTTGTTTCCGCCTAGACGCGACAGCAACTTCCCATAGTTTTCAGAGAACTCCGTCCGTCCTCGACACCCCCGACGCACCCGTGTCGCCCTGAACTGAGGCCTCGTACCGCCGCCAGTTCCACGTGTATCGCCGGTTGGCCTCTTCGCGGTGTCGCTGAAATCGACCAAGCTTCTTCGTCGACGAATTGCTCTTTGCGGAATCGCTTGTATTGAAACTTCTCCCTTTCTGCGCCTTGCAAAAGCTGCGTGTGAACCACTCGCTCTCATTGGAGGTACGTAGTACGACGCTGTGCTTCCCAGATTTGGCCGAGTGCACTACGGCATCTCTGCCGATCACCAATTTGCCTCCCAAGAAACCTGCTGCATCTTTTGTGTTCATTGCGCACAAAATGATTGGGTCGTCTGCCTCGGTTGTCAAATATCCAACTTGTCTTCCCATTTCAAGCCTTCCGTCTTGTTTTGTTGAATACCCGTCGTCCCTTGTTCGGAATTTGGCGATGCCATCGACGCTGCTCCCTCGCCAGTCGCTAACATGTCTCTCTCGCACAGTCAATCGCCACAGATATTGCTGAGACAGGAAAACGCAATGTCGTCGAATGCTACTACTCCGGGTGGTGAGGCCTCAACGACTCCCGCCGCGACACCGGGCAGTTCCGCACCCGCGGAAACGAGTGCCGCCGCTGTCACCACTACTCCTCCGGCGGAAACCTCGCAGGCAGCGGCTCCTACCACTGCGCAACAATCGACGACTCCCCAAACTTCGGCGGCAGCGGCGTCTACTACACCTCCACCCCCGCCACCGACAACTTCCCAGGCAGCAGCAGCACCAACTACTTCGCCGCCGCAGGAAACCCCGACTCCGACAACTCAACCGACTGAGACTCCGCAGCAACCGCAAACGACTCTCGTCGCAACTACAGTCATCATCACGCCAACCGAAGCAGGAGGTCAGACGAGTACCATATTCACCGTCATCACTCAGACCAAGGGCGTTACACAGAGCGGAACCGCTGCCAGCTCGTCTGCTTCTGCAACAGCCTCGGGCGGTGCCATCAACTCTGGTGGCAAGTCAAACAGTGGACTTGGCAATGGGGGCACTATCGCGGTTGCCGTTGTCGTGCCCATTGCTGCTGTTGCCCTGCTCATCTTGGCTGGCCTATACTTCTGGAGGAAGAGAAAGCAGCGCAAGGAGGCCGAGGAGGAGCGACGAAAGGAGGTCGAGGACTACGCCTACAACCCGAACGCTGATCCCACCATCCCGTCTCTTGGCGATGGCGGTTCGTACGAAATGAAGGAAGATGCAGGCTCATCCGGATACCGTGGCTGGGGTTCCACCACTCTCGCTGGCTCGACCGGACGTAAGGCGTCCACGACCATGTCCGGAGGCAACACAGGTGCGGCATACTCGGACACAACTTCACCAAGCCACGGAGGAACTGACACCCGTTCAGGAGAGCCTTTGATTAACGAGGGCTCACACTCACCCGATGGCGAGATCCTCGGCGCCATGGGCCCTTCAGCATCCATGAACCGCGGAGGCGGTGTCCAACGTGGACCTTCCAATGCGTCATCCTCCTACAGCGCCGGAAATCACTCAGATACCTCTGACGGAATCGGCATGGCGTACGGCGGCAGCGGTAGCAACGGTAACGGTAACGGCAACGGCAACACCAACGGTAATGGCAACGGCAATGGTTACTACGACCAGTACGCCAACAATCCGTACTCTGACAGCTCTTACCCCAACCCAGCGACTGAGCTACCTGGCCAACCGGTCATTCGCGACAACCCAGCCCGTCGCAACACTCGGATCGAGAACCCTTCGCACTACCCTCAACAACAAAACGCTGGCATTTCCCAGAACTTTTAGACAAGGTCTTGTGTGCCAACTCAAAAGTTTTGTTTGTTGTTTACTAGCCGCTGGGGTTCTGTTCTGAAGATACCCATCATCCCCATCAGGCCTTCGACCTCGAAGTCAAGTTACATACAACGGCGTTACGGATTTATGGAATCATGCTACACGGCGGCATTTCACTGCCTCGCGAAACTTCTTCATTTTTAATATCATCGGCTCCGCTGTCCTGCCTGGCCACACGTCAAGGCCAGCGAAATGCCACGGAGCTCATCATCCACTTCGACGCACATGATTTATTTGTCATATACATAACCATCTCGGGGACCTGTTCCGACCATTGCCCTCCACAGCGTGTTGCTCCGTTTTAATCTGTTGTACATAGCAATCCAACGAAGGGCGCGCACAGGCAACATCATTTGCTGCTGTCTCGGACGAGCAACCAGGACTGTCTTGACGGCGGGGAGCTGCCGCACAAGGAAAGTTGAAGGATTTTAGTATAGTACTAGGTAGAAAAAGAGTAGGATAGTCGAGATCGCCAAGATCTCGGAACACAGTCTCGTAGACACGTATGAACGAATATTCCTTTGTCAATCTATTCTTGTCGCTTTCAGTTCATTTGCGTTCTGGACTACTTCAGTGTGGAAAGTCTAATGCTTGCTCAAATCAACCTTCTCACTCATATCTAATCCACAGCTGATGTATTACAACCTGGACTCGTCCTCTTCAGCAGACCCCATTCCCTCGCTCAGCCTAACCCGATCCCACCAGAACCGGAACTGCTTCACCTCGGCTTCGGTCAACGTACGCACGCGCGCCACCGTGCCCCGGCGCCGCTGGCCCGCGCGGCCCATGAGCTCGTCGTTACCCTCACCAAAGACGAGGATCTTACCCCTGGTCTCGGTGGGGTCGTCCGCCGGTCTGGGGACGTAATCGTTCGCGGCCGTGTCGCCAAAAGGGGAGATGAAGCGAGGCCAGGCGATTCCGCTGGGGTTCGGGTTGTCGGGGTCGTTGGGATTACTACTGCCTTTTTCGGGCGGGGCGGAGCTCATCGTGACAAAGGACGACCAGTACCCGTGCATTGCGTCCGAGACGGCGAGCAGGCCCGGCGTTTTGGGGGAGAAGAGGATGTCTGTGTCGTGCGTTGCGGCGGGGACGTGGTCGCCGTGGTTTGCGGCGCCGAGGTCGGCATGCGCGGCGTACTCGTATACCCAGACCGGAGCGGGAGCATCACTGCCGGCGGCACCGGCTTTTTTCGAGGCAAAGTGCGCCGAGTGGAGGAGTGGGGCAATGTATCCGTAATGCCCGTACGCCTGTGCCAGTCGCCGGAACTGAGAGCCGTGGGAGGCGGTCGGCGGGGCCGGGTACGTGGAAGCGGGCGGGTACAGGCTCTCGAGGGTTTCGAGGTCTTGGGCGGAGAGGGAGGGGATGAGGGCGGAGAAGAAGTCTGACAGGGCTGTTGGTGCAGATGCTGAGGCTGGGACAAACATTGTGCCTTCGGAGGTATTGAAGCCTGTCAGGAGGGGCGGGAGGGATGGTAATGAGGAAGAGGTCCAGGTTTTGATTGGGGCGAGGGGGATGACGGCTGGTGTCCTTTGGTCAACGTCGTTGCTGCCCGCTTCGATGGATGGCTGGAAGGGCCACTGGACGGAGGGGGCGCACTCTGACCAGGTTGCTAGCGAGGCTTGCAGGAGTTTCTCGAGAGGAAGGGCGCGGAGGGCGGGGAGGATCTGCTTTGGCGTGGAGGAGAGCCGAGAGAGGCCGGCGTGGGTTAGGAGCCGGGCGAACTGGGCCTCGTGGCGAGGGTGCGTCGCCGCGAGGACGGAACGGGCCGTTGGGGCGCCGGATTCGAGGATTGCACGGTGGAAGAGGCGGCGGGAGGGAGGCGAGAGGAGATGATGGCCGAGCTGGTGTTTTCTGCATTAGCACCCCGCTGAATCCTACAACCAGAGTGAGGCCGACACAGGGTGAGATAAAAGATAAAGGGGAGAAAAGAAGCACAAACCGAATGCGCACCAGCGCTGAACCCCATCACCGTGACGGACCCCTCATCGCCGCCAAACTTTCCAATATTCCGCTGCACCCACTCGAGCAGCGCCCTCTGGTCCAATAACCCTAGGTTCGCGATACCTTCCCCAGCGGCAACCCCACACGGTAGGAAGCCTAGCGGACCGAGGCGGTAGTTGAAGCTCACGGCCACGACGTCGCGCTTGGAGAACGAGACAAACGCCGCCAGATTCCTGTCCCCTCCCCTCCCAAAATTGAAGGCCCCGCCGTGTGCTGAGTGAGACGTTTGTAAGTGGTTGATGGAACGAAATCATTGCCGGATAACCTACTGTACACCAATACCGGGACCTTCTTCCTTTCCCCGTCCGAAAAAGTGGCACTTGACGCCGGGCGAAAGATGTTGGCGTTCAAACACCCCTCTTCGGCCGCCGGGTACGAGGGGTCCGCAGTGGGACAAACCGGGCCGTACTCTGCCGCGTCGAACGAATCACCAGACGCCTCTGGCGCCTCCGGCCGGCGAAGACGCTCGCATTTCGCATACGGCACGCCGAGAAAGGCTTCGACGCTGCGCGGGAAAGCGGGTTCCGCGATGGTGGTGCCGACGAACGCCCCCTGATCCAGGCGCACCGTCGGCTGGGATTGCGACGGGATTGAGGCTGCGGGACTCATTTTCCGGGTTCGCAGTAGTACCTGAATATTTGCGGACGATGGTGCCGAGGTATATCAAAAGGTAAATAGGTCGCTCGGAATTTGTGGTGCCAGAATGCTGAATTCTCCTCTGGCCTACTTTGGTTCCTCCCAATTATCAATGTTGAGATGTTGATGTAATGGAAGGTAAAAGTGAGCCACTACCTCGTCAGGACCCAGTCAAACGGATGTCGTTGGCGTGCTCCGCTAGCGCCGGCACGCTAGCCGGCCGTGTGGTCCCGCGTTTTCTCCCCGGCCGGCCGCAGATCGTGATTTGCAACGCGCTTCTATGACCATTGACTATGAGCTGATTGACTCGCCATTAAATCTGAGCAGTAGATGTTCACCAGAATCATAGACACATCAATTGACCTGAATCTGACGTTGTTGATCAACAGCCGCTCTAACGTTTAGACTTACATCACTGGAGGCTTGCATTCTTGCGGTGTAAAATAAAATTATCTCCCAGCTGTCGAGGAGTCCAAATAAACTCTAGTCAATAACGGCAATCGACCTATCGATGCTTAAACCAAGCCAAGTTCTAAAACTAAACAACAAAACTCCTTTACAGCGGCTGTCTGTCAACATTGCCAGCTGAACGGTTGATACCGTTGCCCCAAACTTCGCGCAGTCTCGATAAAATTGCCAAGCTCCGTGCACAAAAGCCAAATAATTCACAAGGCAGATATCTGCCAAATGGAGCCTCACAACTCCTTACGTCCGGCAAATCATGCTGCTTGGCCCGCCGTGGCAGCCAGGACAGCTAGCTGCCTGCGTCTCTGCTTCTCAGCCCACTCTCGGCTCGCTTGCCTGGAGCGTTCCGCAGCTTGCTCGCGGGCCATCTTAGCATTCCACTCGCGTTCGCGGCGCTCCCGCTCCTTGTCTTCGATGTAAGAGTTGTCGCGGTGGAAGATTTCGCGACCCTTGACTTTTTGTTGCTCAATTTCCTCGACGGATAGCGCGCTTCGCTTGCTGCTCATGCTGCCCGTAGATGTAGATGTAGTACGGCTGAGCTGAGTTTCCGGACCGGCTTGTGAGGTACCTCTGCCGCGAGCCTGTGGTGACCTCGTGGAACTTGACCTCGCAAGTGTACGAGGGGTGCCCACAATTGTTGAGCGCTTTGACGGGCTTTCCATGTCGCTGGCCTCGGATCCCTTGTTCTGGCGAGCTCGACTAGCCACAGTTTCCCGAGGTTGCGCAGCGGAACCAAGCCTCGCCTTGATAGGACTCGCTTTGAACTCGCGACGCCTTCGCTCATCCTCTTCTTGTTTTTGGAGACGGGCATCTCGTTCCTCCCTCTTGCGCCTGGAAATCGCCTCGCCAGGTAGCTCAAAGTTGGGCCGGGTCGGGGCCTTGAGTGATCTAGTTCGCTGGGGGACTGCCGCAGCGGCTTTCTCCTGGGCCTGTTGAGCCAGGCGATTTTCGCGCTGCTCCTTGATACGGCGAGCAACGGCCTCTCCTGGCAGCTCAAACGAGGGCTTCGTAGGTGCCTTTTTGGATTTGGCAGGCGGCTTGGGGGGCAGCAGACTGGTTGGACGAGCCACAGCAGGCCTTCTAGCAAGGGCCTGTCCGGGTGATCCATTTTGGGTGTCGCTATCAAAGTTAACAGAATTCCTCTGGCTTGCGCGTGCCTGGGATGATGTTCTTGCTGCAGCGCCAATTGATTGGGTGCGCTTCAGTGTCGAGGCGGGCCGCTTGAAGACCGTTTCGTTTGTGGAGGCTGTAGTGGTAGACTCATCGGTCATAGATTGAATTCGTCGCGACTTGCTTGGTGTCGCCAAGCGTGTATTTATGGCCTCCAATTCCTCCTCGAGTTTATCAATGGCTTCCACGGAGTCCTCAATTCGAGACCGCGAGCTGCTTGAGGTCGACCTGGAAGGAGTGCGGGGAACGTCGTCCATCGGGCCGCTGCTCTCGTCTGTAGACGAGAAGGAAACTACTCGGTCCTTGGGGTGGCTGACGTGATCCAAAGAGGACTCCTTGGAATGGCTCTGATCAACGACGGATACAGTTATGGCAGATTTTGTCATGGAATTTTCTTGTCCAGCAGGCGCTGGAGAAACATGCCGAACAAGTGGTTCTGCAACAGCCATGTTGTCCTCGTTTTCTGAAGATGAATACGACGCACTCCAAGTTTCTTCGTCAGTTATCAGAGGTGTAGCTAGAAGTTTGAAGGCATTAGCCGGTTTGCGCTGACTGCAGAAAGCTTCCTCAGTGCGGTCGGCCGGGACCAAGACGTTGCAGCCATAGTCTAGCATGGAGTCTCCTCGTCCACGGAGCGCATTGTCGCGCTTAGCCGAGCCGTCTGGGTTCGGAATCGAAAGTACATAGTCATACTGACCTGCCCTGTGCCGTGCGATGGACGTCTCGATGTTAGAATCGATGTCAGGATGGTGGCGTTCGAGGCCAGTTGCGCGTAGGACTAATATGGTTAGTTGAAAAACCACATGGCAATAATCAGATGAGCGAACCTTGAGAAGAGAAGTCGGATCTGTTGGCTTCAAGTGAATTCGACGACAGACGGGGGGAAGTAGGTACGGCAGCACGTGTTTCAGTTGACGACGGGATACCCTCGTCTTCTTTGGTCTCTTGAGGTAGGTCGGCAGGGAATGGTCCTTGCGTAGGGCTAGTCACGGTCGAGTTTCCGTCACAGATTTCAACTTCTTCCCTGATGTGTTGAAGGGTTGGGAAGGTTTTGTTGTCAATGGACGATCGAGTCAAGCGGCGTCGCGCAGGTTGCAGCAGTGATCTTTCGGCGCGGTTTTTTTTAGGACTGTAAATATGTAGTTCCTTGAGTTTGTCGGTTAAAGAGTCGATGAACTCCGACGTTCTTTGGCGGCTGTTAGTGTCACAATCTTCGAGAGCAGCGAGGTGGGTGGAGGTGTGAGCGCCGATTGCGTCGGATGAGGCATGGTGGCTGAGACCAGAGGTGTCCTCGAGGATACCGAAGCCGTGGCCTACGGTCTTGGATCGAGAGAGGCGACCCATTATGCTCTACAATCTCCGATGCCGACCTGAACCCAGACAGGGAACCGCCGCCGACCCCAGACAAATTGAAAGACAACGGGCCGCAAAACGTAGGAGACAGTGGACTGTTTGGGATTGGCGAGCAATTTCGCTTGGGACCAGCCGGGATACGTGCAATATGGCGGGGTTATTGGCTGCAACTCTACTTCGTACACGGTACTCTGTATTGGCCGTATGATTCTGGTTCAAGACAAAGTCTGGAGAGGGCTGAAGGTGTCCAAAAAGAAGAGCTCTTCGAAAATAATGGACTAAAGTGTTTGGCGCTTGGAGATGGAAGCGGAGTGGAAGCAAGACAAACAGAGTGACGTGGAAGAGATGGATTTCTAACCTGGCAGCCACCGAGATGACAGGAAATTGGCTTCAATTTGATCTTTCCCCTACATGTTAGTTTCCTGCCACCAGAGCCACCAACCAACAGCCACCGGGCACGGGCGCGGCAGGTTCGATAGGTCTGTCCCCAAGAGCCAAGGGCCTTCGGGCTTGCGGGTAGCCACGAGGGCGAAGCACCTCCCGTTTCGCTGCATCTGCTCTATGGCAACGTGTGAGATGACTAAGAGACGCGTTCCGATTCAGGTCGCGTCCTTCCCGTCCGTTCGGGACCCCGCACCTCACCCGTCAGTTAGTGTTTGTTGACTTGGGTGGAGCTTCCCTGCCCAATCCAGCGTCGGCATCAAACTGCCCGAGGAGGACACACTTTGTGTAGCCCTCCGCCAATACTTGGGCTTGCAACAGATTGGAAGGTTCCGACAACGATGCGAGGTTCCGTCTCGTTCTGGCCCGTTCCCCAGTGATGGCTTCCCCTCTTTCTGCATCTGCGAGGAACCTCAACAGCCTGGTCGCGCATGCTGACCAGACACGCTGGTATAGTCAGCGACCAAAAAAGTAACCCCCGTTCGTAATCCGTCGCATCTAAAGGCATATTTTGCTTTCCGGGCCAAAGATCCGTTTCATGCGATGCTCTTCATGGCGTAGCCAAGCTGCTCTCTATATTCTCTGCTGCGTTTTCAGCCTGCGCCTGGAGCGTCGGAGCATGCTCTGTCGGAATGCGAACCAGTGTCTGCGGCAGAGACATGCTGGATTCCTCCGATTTCAACGTTTCTTCTTGCGGAGGCGTCTTGGCAAGTTGGGCTGCACGTTTATTGTCAGTCGCAATCGTGTGTACTGCATGCAGCTTTGACCTACCGGATGCCATATTGATGGCGCGCAGCACGTTATGCCAGTTGCTAATAACCATCGCAATCGCTGTCATCCATCAGCCTGGCTTCTCATTATGGTCCCTCGGTGGGTCGTGCTGACCTTCTGTGCCATCAGAAAGCGTCGACAGCTTTTGCTCCAGTGCTTCCATCTGGCCGGCAACGGCAGCGCTGAGGTCCCGCAGATCCTTCAAGTGCTCCAGCTCTGCCTTCTTCTCTGCGATGCGTGCGACCAGCATGGGCGACGGGCCTGTAGAAGCGTTTTGCGACCCCGCGCCGGGGAGTCGAGTCGAGAGGGATCGGGTTGGGAAGGACATCTTTCTAGATAGTAGACGAGTCTATGAGGTCGGCTTCCTGAAAAAGTTGTCGTGGTCTGCGTTCGAGTCGGGAATAGCTAAAATGAAAGTTATGGCGGGGTAGGGACTTAATCAGAAAGCTGAGCTGAAAGCGATCAGCAGGTCACAGAAACCGTCAAAGGTAGGCTGATGAAAGTGCACATGAAAAGGATGCGGCAGGCGGTGGAGAGCTGGACCCATCCGAATGCGCCCCCAGCAACCTCCTCTTCCCTGCACGATTGTTGACGCTAGTCTCAATTAGGGCGAGTGTAAATAAATGACAGTTCGGTAAATTTTCTCCCTCCCCCCGACCCCATCGTCACTGTCCCAGCCACCTTCTTGTCGTGCTTCGCCGAGCTGACTCCCTCATTCCTCAATTTTGGTCTCATCGCGCGTTGGCTTTTTTTACTTCTCCAGAATGCACCATGGCCCGACTAAACGAACCACCCGTATCTACAGATAGCATTGACACGCGTATGTTCACTTTCTCGCCTTCACTTCTTCATCTCCGTCGACTAACTTGTGTTATTGTAGTACGTAGGAAGCTTTTGCGCCAAAACAGAGACCTTGCCAGAGCCAACGCCGTCCACTTGAACCGCATCCACAACCTCGAAGCAGACTATTCTCGATCTCTATCAGAAAACCTCCAGTTGAATGGCCGAATTATCGAGTTAGAGAAGGAGCTCGAGGACAGCAATGCTCGGAGGATAGCAGACCACGCCCTGGACATCAGGTCCAGGCTCGAATCTCAGTTGATGGACTGCATGTCGCTGCTTTCCAGCCTCGGCCAGGAGCCTCCCACTAAAAGGCACGCGAGCCCTCGAGGCAGAAGGATTTCCAGAGCAAGTTTGCCGCGTGGCAGTCCTCCGCAGAGGCGGCCGCCACGCGAGCCAGTGAAGGATACAGAGGCTCGGGCGCTGCAGGAGGGTCGTTTGCCTCCTATTGCAGAGAATAAGTCATTGACCAGGGCAACAATGGAGTAAGTCAGCCGCAATAGTTGTTGATCAGCTTGTGATGTTAACATACCACAGCCGTGAGCAGATCCTTGCTCTATGCTCGGAAGCCGCCGACACAACAGACACGACAGACATTGCCGATACCACCGACTCCCCCGAACTTGGTCCGCCACCAATGTCCCGATTCGTCGATACAGACTCCGTCGATATCGGATCCCCTCGTCAAGCCCTGGGTGCCGCAGAACCGCAGGCGGCTACTGAGGGCTCGCCGGTGCAATCGCCATCACTAGCGCCAGTAATAACCCCGGCACCAGCCTCCCGAACAACGCAGAAACCCGAGAGGAATATTATTGTGCGACCCGATAATGCAACAAAGACTGAAGACGCTAGACCTGATGCCAAGCGGCCACCCAAGGAGACTCCCATCTTACCCCCGATGCCTCAGACCATCGTCAAGGCTGGGTCGAAAAGAAAGCACAGCATGGGAGACGACCTAAGCAAAATCACCAAATCACCAACTGAGCCCTCGAAGTCGAAAGAGCCGGAACAACGCCCTCTTGAGGCACGCGAACAACCTAGCGGACAGACCTTGAAGGAACTCGCCAACAGACGCCGTGAAGCTAGAGAACGGATGTCGGCACCAGTCAATTCGAGAAAGCCTTTGTCGGCCAAGAGCACGAATGACGACATGGCATCTCCTGTGAAGAGCGCCAAGGACGCAGCAAATGACCCTAAGATCGCTTCTGAGAAGCCGAAGCCGCGCGCAGCAAGCCAGCGGGCTGCGCAGAAGATCAGAGAGGCCGAGGCCGAAGCCAGGTCCGAGCCTGAGCACGTCGAAATGATTGTTGCCGCTGCTCCATCACCGGTGCCTGCTCTTAACGTTTTGCCAAGCACAGAGACCGTACCCATTGAAGCCGGCCTCCTATCGCCGGCATCCCCTGAGCCAGCGTCTAGAACGAGCCTGCCGAGTGTTCGTGATACGCCCCCGCCCAACGACATCTCTTCTCAGGGTGAAACATCCCGGCCAAGCAGGCGGGCACGAGCTTCTGTCAGCTATGCAGAGCCGAATTTGCGTGACAAAATGCGACGCCCTACGAAGGAACTATATGACGCCGTTACTGGCCAAACGAGGTATCTGCAGCGCAGCGGCAGCGCCAGTTCGGATCCGTCTGCGGCGGACACGGCACCAATAATCAAACGCGAATCTAGCGACGATGCTACTTGGAAACAGATCGCGGCCGCTGCGTCGCCATCCGCGATTGTCCGGCAAAGTCAGAAGAGCCCCCACAAACCTGTTGACAATCCGACATCGCCGGAACAGTGGCTCGGCGTGACGAAGCCACTTCGTAAGAAAAGGTCGTCTTCCATGATGTCGGGCTCAACAAGCGAAAGCGAAGGACAGAGGCCCTTTCAACAAAACCCTGGCGGCTCTGCTTCCTTGGAGAAGACCGCTAACAGTCGACCGGCGCCGTCGCCCGAGTGCGAGGCTGATCCTTACGAATTTCCCGCCTCGACCCCAGGTAGCGATACGCCCCGTATTGCCGAAGCGAAGGACCTCACTCTGCCAGCGCGCCAGTCCAAGTCTTCGAGACGAGCATCTTCTGCTATGAGAGAGGACTTCACAGTTGATGGGGCAGACGGGAGCCAGAGACCCAAATCCAGCGGGCCCAGAAAGAGAGCGTCGATGGTCTTGCCCAAAAGGAATCGCGCAGAAGCAGAAGGCCTCGAGGATAGTAGCTTTGAGAGTGTGGAGAGCAGCGACTTTCAGGAAACAAGTTCGAAAGTCTCAATGCGGAGAAGGAGCATGATGTTGTAATGACCACCCTATGATGGACTGACGGCTAGCACTGGTGTTTTTGGAGTTGGATACGTTCTCAAATACCATTCTCCTTGTTTCGTTCATGTTTCTGGGGAGGCTCCCAGAATGGTTGTTGCTGTGTGGATACCACAGGGGACCCGCGATTGGGTTAATCGTGGAAATAGAGGAGCACTGCGAGCATGAGGCCCTAGAGAATGGCCGGCTGAAACTTATATTATTATCATGATCATCATTTGCCTACGATGGTGTGGTCTTGAATCATGACAAACCAGTCGATCATGGCTGAATCTTCCACTTTTTCGCAAATGCCCACGTCCTTGATTAAACGCACTCTCATCATTCCGCCGTCATTTATGCTGCAGCCGATGGCTCCACGGGTTTCGTGTATGTGACCTTTTCTACAGCAACATTTTCATTGCCTTTGTCATCTTTCCGTAGTTGGTATACGTATAGAGTGAGCGAGATTCCTTGCACCTGCAGTATGGTCAGCAAAAGTACGACAGGCGGCCCATCCTGTAGAATATGATTCTCCTAGCTAGTGACATTGGGCACACTTACGTCCATCAAGCAGAAACTCGGGACGGGCTCCTCTCCATCCTTGCCCCAGCCTGCGGTGAAAGCGCCTGTGGCACTACCGGGGTTGACAAAGAACTTGTCCATATATTCAAAGGCATCGAATTTGTGGGTGCCGCCCCAGCAAAGGACGTCGACGTCGAGCTTGTTGGCCTCGGCGAGGAGGAGGTCGGGCTCGTTGGAGACGAGGGTGAAGCCCTCGAGGAAGCCGATGCGCAGGGAGCCGTGGGTGACGACCTGGGTGAGGGGTAGGCTGGTAGCCTCGACGTCGAAACGGCCTTTGACGATCTTGAGGTCCGGCGCGATGGTGCGGAGGTACTCGTACGTATGCTTGTCGGTCAGGTTGCCCAGGCATAAGGTCTGGCCGATCTTTCCTGGGGCGAGGAGCTTCTTGAACTGTGTTGGAGAACGAGTGTGTTAGCTGCTGAAGGCATTGCGGAGGAGCACCGGCAGGGATGTGTACTTTTGGGGGAATGTCGAGGGCGCGATCTGGGATGTGCAGGTCGCCAATGACTAGAATTAAGAACGCCATGTTTGCGCGGAATGTTAAGGTGGTGGTGGGTGATGCAGCCTAAGAGGTGGTGATGGGAGCGCCGGGGATTCAGGAGCTTGCCTCCTTAGAGTTGCGCGGCCGATGGGAGGTCCGCGGGCCGGGGCGATTCCGGCGTAGGGTGCGCGTGGATCGCTCAAATGATGCGGTAATGAGCTACGCGACTCCAAAGACGAGATCTCGAATTGTTCGCTCGTTTGTTCGACGTAGTAGTCGTTGATAAGGTAGCTAAGCTGTATATGCTCTGCGTATGTAGCTCACAATGTACCGCCGCTGTGGCCGCTTTCCCAGCCTCAGTTGCAACGTTCAAGTGGGGCTGGTGGTGTAGGTCAAGCCACCGTCCACTGCGGAATCTTCCACTATGTGTGGCTCAACAAGTTTGTCCTCAACTTGGGAAAGCGCCGATGTCGTCCGGTGTCGTCCCCCGAGTTCGGGACCTTCTCATCCCATCCAGTCAACACATCCGTAATTACTTAGGTGCTCATCAGGACTCGGAGCTCTCCACTTTCCGACGCCAGGACACCGGTGAGAGACAACGGCACTCTCCTAGCTCGGACTTGAATGCCGAGTTTCCTCCCTGTCTTCCTTGTGCTGCTTGACAAGAGTTTCCAAACGCGAACTTGTCTGTCCCTCCACGCTCCCTAGTGTGCTCCAGAAAAGCCCCCCAAAGCCCAGCCACTTTTTAGAGGCGGGGACACAGCAGCCAGACAGACAGCAGCATTGTCGTCTAACATAATTAAAAAGAAGAAAAAAAGGCAAGGATTACTCCATGACATTGCGTACTCTGATGCTTATAATTTACCCAATGTAGTCTAAGCAAGGGTCCTCAGAAGCCTTCGGCCCCTGTATCCGCTCCTTTAAAGTCGTTCTTGGCCTACTCTTCCTAGACTTGGCCTCCCCGCGACGGGACTGATCCGAGCAAAATCGTAAGAGTCCTTACAACTCTTTGTTCCTAGACCAATTGCGTCCTCCGTCCGATAAAGACTATCGGCTTACCTTCCGAGGTGTGAATGACGCATAGGCGCACATGCACGTTCCCCTAAGGCGGCTCCAGCTCCCTCTCCGCACGTTGGCGAAGCAGGGGAGAATGCCCCTCCACAACCTCAGCAACCCCTCATCAGCTCGGGTATCTCTCATCTCGAGACACCTGCGACCATCGGAACCTGCGACGACTACATCAAAGGCTGTAAGTCCACCTCTTTTTGACCTACCTAGATCAACTCCCGAATGATGACCCAACCTTTTTTCTCACACCCATAACATACAACAGGTACGACCAGTTTCCACAATGTCTTCTCAACCACCTCACTCGACCCTCCTCATCCCCGGGCCCATCGAATTCGACGATGCCGTCCTCCAGGCCATGAGCCACTACAGGTCTGAACTCCATCCCGGAATATCTTCCGTCTACAGCGGATGCCCTCCTGGTCTAACTAGGGCACCACGCTGACTTGCGCCTGTCTGCAGTGAGAGCCATGTCGGTCCCGGTTTCGTAAATACCTTTGGTGAGGCGCTGTCCATGCTGCGCCAGCTCTTCATCACCAAGGACCCCTCAGCGCAACCCTTTGTCATCTCTGGCTCCGGTACCCTCGGCTGGGACTTGGTCGCCGCAAACCTCGTCGAGGCCGGCGAGGATGTCCTCGTCCTCGCCACTGGCTACTTCAGCAACGGTTTCACGGACTGCTTCAAGACCTACGGTGCCAACGTCACCGAGCTGAGAGCCCCTGTCGGATCCCGCCCCCAGCTCCCCGAGATCGAGAAGGCCTTGTCCGAGAAGAAGTACAAGGTCCTGACCGTCACTCACGTCGACACTTCGACCGCTGTGTTGAGCGAGCTCAAGGAGTTGACCGCCCTGGTCAAGAAGGTCTCCCCCGAGACCCTCGTCATCGTCGACGGCGTATGCAGTGTCGGTGTCGAGGAGATACAGTTTGACGAGTGGAAGCTCGACGGTGTCATCACGGCCAGCCAGAAGGCCATTGGCGTCCCCGCCGGTCTGTCGATTTCCATGTTCAGCGGCGCGGCTATGAAGGCATTTGCCCAGCGCAAGACCCCTCCTGCGTCGTACTTTGCTTCCTTCAAGAACTGGACCCCTGGTAGGTATCGCGGCGCAATCAGAACAGGAGACTGGATCGCTAATCAAGTATAGTGATGCAAAACTACGAGGCAAAGAAGCCCTCCTACTTCGCGACGCCCTCTCCCCAGCTGATCCACGCCCTCCACACCGGTCTCACCCAGATTCTCTCGAAGCCCCTGTCCGAGCGGTTTGCCAGGCACAAGGAGGTCTCCGACAAGGTCAAGAAGGCCGTCGCGGACCTGGGACTCAAGCAGGTCGCCGCCAACCCTGATGACCAGGCCCACGGCATGACTGCTATTTATCTCCCCGAGAGCGTCAAGGCGACCGACGTCCTGCCTAGCCTCGCCAAGAAGGGCATCATCTTTGCCGGCGGTATTCACAAGGAGATTGCGCCCAAGTACATCCGTTTCGGACACATGGGCGTCAGTGTGACGGACCCCAACCGAAAGGATATCGACAACGCGATCAAGGCTTTGCAAGACAGTTTGTTTGAGGTTGGCTACCAAAAGGAGTAGACAAGGGTGTATAGACTGTCATTTGTTCACTAGATCTGACATGGCATCTTTAATCACAGTGTGAGAAAATTCAAAGCTCAAACAAATTCCTAGAAGTCACAAGGACGGAAAGCCATGGCAAGTGGCGCTTAATGTGATTATTCGATGAAAGTCAAACCGTGATGGTAACAATTCGTTCTGCTTGGCCGCAGGGGGTTTCGGGTCAGGCGCGCGGTATTGATGTCAGCCACCTTGTCAACTTGTTTACCTGTCAGGCTACAATGAGGCGGGATCATCTTATCCGGTCAAAGAGTGGTCCCCAGATGGCATGGTCAACGAGTCAATGAACTGGTGCAGCTCAGTGTTGCCGATTCAGCTCTTCTTCTTCTTCTTGAATAAATGATCAGTCTCATCGAGTCTCTGGAAAACGGCCTCTGAGCTTTGCCAGGTTTTTTCCCCTTCTCAAAAGATGAGGAAACATTGATGATGCGTTGCAAAAATATAATCTGTCGGACACATTGCCGTCTAATTCTCCGAAGTGAAGAGATACTGTGTAAAGATACTGTAAGGGAGGTGGGGTGAGGGGACTGAAGGCGGCGGGAAATCTGCGTGACTTGTATCGGTGTTTGAACTGACTGGGTGGCCAACCTGGGAGGCAAACCAACAGATGGGCGACTGGAAGAGAAGCCCGAGGCCGTGCGCCCCTGCAATTTCATACGCGCTTCCGCCGATGGAGATGAGGTGAGGAGGTGCCGATAAGGTGAGGTGTCGGTGTAGACATGACACCGATGACGCGCATCGGTGGACTGTCAAAATGGCAGTAGCTGTCACGCTGCGTGGTTGCTAGGTGAGGCTGGGCCTGACAGGGTTCAAAGCGCCAGGTGATTGCTGGTGGAAAAGAGGGGTGCTGTGCAGCAACGCAGCAACATCGACACCTCAAGTAAGTAAGGTAAGGTACCTAAGGTAGGCAGACTGGAGGGATGGAAACACAAGTCTTCCACTGAAGAAACGAAGTGAGGTATATGGGTCTGAGGGCTGGCCCATGCCCAAACTTCGCAGCTGCCCTGTAGTAATTAATTACCTTAGACAAGGTGACTTGTAAATTGGAGACTAAAAGGTCGGTAAGGGAGAGACCAATACTGACCGTAAGGCAGGTCGCTAAGGTACCGTGGGCGTGGGAAGGTATCGCTACCTGTGGCTGGTGGAGTTAGCGGGCGGCTGACAAAATTGGTTGCCCCCCGCCATCCGCCTCTTTTGCTCTCTCGATAACCAACCTATCCTGTCCTTCACGCCCGGCAGACTTTCCTCACCTCCCACCCCTCTGCCGCTTTCCTTCTCTCTTCCAATTGCACAAATCTTGCTCGCGAACAACAAACGACCTCGTCTTTTTTGCTGCATTAGCCGTAGCGCTCGTATACAACCCCCGCGACCGCGGCTTCGCTTTCGTCCCCCGCCCTACTCCTGACTTGGGGAGAGTTGTGCCGCGACCAGATTCCCCCTCACCCGTTGCTGCGTCTTGCGATCGAGATCGACCTGTCGTCCACCACACCCCGCCCACCGTACCGCACCACCAGCGATGGCTATCACGATCCCGGAGCTGGACGAGATCGTCCGCTCCTTCTACGAGGGCCGTGGAGAACAGGTGCGCTGCGGTTTTCTGCCCCGGCTCTGTCTGAGATTTTTGGCCGAGGCTGACCGATGATTCTCCCAATATAGCAAAAGCAAGCGCAAGCTACGCTTAACCAGGTACGCGACCAACAACCGCCCGCCCATGAAGCATAATCTCAGCCTCTAACTCGATTCTTTTTGCAGTTCAAGGAAGACCAAGATTCCTGGCTCCTTGTCGACAAGATTCTCGCCGAAGCGACCTACCCCCAAACGAAGTGTATGTTGGGCCTGAACCACTGAGACGGCAGGGTGCAAAATAGCTGACGATTTTAGTCTTGGGATTGCAGGTGCTCGACAATGTCATTATGACGAGATGGAAGGTCCTCCCAAGAGACCAGTGTCAAGGTTTGTGGTCTCGCATCTTTTACTCCCACACTCCCACTGACATGTTCAGGAATCCGCAACTTCGTCGTGCAGTTCATTATCCAGTGTTCCAGCTCCGAAGAGTCCATGAAGGAGCAGAAAACCCTCCTCAACAAGCTCAACCTCGTTCTCATCTCGATCCTGAAGCAAGAATGGCCTCACAACTGGCCCACATTTATCAACGAAATCATCACTTCATGCCACTCCAGTCTGTCCATTTGCGAGAACAACATGGTCATTCTGCGCCTGCTGTCCGAGGAGGTTTTCGACTATTCTGCCGAGCAAATGACATCAACCAAGACCCGGAATCTGAAGACTACCATGTGCGCCGAGTTTTCCCAAATCTTCACTCTCTGCCAGGAGGTCCTGAACACCGCCGACCAGCCGAGCCTGGTCAAGGCCACCCTCGAGACATTATTGCGCTTCTGCAACTGGATCCCCCTCGGCTACATCTTCGAGACGCCCCTCATCGACACCCTGCGTACACGGTTTTTGCCCGTCCCCGAGTTCCGAAATGTCGCCCTGCAGTGTTTGACCGAGATTGGCGGTCTACAAACCGGTGGGCCTGGCCAGCCTAATTCGTACGACGAGCAACTGGTCAAGATGTTCACCGAGGTGCTAACAACCATCGCCACCATCATTCCCATTAGCCTCGACCTCAAGTCGACATATCCCCAAAGTAACTCCAGAGACCAAGAGTTCATTCAGAACCTGGCTCTGTTTCTGTGCAATTTCTTCGGCATGCACCTGAACGTGAGACCAGTCTTCCCGGCTGCTGTTGTTGTGTCGACGCTAACAGCTTGCAGCTGATCGAGAACTTGCCTAATCGGGACTTCCTTACTCACGGTCATTATTACCTAATTCGCATATCCCAGATCGACGACCGCGAGATCTTCAAGATCTGTCTCGACTACTGGCTGAAGCTTGTCAACGAGCTCTACGATGAGATGCAGCAGCTCCCCATGACCGAGCTCAACCCCCTGATGGGCATGGCCGGTGGCATGTCCGGAGCTGGCGCGCCAAACCCGTCGCTGCTCAATAACTACCCTCTCCGCAAGCACAAGTACAACGAGGTCCTGTCCAACCTTCGCACCGTTATGATCGAGAAGATGGTGCGTCCCGAGGAGGTTCTGATTGTCGAAAACGATGAGGGAGAAATCGTCCGCGAGTTTGTCAAGGAGAGCGACACGGTACAGCTTTACAAGACCATAAGAGAATGCTTGGTGTATCTGACGCACTTGGACGTCGTGGACACCGAGAACATCATGACGGAGAAGCTTGCCCGCCAGGTCGATGGCAGTGAGTGGTCATGGCATAATTGCAACGTTCTCTGCTGGGCCATTGGTTCGATTTCCCTGGCCATGAACGAAGAGACCGAGAAGCGGTTCCTCGTCACCGTTATCAAGGATCTCCTGGGTCTTACCGAGATGAAGCGTGGCAAGGATAACAAGGCCGTCGTCGCCTCCAACATCATGTACATTGTTGGACAATACCCCCGGTTCTTGAAGGCTCACTGGAAGTTCCTTAAGACTGTCGTCAACAAGCTCTTCGAGTTCATGCACGAGTCGCATGAGGGTATGTCTCGCTCACTGTTGTACATCGATCTGATACTGACTCCTCGCAGGTGTCCAAGACATGGCTTGCGATACTTTCATCAAGATCGCGAGGCAATGTCGCCGCCACTTCGTTGCTCTGCAGCCGAGCGAGCAGGAGCCCTTCATCGAGGAGATCGTTCGTAACATGCACAAGATTACTTGCGATCTCTCGCCTCAGCAAGTGCACACTTTCTACGAGGCCTGCGGATACATGGTAGCTGCCCAGGGCAACAAGCACCAGCAGGAGCGTCTGCTCAGCGACCTGATGGCCATTCCAAATGCGGCGTGGGATGAGATTATCAAGCAGGCCCGGGTCAATCCTGTCATTCTTCAGGACGCCGAGACGATCAAGGTTATCGGCAACATCATGAAGACCAACGTCTCAGCCTGCACATCGATCGGCCCGTACTTTTACCCCCAGATTGGTCGCATCTTCCTCGACATGCTCCAAATGTACCGTGCCACCAGTGAACTAATCTCCGAGGCGGTCCAAAAGCAGGGTGGGTTTGCACATTTTGCCTCATAAACAAAATTATTGCTAAATATTTTCACAGGCGAGATCGCAACCAAGATGCCGCATGTCCGTGGACTGCGCACCATCAAGAAGGAGATTCTCAAGCTCGTTGAGACGTACGTTGAGAAGGCCGAGGATCTGCAATCTGTGCGCCAGCAGATGGTGCCACCCCTGCTGGAGTCCATCCTCATCGACTACAACCGCAACGTGCCGGGAGCCCGTGACGCCGAAGTCCTCAAGGCCATGTCTGCCATTATCACCAAATTGTCCACTTTGATGGAGGACCAGGTCCCGAACATCATGGAGAACGTCTTTGAGTGCACTCTGGACATGATTAACAAGGACTTCTCCGAGTTCCCCGAGCACCGCGTTGAGTTCTTCAACCTTCTTCGGGCAATCAACCTTCACTGCTTCCCCGCGCTGTTGAAGCTCGACAACCGCCAGTTCAAGTTCGTGATCGACTCGTGCTCGTGGGCATTCAAGCACGACAACCGCGATGTGGAGGCTGCCGGACTTAACATGTGCTTGGAGCTTATCAACAACATTGCGGAGAAGACTGATGTGCAGACGGCCAACGCCTTCTTCCAGCAGTTCTTCATTACCATCCTGCAGGATGTCTTCTTCGTGCTCACCGACAACGACCACAAGGCTGGTTTCAAGACGCAGTCTATGGTTCTGATGAGGATGTTCTACTTTGTGGAGCCTGCCGACAGTAGCGCGCCCAAGATCCAGGGCCCGATCTACAGTCCCGACCAGGCGGCGGCTGGTACCTCGAACAAGGAGTTCCTTGCTAACTTCGTGGCCAATCTGCTTCGTGGTGCCTTCCCCAACCTGCAACCGTAAGTACCAGTTGATTAGTGGCGCATGACAAGTGCTAATTGGATATATAGCGCTCAAATCCAGACGTTCGTCGAGGGCCTGTTCACGTTGAACACCCAGTACGACAAGTTCCGCCTCAACCTACGTGACTTCCTCATCTCCCTGAAGGAATTCGCCGGCGACAACGCGGAACTGTTCCAGGTTGAGAAGGAGCAACAGGAGCGGGATGCCAAGGCGGCGGACCTCGAGCGCCGTGGCAAGGTTGGCGGTCTGCTGAAGCCTTCCGAGCTCGAGGATGACGAGTTGTGACTTGCTCAAGAGTTGCGAACTGAGTATGCCCCAAAAAGAAACCTCGAAAGCGCAGACAATGCGACGAGGGATTCCAAGGGGCAGGACATTTTCGATGAGTGGGAGCTCTACGGGCTCTGACCAGAAGCCATGCGTCACGGACTAGAGCACGACTCGCCAATCCCTGGCTCTGCGGCCCACACCCGCCCGCTCATTCTGTAGTGATACCATGGATAGATGACATGACGATTGCAGGATAACCTTTCGCCGCTTTGAGGCCCCCTGGCGTTGACACAGACGGGGCCGATTTTATTTCATTTCATTCATCTGGCAACGGAAAATGGTGAGGAGGGTGACTCGGTGCCGAGTCTTTTCTCTCCCTGGAGAGGATTGGATCTGGGAGCCCACCCTGAGGCGAGCGGAGGGAATGATGAAGGGAGGAGGAATCAATCAAAACAAAAGCTATACATGCAGCCAAGGCGAGACACCCATCTTAGTGGTAGAAAGCTTCTTATGTGGGCAAATCAACAGATAGATAACACGTCTTTCGTGCATCCACGTCCTTCGCCTGGCCTCATGATACACTTTTGAGCCTCTGTGTCTCTCACTGTAGCTCAGAAATTTGATACAACTTGAAAAGACATGAATGTGTAACTGCAGCAGCACGGGCAATAAGGTTAGTGACAATGTAACAAGTTCATCTTGCAGTCCGCCAAGGTTGCTACAGGCTTTGAGTATTTGCCGGCATTTAAGAATCTATCGTAGGTTCCGGCTGTCACGATTCAGTCCGCCACATGCATCCTCGGCCGATTCAAGCAACACATGATGAAAATATCGATATGGGATGGCGGAGTTTCTCAAAGGATATTTAATTGACGGTGCATGTAAGCACGACATTAACACCTCCGGGTTGACGGTGATGGAGAGGCTTGTCCCGAGTACGCAGAAACGGCAATTAATTTGTGGGGTCAGCAACACAAAACAACCAATCATGGTACGTTATTCGCACATCCCACCTACAATCTTTTTTTTTCTGCCGTTCGCCTTCGACGCTGTGCTGCCGGAGTGAGAGACTCACTACCCCCTCAGTAAGTCTCATCAGTGTCCACATTATCGTCGTCCACAATGGCCCGAATAAGCCTTCGTCACGGTCTTGACAGAGACGTGTACCAAATTGTGAAGAAGCTGGAGGACGAGAGGGACGGAGAGTGGCAGGCAAAAAAGTCAAGGGACAGGGACGGTGGTGCAAAGAGAAAGAGGCCGCCACGGCTGACGGTGACGGCGATCTACGAATCAATTAAAAAGTCGAACTCGAGCCTTGGCCGACAAAAGAGGAAACCACTGGAAGACGCCATCGAAAGGGTGTTGGACTTTCGCCGAGAAGAAGAGGCTGAATCTGAGGACAGTGACGACCTCTTGGAGCAGGCTGAGGAATACAAGGTGGGTTTCCCCTTCTTCACTCGATGTTTCCTTTCTGACCCCTTGCCGTAGCCAGAAGATCGGTTTCTTCTCAACAGACAAATGACGAAGCACTGGAACGTTGCTCCGGCGGTGCCCACTGCCCAGGGGGCGGACGGCAAGAGCACCAAGAAACGCCGCATCTCACCCGAGCCCGAAGCCGCCAACGGCAACGGCACCGGCACCGGTAATGTGAGCGACGCCTCTGCCATCGTTTCCAAGGCGGCCAAGTCCAAGAGCGGCGACGTGTCAGAGACTCCAGCGGTCATCACGAAGAAGGCGCTCAAGCCGAGCAAGTACGGCCCCGAGCAGATCCCGCCTGGCTCGGTCGTCCTGGGCGGCGTCCGGGGGATCATAGAAGAGCTGCAACGGTACGTCTTTGCGCGCACGCGGAAGCCAGAGGATTTCGCGTGCTTTGGAGAGCAGCCTATGGGAATTCTCATCTCGGGGCCTCCGGGAACGGGCAAGCAGTCCCTTGTGCGATCACTGTCGTGGAGGACGAGGACTCCTGTCATCTCACTCGGGCGGTACCTGAGTGAGACGCGATCGCCCGAGAAAGTGAGCAAAATCTTCACCGACGTGCTGGACGAGGCGAAGAAGGTTGCGCCATGCGTCGTTGTCTTCGACCACATGGACGAGTACATGACCAAGTCGGGCAACAGTCACAGCGAATTTGACCACGAGGTCATTTCACAACTAAAGCTGGGTCTTCGGCGTTTGAGAGAATGGGAACGCGAGGGCCTCCGAGTGGTCATCGTGGGCACGACGAGCAAACTCGAGCTGGTCGACCCTACCCTGCGGAGACCAGACTACTTCGCCCAGACCATCACAGTCAAGGTGCCCAACACGGACGCCAGAGAAGAGATTTTCAAAGCCCTGACAAGGGACCTCGACATACCGTCAGAGGTCGACTTCCAGGCCCTGGCGGTCCGCACGCACGGCTTCGTCGGCGACGACATCCGCGCCGTGATCCAAGTCGCGAACCGCAAGGCCAGCGATCGCTTCATGGACATTGAGCAGGCGCGCGCCAAGAACACCATCCAGGCCGAGAGGATGGAGACCTCGGACGACGCCCCTTGGGACCGCGACCTCGAGGACGCCTGCCTGTGGTACGACTACATCGAGCACCCTTCCTACACGGAGCCGACCCGCGTGCACGTCAGCCAGCAAGACTTTGTCGACGCCATCGCCGAGCACACCCCTTACATGCGCCGCGAAGGCTTCAGCTCCATCCCCAGCACCTCCTGGTCCGAGGTCGGCGCCCTGCACTCCGTCCGCGCCGCGTTCCAGGTCTCCATCGTCCGGCGCATCAAGGAGCCCCTCCTCTTCCAAAAGTTTGGCAAGCAGCGACCCGCCGGCGTGCTCCTCTTCGGGCCCCCCGGCTGCGGAAAGACGCTCGTCGCAAAGGCAGTCGCCAACGACGCGCAGGCCAGCTTCATCCTCATCAAGGGCCCCGAGCTGCTCAACAAGTACGTGGGCGAGTCGGAGCGCGCAATCCGCGAGCTCTTTACCCGCGCGAAATCCTGCGCGCCCTGCATCCTCTTCTTTGACGAGATGGACTCGCTGGTGCCCAAGAGGGAGAATACCACCACCGAGGCAGGCGCCCGCGTCGTCAACGCGCTACTTGCGGAGCTCGACGGCGCGGGGGACAGGGGCGAGGTCTACGTCATTGGCACCAGTAACCGGCCCGACATGATTGACCCGGCCATCCTCCGCCCGGGACGCCTCGACAAGCTATTGTTTGTCGACCTGCCTACCGAAGACGAGCGCGTCGATATTTTGCGTACCATTGTGCGCAACGGCATCGGCGGGGGCGTGCAGGAGGGCGAGGACGCCGTGGACGTTGAGGCGATCGCGCGCGACAAGCGGTGCGCCGGCTTCAGCGGTGCGGATCTGTACGGGCTGTACAAGAATGCTCTGGACGAGTGTGTTTTGAGGTACGAGGGCGGCGAGCCGGCGTTGACGAGGGAGGACTGGGAGGCCGCGCTGAGCAAGACGAAGCCTAGTGTGCCGAATCCGGAGACGTATAGGAGGTTGGCGGCCAAGTTGCATCATCAAACGTAGGGAGGGCTGGATATAGACTGATAGAGAAACGTTGACCTTGTCTATTTTGTTGCTATACTTGTTGTTCTCGTTGTCGGGTGTGTGTCTGGCGTCTCCGGAATCATCGGGCTCATTTCATGGATATCCGTCCACACAGTCAGGAACTTGAGAAAGGCGAACAAGAGGTGAATAGAGGTTGTATGCTTTTTTAGCTCTGCCGCTGTCAGAGAATCAGGAGATTATCCCGCCGGCGAGAGGGAGAGGAGTGAAAAGAATATGTTTCCCTGCAGGTTGAATCAGAACTTATCTACCTAGGTCATCAACATGCGTCTACGTATGGACGAGCGAACCGCCAACCCTCTTCCTGCCTTTCTTGTCTCAAATCCATAACTTTTCATTGAGCGTTGCATTCAAAGCGCAGTGAACAAGAGGCCGAGGTTGGCTTCACTCGCTAGAACTTGGGATATGGAAATGAAGGAGGCAAGCAGCAAAACTCCTTCCACGTGATGACTAAACCAGATGCTTTCCAAATATTTTTCTTCTCTCCTAGCCTTGCATCACTTTTACTGAGAATATCTTCTATCTTTCAAGGAGGGAACGGAGGTCTTATTTGTTTTACCTGTGGTCTACATTTCATGAAGGAGCAAGGAGCGAACACCATCGCCAGATCACCAAATGCGTTCAAAAAACACCAGCGACAGATTCAAAATCTACTCACCTCGGCGCCAAGCCACTAGGTCATCTACACTTCAGACGCTTCTCATACCTTCCCTCATGGAGCTCTTCCTTATGGACCTTTGCGAGTGGCGGGGAAGGGTGGTGTGCCTGCTTATTCCGCCAGACCAGTCTGCTGGTCTGCACCTGCCCTCCGAATATGCGAATATGATCAAACAGAGCGGGACATGCTGGTGGGTCGAAATGTATCAGAACCAAGTGAGACACCATATAATCAGTCAAATCTCCATACGATATGACTGATTTCTTCGGTGATTGATACTAGTTATTAAATGAGACCTTGATGGGCATACCTCTGCACCCTCAACCAGGCATAGCTTCTGTCTCGATACCAGGATATCAAATAGGCTACAGATGCTAGTATATAGAATTCAAGCAGATGGCAACTCAATGACGTAAAGCATCAGGAGGCCGAGATTCGAGACGATGTCCAGCCCTTCACCTTAGAGCTGGGCCGAGATCGCGTCCTGTGAAGGTGCATAAAGCAAGGGCAATGTCGACGATAGCTTCAGTTGCACATCGTCGTGTGATTTTCTATAGATCAGCTGTGCTATAGGCTCGACAATATTGTGCAAACTCTCACACATACTCTTCTTTCCCCTCAACCCTATGCTGTGGAAGATAGTTTCCAAAGGGCGGAAGTATATAAAAGGGATAGAAAGATGGACACCCATACCTAGAAGCCATGCCTGCAAGACTTCTCTCGAAAACACCTGGACTATTCAAAATTTAGATGCAAGACACTTGTTTCCATGATCGTTTTGCGTATTCTAGCTGCTTATGCATCCAAATCGCATCTTTGCCTTTGGCATTTTGCCCAAGAACAACAGGAGCTTCAGGGTGGAGCGCACGTCCACTGACAGCTATTATTCGTACCGGCCGGACGCTCCCAAGACGTATTCGTGTCTGAGCTGGGAATCTCACACCCAGACCTCCGTCCCAAAAGGCTTGACTGAACGACAAGACGACATTCAACTGAAAAAGAAGTTGGAGAAAGTCCTTATGCTGACACGACGATGGTGTGATTGGATCAAGACTCACTGACCACTGAGAGTGGAGAAGTGACAGTCGTCCACATGAGTCGGGCATGCAGAAGTTATGCTTTTTTTCTTTATGCTTGCAGCTTGCCCAGCGACCACCAGCTCGAGCCGCCAATGTCCGTGACCTCAAAAGTTGCTGTTTTTGACAATTGGCCGATCCTCTTCCGTCGGACGTTCCTGACACTCGGTACAGGATGGACCTACCTATGACGAAGTTGCCAGGACAAGGTATCGACCCCTGGCGAGTCATCTGACTGGCTGAAGGGGACAGAGTGGCCGCACTACTGCACACTTGAGTAAGCAAGTTTCCGGGCACCTCCGGCCAGAGGCGCTCTAGGTTGACATCATGGATACGGTAGTGATTTGCAGGCACCGCAAGATGATGGACGGGTGGGATTTTTTTTGTTTCGCACAATAAAAGTGTTGTATTACAACGTCTGAAAGGGGAGAATTTTCCAGAGAAAATGGGCATCGAGTGAGCCCCCAAGTACACTGTTCTAAAGTGGTCTATTGGTACAAATCGCAAATCGCCAGTTCGTCTAATGCAATCCTATCGTTACACATCAATCCGTCTATTTGGTGGAGTCCTTGAGGAAGCTGCGCGATGGTTAGTGAATGAGTCTGAGGGGTTTCATCGAGTTTGGGTCAACGTACGCAATCAGGTCGTTGCGGTCCTTCTCCTTCTTGAGACCGCCAAACGCCATCTTGGTGCCGGGAATGTACTTCTTGGGGTTCTCGAGGTACTCGAACTGTGAGAAGGGTCATGGTTAGCAAGCAGGTTCAGGTTGTCGTGAGGTGAACGGGTTGAAGGCTGCCTACCAGAGTCTGGTCGTTCCACTCGATGCCCTTCTTCTTGTTGGCGTCGGTGTAGGAGTAGCCCTCAACGGAGCCAGTCTTGCGGCCCCAAAGGCCGTGAAGAGCAGGGCCGATCTTGTTGCCGCCGTCGGCATCGACGGTGTGGCACTGAGCGCAACGGGTCTTGAAGAGGGTAGCACCCTTCTTGGCGTCACCTAATTCCTCAAGGTCAGTCACTGATATAGGACGTGATGTGTGCATTCCGCGACGGTCCGTTTTCGCTTTGATTGAGAGTCCCGATGAAGCCGGGCCGCGTTATCATGAACGTGTTCGTTGCGTCGCAGCGAGCGATCCTTGCCGATGCCTGCCCATGCCTCTCACTCATCGACCCCTGTTTTTTGCCCCATCAAGCGAAATGCCAGGAAATTGGCGCAAGACGTCGGAGGTGCTCAGAGAAACGAATCGTTCAAGATGGACGTGTCGCATAGGGTCAGATCGAGGCCGAGTTGGCCCGCGAGGCAGTTCCGATTCGTTCCAGACTCAGCGAGGGCGACGTCGCTGCTCAATGGCTCGTGGCGGAATGAAGCGCTCGGGAGGGACAATCATCGGGATCCGCCAAGCATAGCGAACACGGACGGAGAGGGCGCGTGAGGTGAGAACTTACCACCAGCCATTTTGATAGTCTATAGGATAATTAAAAGATTTTGAAAAGGGGTATCAGGCAGAAGGTGCAAAAGAGAAATGTCTTTTGCAGGTCGTCAAATAGGTCGTTGGTCTGTAGATGATTGAGAGTGGAATGGAGGAGAAGGAAGAGGGAAAGAAAAACTTTTAGGATCGGATCGGGCCAGGTGAAAAAAAAAAAGACGAGACGACAGTACGCAAAAGGCTATCCGATTTTAATTATGACAACACCCGGCGGGAAAGGCACCTGGCCTGGCGCACGCCGCACCACCCAGACAACGTACCCAGCACAAGGGCCAAAAAAGCCTGGAATGGCTCGCTGACTTGGGTGCCGCGGCGCACAAGCCACACGGTGTGGCGACGCGACCGCCAATCAGGTATGCAGCATTGGTCAGAAGGTGATGGGTCCGGGGTCGCTACCCGGGCAAAACCGGATACTATTGCGGAAGAACGCTTTCTCCGCTGCGCCTCGGTGTTTTGGAGACCAATCTTGCAGGCTTTTTGGCAGGTCAACGACTCGACCAACGGGGCGGCGCGGCGGGCCAGCGGGGACCTTTGTCGGCTTCCTTTCCTGCCATTAGCTTTTCTTCTTCTCCTACTTGCTCTCTGTCACCAAGAGAGTCTGCCATCCCGTTCGCCGAGCTTCGACTGGGGTTCCCAAATCTACCCCTATCGATGTTTTCTGACCTCTTCCACCTCGGCGTCGGTTTATCCCAGATCCCGAAGTGTCAATCTTGCAGGCACATCAATGGAGTGTTAATGTTGCTGCCGCTGTGGCCATCGTGATCGTCAATTGAAGTGGGCAGGGGTGACCGCGTACGAACCAGGTACGTACTGTGCATGTACCCGGATGTGCGACGGGGGTAGTTCGGCGACCCTTTAGCTTCCATTCTCTCATCATAGCTGCATAGCTCCACTATAACTTCTTTGCGCAGAGAAATTCTTCTGGAGCTTCGATTTTTCCAGCCCCGACCGATCCTACCGGCGCGCACCTGATGATCCCGTTGATCCGTGCCAGAGCCTCAATGACGGCGTGAGACATAAGCCTGAACTCCGAAAGTCTAAAACATCGCCCGTCCAGGTGACCTACTTTTCTCTGCCCCTTCCACCGCCTTTTGCGAGTCGGCAGACATCGGCGAGGCAGTTAGTTGTAGGGTCCTGCACCTTTTGCCGCCGCTGCTCGATAGTGGCGAACCACGACATCAATGACGACTTCGGCCACGACCCTCCTCCCCAGGTTCCTCCTCCCGGCTTTGAGCCCCATGTGGCGCGTAGCAGCGACCTCGACCGGCCGGCCGGCCGCAACGGCGGCTTCGGCGGCGCTCCGCCGGAACGCGGTGTGGACGATTCGATACGCCTCGTCCAAGCCGACAAAGGCTACTCAGAAAGGACCCCTCATCCTCGAGAAGCCGGCCAAATTCAACCCGCCCTCGCACGGCACGCGGTTGCCCAAGAACAGTGGCCCAAAGCACTATGGCGGCCCGCTCAGCGGCCAGGAAGTGCGCGCCCAGCGCACGCGCGAGTATCCCGGCATGATGGCTCCTGAGGGGACGTGGGCGCATTGGTTCTTCAACAGCCGCAAAGTCCACCTCTTCATCTCCTTGGTGAGTAGAACCTGGTGTTCCCTCTCGAATGGAACCCACACATTCGTACCGTCACTTATTGGGCCACCGGATGAGCTAACATTAAAACTTTCAGGGAACACTGACAACGCTGGCCATCTCGACGTTGATCCTCAACTTTTCGCAGACATCCCCGTTCAAGCACCTCCTCCCCCCCGCGTCCGAGTTCTGGAGCAGCCCAATTGCGTTCATCCGCACGTGGGCTCACGTACTGCAGCTCCACGAGCGCGACCGCAACGAGAAGGCCATTGCCATGCACTCGCGCCATACTGACGACGTCGCGAAGCGCCAGTACTACCGCAAGGTCCACGGATTGGATAAGGAGAATCCCATTGCGAACTTCCTCGGCATGAAGGAGGAGTCAGAGGAGGACAAGGCCGCTGCCGCTGCGGCAGTCGAGGCTTCGCCCGTAGCTGGAAACGCCGAGGCGATTGCACCCGCAGAGAACGAGCAGAAGAAGAAGTGGTTTGGCATCTTCTGAAAAAAAGAGGCCCATCTCTGTTTAAGATGTGACAGGGATGAGACGCTATTTTGTAATATACCCTTACCGAACCATATACAACACGACGTTCCAAACCAGAACCACCAATTGGTATCATGACTTTTGTCTTTCCATTGCCATCCTGATATGTCGCAAACGTAAAAACCGAAATCCAGTCCCGGAAACAACTAGGCCAGCTCCACCGCGGCAATGGCCTCCAGCACCTCATCTGCGACGCCTCCCTTCTCCAGGACCTTGGAGATCATCCCCTCGATTACGTGCACCTTGATACCTCCTATAGGCGGCTTCCAAACGCCCTCCGCCGCCTGGCCCTGCGCAGCCGGCGGAGCCGGCGGTGCCTTTGACGGTGTGCCAGCGAGGACAGTGGCCGGGTTCACCGAGTTGGGCACGCCGGGCGCTGTCAGTCGCGAAGGCGGGTCAACCGTCCGCACGGAGAGCAGCTTCAGCTGGCGACCGTCCACGTCCATACCGCCAGCCACAGCTGCGGTCTTCTCCTCGGCAACCGAAACTGCCAGCGCCGACTCCGCCACGGCGAGCTCCTCGCGCGCGGGGTCGAAAATGACGTTACCGCCGATGGCGATGACGAGCAGTGTTATGGGCGGCCGCGAGCCGACGACCGGCGCGCTGCCGTCGCGCGGGTACAGAAACGTGGAGGCCTCCCAGTCGTCGTCGAACATGGGGTCTTCGTCGCCCTCTGACTTGAGGCGCGGGAGGCGGGTTGCGAGGAGCGCGAGGTGAGTTGTGAGTGATAGGAGGGGGAGGGGGTAGGACAGGGGCGGGGAGATGAGGAGGATCTGTTGAAAAATCTATTAGCTTCTGGCTCTAAAAGACGGTATGCCGTAGGGGAGGGGGGGTTTGACAAACATCTAGGTAGAGCTTCCAGTGGAACCGACTGTTAATCCGCAACTTCTTGGTGAACTCCCCGTCGGCCAGCAGCGCTTCGCTGAGCATGTTGGCGAGGAACACGGTCGCGGCGTCGTCCTCTCTAGAGGCCGGGATCTCAACTGTCATCTCGAGCCAGTCATTGTTGCCCTTGATCTCCTCTTTCTTGGCTGCTGAGTCTACGTCTTTCCTCTTCTCTGCCGCATCTTCGCTGTCTGCGTCTGCGCCGAACGGGCTGCTCGTCTTCTCGATCTCTGCCTTTACGCCAACGATGGCCTCCGTTCCGTCGGAGAAGCAAATGCGCGCGCTACCATTGGTGCCTGGAAGAATGCCCGTCTCCGCGGTGAGAGGGCGGAACTGGTTTGACTTGCGGCCGTCTGGGCGGATGGGCGGCGTGAGGGAGAGGGTAGAGTGCAGGTAGGCGAGCTCTGCCGGGGAGAGCAGAACCTGCTGTGCAGACGCCATTGCTTCTCTGGCGCGATGTGTTCGTTCCTGATCACAGAGTTGGGGATGGCGCTCGCGGTTCGTGTAGCTATGAGTGAGCTTCAACCTAATCGGCGGTTCGTCTAGTGGTCGCGGTTCGGGGAGCTCGAATTTTCGGGCGGGATGTGGTCGCAAAAAGTTGGTAGGATTTGGACGTCGCCCGAGCAAAGTCAAAGGAAGCAGGGGTTTTTTGATGGTGGGGTCCGCGGGGTGTGGGGCCGACCGGCGCGAGCTGTCCGGATCGGTGTCTTGTGGCGTTGGATGTGGCTTAAACGGACATCTGTGGTCAACGGCTTCGCACGTATCCAGCTTTACAAGTCCAGGCGCTTGCCTCTAACATTTCTCATACGCATTCCGTATCGTGATGCATATAAGTCTAGCCGGCTGCATCGTGTTTGGCGCTCAGGGAGGCTTTGGAAGACCAGGTCAGGAAGGAGAGAGACAAGAAAATTATAGCAGTTGGCTTCTAAACAAACTATGGAGGTCTTCATCTTCACCGTCTCAAACTCTGTATAAAACATACGTGACCGTTTTAACACGCAATCTTCTGAGTGATAGAGTCCCGGGAAATAGACAAGATCGGGGCTATGGAGATGGGCATCAACTGTTGCTTCTTCCGCCGCCACGCTTCTGCTTGCAAGCCCTTTCTCCCAGTTTAATGCTTCAGTCACACTCCGGCGATTGGTTTCATGTGTTCAGGCCGAGTTGAGACTGAAAGCTCCATTTTCAAAGCCACCTGTTCGGGCATGCCAGATTCGGGCATAAGACTGTGAATACTATGAGAGTCTTGAATGGAAGCACCTCATTTTGCTTACAGGCTATGATTCAAAATTGACTGTCAGAATTCTCAGAAGTGAAACGAAAACCTGTTCATACGTTGATTGTATGTGGAGCCATTGCTTAGGTTCTCCGATACTGGCACGATATCATGAACTCATTGACTCGCTTTACCCGTAATGAAGCCTCTCGAGAATTGTACGTGCTATTCAAACTATAGCTTCTATACGGAGGGTCTGTACTTGAAACGATGCACTTGACTTTCTTATAAAGTGTGTTAGACGAAATGGGGAAATATGTTGACAAGCGTGACCGTAGTCTAGAGCTTGTGGAAAATCCATCCTCGTATTCCTCACGTACAGCCCTCTGCAACCTATTCCAAAGTCTATAAAAGTCACGCATACTATTCATGTCTCTCTCAGGCTTCCTATAATCAACTCTATCTCTTATTTTTCAGCTCGATCATATCATTAAGTATCCCTGTCCAATACTTCATCTAAGAAAACCTGTTTACTGCAGCTGGGACCTCGGTCAAGATGCCCCGAGTTTGGGTCCTCATAGGAGATTCCAGGTCGTAGTGGCCAAGAGATTCAACAAACTTTTTCTTCCGAAGAGATTCGATTGCAATAAATGCGAATACAATCATCGACGAGAATCTTCCTATCCCTGTATTGACCGTGAAAACAAGACTTTCTGCACCATCATACGGGTAGAGTGTGCGTGTTCAGCTGTGAAATAACCTTGTGGACTTTTTTCCTTTCATCCGACTATACGATGAAGGGCTTTGTGACGTGGCCAGATTCCTATTCACATGACTAGAGGTGGAAGAACATGGTGTTTCTGGCCCATAGTGCATCTAGTATCTGGTGAGGTCATGGCGATGAAGGCTAAACCTCTTGATAACGCTGTTGATACATTCATCTAGTAATAAAAAATGAGAGATAGGGAGACCCTATCCAGAGAGCCTCAGCCAGCTACATCGACATTACTAACAACGGCATCCGTATAGTTGCTAACGCTGAATTGCGGGCTTTCGATGGCTCGGTGGCAACATCGAGATAGTTGATGCGACTTGAATGGGATTTCGAAAAGGTTGACCACTGCCTGAACAATCTGCCAGAAGCTCAAGTTCTGTGTATATCCAGTGTGAGGGGGAAGCCCCTACGCAATGGAATAGCATTACGCACCTCATAGCAATCATCGAAGAGGTATTCGAAGGGATGATATCGACATCGAGGCGGTCATGGCAGAGAGAGGGGCGGAAGCGGCATTAGTAGAGGGCAAGGCCCATGGAGATATTTCGGCTCAGGCAGGACTTCGCTGCTCCCCTTGCGGAGCAGCTATTTGTCCTAAAGTATAATACGGTCCTGATATTTTTTACATTCCTACGGAGTAGCAGGGAGCCCCTTTTCGATCCTTAGTCATGCGGAAAAGTAAACAGATATCATGAGATCCCAAGATTACCGTGTAGGAGGTTAACAGGAAACTCTTGCACGTTTGGGTGGCTTAAGCCGATGAAGCGGAGGAGGCCTGCGGTGATTGTAGAGGGATCGGACGTTCTTTAGGGCTGGCTGAGACATGAAGTCTGGATCTAAGCAGAGGCGCTGTCTTTAGTTGAGAGTTGGAGGTGTGCAGGACAGATTACATATCTAGGGGGGAGTTGAATTGTGACATGGCTGGTTTAGAGATTGATGGGTATGTTATATGGAGCAAATTGCAATAGCAACGGCCTTCTTGATAGCGATAACCTCTTACGGGCCTCTCAATAACCGCGACTCGGGGCAGCATGTGTGAAGTTTTGTCCCCGTCTAGACCTCTGAGGTACTGCTAGTATCCGTAATAAGACAGTTGTAAGGATTTGGATATGTTCCTTTCAACTAGTTGTAGACTTGAACCCAATAATCCAAGCTCGCAGAGCTGTTTGAAATATTCTGAACCGGGTATTGTTCTGCGAAACAAGTGGAATGATCAACTAGTGTAGCATGAAGCGAGCAGAAGGCTGCTAATTATGGCACAGATGTGCGCCCAATTTACATCGTCTCGTGAAGCTATCTTGAAACACCCAACGACAAACCCAGGCTACAATTCAAAGCCTCCGAGATGTTACAGGAGCCCCCTGCACTCATTTACATCTCAATGCCCTCTTCAATCTGGTCACTTTCGTGAATCGCAAAGACGGCGAGGAAATTGAGAAGCCATCTAAGGGTTGTGATGATGTATCGTCCGAGTGAGAAGTGTAGTCTGCAGGAAAGACTAGTTCAAAAGTTCCATCATACACCAAGTCAGCCACCGAACAATATTCTGACGTCTGCAGCCGACGCATATGATTTCCAGAACACACTGAGCCAAGCCCCTTGCTAGAAAAACGGAACGCATAGATCACAACAAGTCCAAGCTGGATCACGAAACCTGCCCGTATCTTTTCTCCAAGCGCAAATTCAGCCACCGGAGACACCTGCAGCTCAACATTTGTATGAACAAATTGCAAGAATCTCCCGTATCCCGCATAAACCGGCTCCACCGGCTCCGGCTCGATACAACACTTCAGTCACGGCCCGGCTATGGGGCTTATCATCACGGCGACAACAACCCCAAGCCCGTCCGAGCCCCCCCGTCGATCAGACAACCTCGTCTGTGCCTCTCTCTACCACAAAACCTCATTCGTAGGTGTTCACATCAGACACAGCGCATTGGCTCGGCACACAGACCCCCCGTATCTCGCATCCTCCTCGGCGTCGTACCGCTCGACCCCGAATCCCCCGGCCATACTTTTGTTAACGTTCACCCATGGCCGCCAGGACACCCGCAGCTCCCGAAACCGCCCGGCCGGAGCACTTTCCCCTCCTAGTGGACCTCCCTTCCCGAACCTTCCAGCCATCAAGCTCCATTGCGCAAAGGATGACGGAAAAAAGAAGCTCAAACCTCAACTCTGCTTCTGAAACGAGCCCTATGCTCGTACAACAGTCAGAATGAAAGGAGATGCGATGAGGGATTTTCAACCTCGTTTAGCTCCTCTCGGGCTCGTGTTGAGCACGCATGCCCGTTTGTGTGAAAACAACGGACTACTCAACCTTTCAACTACCCGAAAGTCTAACCTTGCATGTTGTGATTCTTACACATGAGCTTCCTCACACCTTCAACATTGAGAAAAAGCTTGCCCCGAAAATAGCGCGTCAAGGAAAGTATCGCCATAGCGGTTAAAGAACCCCAACCAAGAGTTTTGATCCTTCTATGGAGTTCCAGATGTGCTGAGAGCGGAAAGGCTGGCCACTTTTGGCCCCCTATCCTCACTACACCCCCCTCAAAGCATCAAAATGTCAGATTCCCGTCGCCACTTACCACCGCAGGAAAAGGAGAAAAAACTTTCAGTGTTCCATTCTCATCCAAATCCAAGGGTCCATGTCCCGCGCCGCTGGATGGCGTTGCCTTCGCGATCACGACACGATAAACTTTCACGGCCCTGCCCGCAACACCCCTCTCCCCTGGCATGTACGGACATACGCTCCTCCTTTGGCTCAAGCAACCGATTCCTGCTATCAGTAGTGTACGCTTTCCCGCCGAGGTAGCATTGGGGGCCGTTGAAGAAAAAAAGAGCGAAGAAAAGAGCACGTAGCCAGGGTGTTTAATGTGTCGATAGCATATACCTAGTAGATAGATAGGACTTGCCGTGGTGTTGCATTGCAGATGTTCAGATACCAGAACCCCCACACACGCATTACCTTATGGGGCAACCCATCCGCCCGCTCATATCCGGTTTTGCCGCCCACATCGCGACAAAAGCCTGATCGGTGGTATCATTCGGCCTCGGTGATCTGCAACCTACGTTGGCAGCAGTAGCAGTATCCGTAAACGATTCCACTGTGTCCCCCCGCTCTCCACCGCGGCCAATCCCCCCAGACGGACAGCGCCGCGAGGCGTACAAGCTACCCGTAGTGTAGAGAGCGATTGCGCGCCCGGCTGGTCCGCCGATCATGGCTAACAGACTCTGCCCTAAGATTGCGTCTGTAGTGCCGCCCCACCCCCTCCCGGGTCCGCAAAACAGACTTCCAGCTTTCCGCTGGCGTTTGCGCTGGCCGGCGCCGTCGCCGAGGACGGCAGTGATGTGCGTGATTCTTCAACCAAGCCGCGGGGTGCGCCAGATCAACCAACAGAGACAGACAAAGGAATCAACGGCCGCTGAAGGATTCTTGGGGAGAGAGACGCAAAGAGACTACCCACGTCTTTTTTTTCGAGATAAGATTGATGGAGCAGCCGAATTTGCCATCTGCCATCCAAGCCATAGTCTTGGCTCCGGTTCGACGCTACCATATGTTGGTTTGGAAATCTTTGAGACAAGGTGATGAGATAGAGACTTGCAGAATCAGTCTATGGACGGGCATGGACAATTCGTAGTGCGGCGCCTGTCTCGCGCGCGCTTGCGTGCTGGACCCCAATCTATCGAGGCCGACCTTTCCATATTGCGTCCCCGAGTCAGTGTGACGACGAGGGGTGCTGAAAGAGGC